AGAGAGAGTAAATCAATATATGAGCAAGATACCTGTATTCTATGTTTATTACAGCTCTCTGCACAACAGCCAAACTGAAAATGGCCAAAGTACACAACAACTGATGAATGAAGAAAATATTTACACACACACATACCATGGAATATTACTCAGCCATAAAGAGAAATGAAATTATGTCATTTGCAGGAAAATGGATAGAACTGGAGATCATCATGCTGAATGAGATAAATCAAGTTTAAAGGCCAAATATCATGTATTCTCACTCATCTGGAACCTAGATCTAAAATGATGATGGTAGTAATAGTGGGACATGACTATATATGGAGGACTGTGCAATAGAGGGATCAGCAGGAAGAGGGAGGGAAGAAGGGGATGGAAGTACTCTACGTACACATATATGAAGACAGCATAACGAAACCCACTGCTGTTTGAAAGAGAGGAGGAGGGAACGGAAGTGGAAATATAATAGGGGGGTAAAGGGGTGAACTTGTTCCAGGTATAGTGCATGCATGTGTAATGAAATCCACTTGTATTATTAATGGTGCATACTAACTCAAAAAAAAATTTTTTTTAAATCCCTACAATCTGTGTTGTTTCCTTCTCCTTTAATCATAATCTGGTTTTGAGAAAGCACGCGTACCTGGTTGGATTCAGAGCTGGAAGCTGCTTCGCTTCCTCTCCTTGTAGACTAGCACATGAGGACTGACGGGGCCTGAGCTGTCCCCACGTCTACGATGACTCTTCTACCTTTAGGTTCAGATGCTGACTTAGAACAATTTTTGTCCCAAATTCTACACATGAAACACTTCTGGAATGAACACAGTTGACTCTCCTCACCTGGCATGTGAGGGTATTAACCAGGTGGGAGGGGCCAGCTGCCTTGAAAAAGAGGGGAGTCCAGTTGTACTCAGAAGCTCTGCCCTCACCTCATTTATAAGGTAAAATATGAAACTGAAAAAGGGTTCTGCTATTTTTCAAAATCTGAAAACCACTGATCCAGACTAGATGATTTGGAAGATGATTCCTTCCAAATGTTAAACTGAAATTTGATTTTTAAATTCCCTTATACAATGAACACTTGGAAAGTGCCTTACTCCAAGGCAAGACTGTTTGAGGCACAAAAATGACCACAGTGAACAAGATGGTGACACAGACTCACCTTCAAGGGAGCTGCTGGTGTTTGTTAAGAGACTGAATAGTGATGGAAAAATATGTCCACAGGCAGTGTCACCAAAAAAAAAATTATTTCATGCTTCCTCAAGTATTAACATGAAATGGCAACAACCCAGCCACTCAGCTGGCATACATTTCTTGAACCATGGACATCAGTCCAAGTGTCCCTTCTCTTCCCCATGACAGAGGACACAGGCAGAATGATAAAAACAAAACTCATTGTAAGTTGAAAAATCAAACTGGATTTTATTAAAATATACATAAATTACCCTCATTTTTCTTTATTTCATCAATATTGGGAAGCTAAGTGAAAAGTAATTATCCTGGTATAAAGAAATTAAGGCCAAAATGGAGTCAAGAAAACTGTCTTCCAGCCCAGACCTGCCACCTCCCAGTCAGGGAAGGCATTCAGTGTCGAATTGTGTCGTGTCATCAGCTAGAGAATGCGACTGGAATATGTTGTCTGGCATCAACTGGTGCTCTAGAATCTTGTGCTCTGAGTTTGTCATCAGTAGCAAACGCTGTATTAACCACACAGCAGCTACACACAGTGAGAAGGAATGAATACTGAACTCACAGGATACTTTTAAGGAAGACGTGAAAATTCAGAAGCTCGCTGCTTAAAAAATGCATTGCTGTTACTTTTTTATTCTCCAATTAGAATATGTACACAAAAATGTGTATCATGTCACTTTCAAAAACTCCCATGTTCCATGAGAACTATGTAAACAATGTAAAATGTTCTGCTACATAACAAAAGAAGAAAGTCAGCATTCCTTGTAGTATTAGGAAAATATTTAGACAGCTTGAATTTACAATAAAACAAAGTGCAATACTATACAGCAGTCTTTTCATGAAGTTGTTTATAGCCTAGAAGCGGTACATCCATACTTTCAAACGCTTTGGTATAAGTGATATTAACACAAACCAAAAAACAAAAACTTCTACTCTGGTTCTCACATTAAATGGAACTTCAGCAATGAGGCAACGGCACTGCTACCTCAGATGACAAAATGAAAAGCTGTCATTTGCTGCCTCTCCAGTGAAGGTGGACATGTCAGGAGAGCTTTTCACAGGACTTCTGGAAAGTAAGAAGCACTTCACTCCTTCCACAAGTAAGCCCTTGATGGTGGCACGAAGGCTTCATAAAACCTCAGCTCCAGCTTGGAAAATGAGAACCCTGGCTACTTCCTCTTCACAGGCAGAAATGACCCTGCATCAAGGCAGCTCAGAACTACCATTCACATTTAAAGTATTACATAAGTTCCTTAAAATCATGTTACTGTATTTTCTCAAAAAGAATAAAAAGAATATACTGCATTAATAAAAAGAAAAATGTCAGCCCACTGACAATAGTTTTTAAGAAACAGAAATAACCGTTTGCATGCTACAAGCATTTCTTCATTGATATCACACTTAACCCTGACAACCATATACTAAACAGATTCGAGAAATTTTTCTTTGCATCATTTTTATACTGCATTCTTATCTACATGGTCCAAATATGGTATGGTTTTTTTCATTGTCTTTCTGTTCTACGCATTTTCTTTTAAATGAAACCCTCCATCTGAGAAATAAATCTGAGCAATGACTGATGAATCGTTTTCTGTCCTCCATCACAGGAGCAAACGGGGAAGGTCCTCTGAACATCCTCTCAGCAGTATAATTTATACTGGGACTTCTGTGAAAACAAAACAATCTTTTTAAAAAAGAAAAAAATATCCTCAGAAAACACTACAAACTTACAATAATAACCTAATCCTGCACTGTTGTTCCCTTTTGAATAAAGGAGCAGACAGTCATGTACTCAACTTTACGGAACAAAAGCTGCAAGTTGGCCCAAAGGACACAGCCTGCAAGCACACATCAGCAGGCATACCTTCTAAAGGGATGAAGGCACATCAGGGCACATTCAGCTAGACCAAGGAGCACAATCATCCTTCTAACAAAATAAGAATGCAAAGCAAAGGACAAACTTAAGTTATCACCTGTCAGGTTAACTTGAGGCTTTTTTTGGGGGGGGCAGGGGGGGGTGGAAGTACTGAGTTTTGAGCTCAGAGCTTCGTGCTTGCTTTTTAGAGAATAATTCTAAAAGGACTAAAAGGATAAAAGCATGAAAGTAGGAAAACAGATCTATGCTGGAATGAACCAACTATAATATTTTAAACTAATTATTTTTATGGTATTGGTAGGGTTAAGCACTTAAATTCTAGCCTAAATTTTATAGGCAAGTATAAGAGGAAACACAACTATTACAGTGAACAAATCATGCATGAAATAAAAGGTCCTAACTAAATCGTTCCTACTAGGTGACATCAAAATCCAAGGATTACCACTTCTTGGGTTTTGTTTGCCTTGTGGGAGAGGGGAGCCAGGGGAACCTAAGTCACTTCAAAATCATAGATAATGCCAAGGCTGTGGTTTATTCAGAACTTATGCTGCCAGATATTAAAAAGTATAAAGCTACAATTATTAAAATGACATAGGACATATCATTGTCTTATGTTCCATGAAACAAAAGGTGCCCAGGTAAGGATGTCTCAAAGGAGACAAGGAAAGTGGGGACACTGACAACTATAGCCTGGATGAGGATTATAAGGGAAAAACATTCCATGCAAAAGAGTAAACTTGCACACCTCTTCCTTGACAATGGGAAGAGGGTATAACAATTCCCTGCTAACTGAATGGTACCCCAGTCCATGTCTCTTGCTAGCTTTGTGGTCTGAAATCACATCACCAGCAACATGGTCAAGAACATCTCAAGCAGAAAAAAGAGCTTCAGCAGACCCAGGTGGGCAGTGCCCCCAAGTGGCTGGCAGAAGACAATGCATGCCCTCTCAGAACTTTTATCCCACCAACTGTATGTCAAGATATGCTCCAGCTGGAGGTGTGGCTCAAGTGAATAACCCATTTCCAGCAAGCATAAGGCCCTGAGTTCAAGCTACAATACCACGAAAAAAAAAAAAAACAAAAGACACACTCCAAATTTAAAGATGTTGAAATGAGCTGGGTGCCAGTGACTTGTGCCTGTAATCCTAGCCAGAGATCAGGAGGATCAAGGTTCAAAGCCAACCCGGCAAATAGTTCCACGAGACCCTATCACGAAAAAACCCACCACAAAAAAGGGCTGGTGGAGTGGCTGAAAGTGTAGGCCCTGAGTTCAAACACAAGTACTGCAAAAAAAAAAAAAGATGATGCTAAAATGTGGAAAATATGTGATATGAAGTCTGATAGATAGGCAAGTAAGGTGACAGAAGTGATCAGAAAGCCCAGAAAACAAATGCTAGGCACATGATAAAAACATGGAACCAACGACAAAAGAGTACCTTATTCAATGCATGTATAGTACAGGTAAAAATGATTATTTAGCAAAAAGTTAAATCCCTCAAGTCCATATTCTTCTAAATTATAAAGTAAAATGAAAAAAAAAATCATCTAGCACTAAAGAATAAAAATCTAAAAAATAATCTTAAAAGACGGACCTATAACCAGGTACTGGTGGCTATTTGTAATCTTAGCTATTTGGGAGGCTGAGATCAGAAGGATCAAGGTTCAAGGCCAGCCCAGGCAAATAGTTCATAAAACCCACATCTCCAAAATAACTAGAGCAAAATGGACTGGAAGTGTGACTCCAGTCACTCCAGCACAGCGCCTGCTTTGCAAGCATGAAGCCCTGAGTTCAAACCCAGTCCCACCCATTAAAAAAAAAAAAAAAAGACCGAGCTATATATTTTTAAAACATGCTTCCACTCCACTTCCAACCTCCCAAAAATATTTCAAACATAAGCAAAAACAAAAGGCAAACCTCAAACTGGAAAAAATATTCGCAATAAAAAAGATTAACAGCCTTAAAAGTCATAATTGTAAACCAGTAACAAACAAAAAGTACCCTACCTCACACCTCCAGAAAAATGTACAAAATCAAGAACAGACAACTGACAAAAGAACTATAAGTAGGCTGTTAAGCACACCAGAAATGCTCAACTTCGCTAGTATTTTTTTTTTTTTTTTTTGGTGGTACTGGGGTTTGAACTCAGGGTCTTACACTTGCTAGACAGGCGCTCTACTACTTAGCCACTCCACCAACTCAACTTTGCTAGTAATGGAAGTGTACAAAAAATGATGATATAGCAATTCCTGACTATCCAATTGGCAAAACTTTCCAAATTAGTAATACCCATGTTTTGGCAAGGGTACAGAGAAGTAGATACAGAAACTGAGTGACCTTTCTGGAATGCAATTTAGCCGAAAATACAAATCAAAGACCTTTAAGAGTATGCAATATTCTTAGAACCAACAATTCTACTTCTAGGAATTTATCCTAAGCAATCAGCCAGAGATATGCAGAAAGTATGTAAACTACATGTCAGAATTATGTGTAATAATACAATTTGGAAAATCACCTAGACCTCCAACAAGGGATAAATTAAATACTTTAATACATAACAGGACTATAAAATGGGATGCAGTAACTATTAAACTATGATGTGTCATAGAAGCATTGCTATACTAACTTTACTGCTACTTTGCAAACAAATAAATAATAGCAACCTGCTCCCATCCCAGATAATTTCCTCCCTTCCTTAGTCACTGCTCTCTGGTGATTATATGGCACACTTCAATTCTTTGTTTACTGTCTGTCATCCCTAGAGGAAGTAAGACCTTTGACAAGGGCAGAGACTGGTCCACTGCTATTAATTCAGTGCCTAGAATTAGTAAGGCACTCAAGAAATACCGGATGGATGGATGGATGGATGGATGGAGGGATGGAGGGATGGAGGGAGGGAGGGATGAAGGGATGGAGGGATGGATGGATGGATGGACGGACGGACGGATAGATAGATGGACAGATGGAGGGAGGATAGATGGATGGACAGATGGAGGGAGGGATAGATGGAGGGAGGGATGGAGGAAGGGATGGATGGATGGAGAGAGGGATGGAGGGATGGAGGGATGGATGGATGGAGAGAGGGATGGAGGGATGGAGGGATGGGTGGATGGAGAGATGGAGGGATAGAGGGATGGAGGGATGGATGGATGGATGGACAGACGGACGGATGAATGGATGGATGGATGGAGGGAGGGATAGATGGATGGAGAGAGGGATGGAGGGATGGGTGGATGGAGGGAGGGATGGAGGGATGGAGGGATGGATGGACGGACGGATGAATGGATGGGTGGATGGAGGGAGGGATGGAGGGATGGAAGGATGGGTGGATGGAGAGAGGGATGGAGGGATGGAGGGATGGGTGGATGGAGAGATGGAGGGATAGAGGGATGGAGGGATGGATGGACGGACGGATGAATGGATGGGTGGATGGAGGGAGGGATGGAAGGATGGGTGGATGGAGAGAGGGATGGAGGGATGGAGGGATGGGTGGATGGAGAGATGGAGGGATAGAGGGATGGAGGGCTGGATGGATGGACGGATGAATGGATGGGTGGATGGAGGGAGGGATGGAGGGATGGAGGGATGGATGGATGGAGAGAGGGATGGAGGGATGGAGGGATGGGTGGATGGAGAGATGGAGGGATAGAGGGATGGATGGGTGGATGGAGGGATGGAGGGATGGAGAGAGGGATGGAGGGATGGAGAGAGGGATGGAGGGATGGGTGGATGGAGAGATGGAGGGATAGAGGTCCACTGTTGACCTTACTCTCAGATGATAATCTTCCCACACACTTCAGAAAGTTCAAGCAACCAAACAGTGCCTCCTCTTCTGACCATCAGCCTGCATCTGCACCCACACCATTGCCTGCTACAGGGCAGGGAGATGCTCCCCTACTCCCTTGCTGAGGCTCTCTGCTCTCCACCATACCCTGGAGATTCAGGAGACTCAGATTTCCCCTACAATCATTCCCTTTCAGTCTTGTATTATCAATTTCTCCCTCAATACTGGATCGTTCCCTTTGGCAAACAAGCACCTTAATATCACCGCCCCTATTCCATACTTCTGTTACACTTCCCAGCAAAGCTCATTCCTCACTGACCACCTAAGGAGACCATTAGGAGAACCTAATGCCATGACATTAAAACAGTTCTGGTCAAGGTCACCAATGATGCCCTGTGTCTCCCTGAAGCCAATGGCCAATTTTTGGTCCTCCTGTTACCTGACCTCAGCAGCAGCTGACAGGCTGAATACTCACCCCCTGTAGCAATCTTCCCTAGGCTTTCCTGACGGCTCAAGTCCTGGGATTTTCTTTCACCTCACTGGCTCCTCCTTCTCCTCCTACACACTCCTACGTGACCTCACCTGGGGTTCCAAAAGGCAAGTACAGGTTTTCTCCTGAGCTTCAAACCAACATATTCCCCATCCTTCCACCCCCAAAACACCTGCTCTCTCAACAGGCCTTGCTTGTGGTACCATAACCCACCCAGCTGCTAACATCAAAACAGTAGGAGTCATCCTCAACTCTTCATTCTCTCACACCCACAGTGAATTCACCAGTCATGACCAGTTCTTCCTCCAAAACAGATCTGAAGTCAATCACCTTTCCCCAGCCCCACTACTGTGGTCTAAGTCATCACTGGACTCTTAACTACCTTCCCTGTCTCCTGCCTGCCCCATTAATAACCTAACCTCCATCCAGCAATGGTGCAAGCTTTCTAAAGTAAAAACCAAACCATATCACTCCTGAAGTCTCAATGTCTTCATAGTAACAGAGCAAGGTTACTCACAATCAGACCCCACTACCTCTCTGACACACCTCACTCCCTTCTCCTTTCATTTATGACCCTCCAACTATTAGCTGTCCCTCAACCATGACATGTCTGTTCCTCTCTCATGACCTCTATAGCTGCTCTTCCTCCTGATTGAGTTCTTCCCCCACACTCTCCCATGCCCACGTTCCTACCAAAATGTTTTCAAACTCGGCTACATCTTCCCTAGAAACAACCCCCCAGTCACCTTCTGTCACTTCCTGGCTTATCTTCCCTATTGAACCTATCAATATTTGAAATTTAGTTATGTCCTAGAATAGGATATAACTGCTGCTTCCTTCCTCTTCAGAGGAAGCAAATTCCTTCAAGGTAAGGATGCAGTCTGGGTGGCCACAGCACAAAAGCTGGTGCCTGGAACATAGTAAGTACTCAATAAATACTTGTTGACTATTTTATAATTGAAAATCTGGACTGTGATAGCTTTTGACATTTGTTATTTTTTGACATTTTTGACATTTGTTATTATGATAACAAACAGTGAGACCTGATAAAATGGTATTCAGTATGACTGTGAAACCATTTTTAGATCAAACTGTTCTGCTAAGATTTTGTAATATGCCGCATTAGAAAATTATATGTTCATTAGCAAGAACTGCCTCAATAGATGGGGTACAGCTATACGATGGGTCACAGAGTCATTAAGGAGAATGACAAAGGCGCACACATGATAATATGGAATGCCAGGCAAGCACTCTGGCTAAAAATACTCAAGTTTCAAAACAATATGCTGAATTAGATCTTTCAGCTTTAAATTACATGGACATTTACTTGCACATGCACAGAAAAATTTCTCTAAGGGAACCCCAATGAAAGTAGTTACCGCTCTAAAATGAGAAGGTGGAGGCTGAACATTTCAGAATCTTCACCTACTGTTTACTATCAGAAAACCAAAATGTGCTATGAATTACTTATGATTTCGGCAATTTAATTGCTCAGCACTTTGTAGTTCACTCTTCCAAAGGCTTCAAAACTGCTTACTTTTTAGAACATATTATCTATTTTTTTTAAGTAATGCATAACCTAGAGAGGAAAAACAGGTGTCGAGTGTCTTAGGAGGCCAGTCAGGAACACAGAGCAGGGATGACTTACAGGGTGGCTCACTCAGCACAGACTGAGCCCTCTTTCCTACTCCCCTATTAGACTGGGCATGGCTCAAGTGGTAGAGCACCTGCCTGGCAAGCATGAGGTCCTGAGTTCAAAACCTAGTACTGAAGAAAAAAAAAAAGAAAACATCAGTTTTACAATCTTCATACAGACTGAGGGCATGGGACAAAGTCTGTCTTTGCTTCCCAAGTGCTGGGATTGTTTTTCTAATTAAAAGAGATAGATATGATGGATTCTGCCCTTTCCCCCAATTCATAGCATAGACATGATGTCTGGAACTAGGGGACCTCTTGTAACAATGAGGTAGCAAGAGCCAACACTGAGGCAGAAAGATGCTAGCACTCTGGGAGTCTGGTGATGTCATTCAGAGGAACCCTTCCTGTTACAGAACAAAAACAAACCTCTATTTGTTTTAAGGTATTGTGAAGTGGGTTCAGGGACCCACAACCATAGGAATTCCTAGCTGATATTCCTGGGAATCTATTTTTAAAAGAAACTAAAAATTTAAAAAAAAAAACAAAACACTCAAATTCTATGCAGATTTGGAAAGAAGTATTTTGGTTTTTGGTTTTGGATTTTTTTGAGGCAGGGTCTCACCATCCCACCCCGTTTTGGAAAGATTTTAACAAGTCAGGAATGTATACTTCAAACCAGTTCCCTTCCTGTTTCTCTCCTAAATTTAAACAATTAAAAAAAAAAGTTCAGAGGAAAGAAAAGAGCAGAGAAAACCATAGTCAATGTCACCTCCATACAAAAGATATTCAGAACTTGTACACATAATAAGGATAAACTCACAGAGTAAACAAAGCCTGATCAATGCTGGGGCTGCTCTGGACTGATGTTCATTGTTCGATAAATTTCTTTAAGCAACAAGAGGGCAGTATCTTCAGATTCCCTATCAAAAAGAAAAGCATGTTAGTTAGGAGATAACTGGTAGAGATTACACTCTATGCACAAGGGAAGTAAGTGCAGCCTTTGCTGTTATAGTCATTCTATCTGTGAAGAGCAGGAGATGCACAGCCTTCCTTAAGAACCATACGGAACAACAGCCCCAGAACAGTCACGCCGTAATTCTCCTTGGTGTGGGGACGTGTGGAAGAATGGCTGTTCAACGTCCCTGCCACTCCCACAGTGAAAGGCACCCCACAAAAATAGCACACCAGTACCAGTGGTCGCTAGGCACTAGTGGCTCAGGCCTGTAATCTAGCTTCTTGGGATGCAAACGTCAGGAGGATCATGGTTCAAAGCCAGCCCAGGCAAATAGCTACTGAGACCCTATCTCAAAAAAAAAAAAACAACACAAAACAGGGCTGGCGAAGTGGCTCAAGTGGTAGAGCAACTGCCTAAAAAGCACAAGTCCCTGAGTTCCAACCCCAGTACTGTCAAAAAACACCAATGATCTTTGGTCAAAGACAGATTACATACTGCCATCCTGTGGATAACTTAAATTCTATGCAGATTTAGAAAGATTATAACAACTCAGAAATGTAAAAAACAATCTCCTTCCTTAGTAGCTCTATTCTGGAGGGGAAAAAAACCTTCAACTAAACTAAATGGGAAAATGTTCTGATTACGTACGATACGTAAGAATGGGGAAGGAGTAAAAGAGTCTCAGAAATCGAAACCGCTGTCAATGCGGGCAGAGGGCAGAGTACTTACCAGTAGCACAAGTGACTCTGAAGAGCGAAAAGATACTCATTAAAACTCTCTATTGGCTTTTCTTGAAGCACGTAATCAATGCGGCGGCCTCCGTTTAACATTCCAACCTTTCCTAAGAAGTCCTCATCCTTGGAAAAATCTGGACTTTCAACAGTCTTTTCTGCTAGAATTTAAACCATTTCAATATCAAAGTCAATCACTTAATCATTATCCTTTGACTTTAGCTGACTTTCTGGGTTCAATGAGAATATTGCTTGACACACGTAGCAACTGGGGAGCTACCAGGCTCACTCCCCATTCTTCCAAAGAACAGGGGAAAAGGAGCTGGCTCCCTGAGAGAGAGGAGAGAAAGCCAACAGCTGACAGAAGTTGTGAAGATAAGGGGTGAGAAAGCATTGCAGAAAGAAAGGATATAGAATTAGAATCTGAAAGTCAAAAACATCACAGCACAATGACCTGACATTGCATAGGGAATCTATAGGACACAGTTAAACAGTATCAGGATAACTTCTAGAAGTGAGTCTTTAAGTGTCTGAATACAAACTTAGCTCTCAACTCTGAACTCCTCTTGGGCCTTAAGAATCTCAACAAAATTTAAAAACTACCAAGTAAAAAGTTCAGTAACTATCAGGTTAAAACCTAGTTAGCAAAAAGTGACATGAATTTTGAGGTAATGCATTTGACAGTATAGTTTATCAGAACAGACTTTCCTTCATAAGAAAACATTATACAATTTCACAAAAAAAAAAGGATTAGAAAAGCATCATTACATAATTGATAAGTCCTATTCAGAATTGTCATTATGAACCCCCCATATAATGAATATATCCTAATAAAAAAATTCGTAATAAAAAAATTTACAAGTATTATGTTCATAAATATCATTTGTACTGAAAAATGCCTTAAATGTCAGAAGGTGAATTTACCTTCAACTACTTGCTTTTCTTCTTCCTCTTTGATTTGATTGGCAACTTTCTCCAATTCTTCTTGCAACTGAGTTGAAGAGGTATGAGCGCGGGCAAACTCATTCAGCGTCTGCCAAGCACTTTTCAGAGAGCTAATAAAACCCTGCTTCAAATCTGATCCCATGCGAGAGAGACTTTCTTTCAACTCTAAAGAGATTAAGATAACATGCCAAGTCAATTAGGCACTGAGTCAAATTCTGCATAATAGAAATGAAAAGTTAACACTCTTCTTGGACAGGTTAGGATCGCTTCTTCCTTCCTTAGGTATCAAATATATAATATACTGGAGGCAAGAACCCTCAATATAATAAAATGTCATGGGGAGCCTTTTTCTGTCACTTAACAACTAAACTTAATCCAGGCTAAATCTGTAAATTTCCCCTCTCCAGAAAATGGAATTCAAGTACCATAAGCATATTTATATGCTTTTTTTACTGAAATTTTAAGGGGTCCACAAGACTTAAAAAAAAAATTACTGTTTTTCTAATCTGCAACAGTGAGATGGTTTTGAGAATTTAAGATTCTGAGATGACCACAATTTAAACCTCTAATTTAGAAATGACGAAATCCCTTTCCTTTCACTACTTCTATGCTTATCTAATAATCATATTTAAATTCAAGGTCTGTAAGTTATCAAATTTCTCATTTTTAACTTACAAAGAGTTAAGTATTTTTTAAAAGCATGCTAGTATCAAACAAACAAAAGACATACTTTTAAGTAGAGCCTGATCACTTTTCTTTCTCTTCTCCCACTCCCATCCCTTCCACCCAGCTTTTTAAACTTAGGGATAAGTAACATACACCATTAGCAGGCAAAAGAGAATCTAAGCCCCACTTGGAATTTCAATCCATTATGGTTAATGAATTTTCTAACAGAATTTGGGGAAGGGGAGTATGTGTGTGCTGGGGATGGGAACCACAGCCTCCTGAAAGCTAAGTGCACATTCTACCGCCAAGCTACATCCCCACTTCTACTTAATACACTTCTTAAATAAGAAAAGTTTGTCTAGCTAGCAAGAAAATAATAGCTCACATGACTTAGACAACATCAAATTTATTTCCTAACTGATTTAATTTGAATGTTACTCTTCTTCCCAGTTTCAAAAAATTACAACGAAACCATAAAAATCTAATTATAAATCTTATCACCTTATTACCAACTTCCCCTTTCCTTTTATCTCAACAATTACAACACCATTAAAGAGGAATTCATTCAACTTCTTTATAGCTCTTCCAAATTCTCAGTAACAAAGCTCTGAACACAGCAAGACTTAAGTAATATTCTGCCAGAAAGTTAAAATTTTTCTAATTCACTACAGATTATGATTATGACAGGAGGGAAATGAGGTTTTTTTGTTTTTTGGTTTTTAATTGTTGGGCTGGGTGAGGGTATACTGTGGCATTTGTAAAAGCTCTTACAATATATCAGATATAATATATTTGAATTCACTCCCTCCACCATTCTCCTTTTTTCCTCACTCCCCCAATTCCTGGAATACTTCAAGGAAATGAGTTTTTATATCTGCTTCTTACCTAAATGAAGCCGTTTTCTGCCTTTGTGATGAGGAATGAGAACCGCTTTTAGGTCCAAATCTCGAACAATCATAGGTTCTAATCTATACGCCACAGGATCAAGCTGTAAAGAGAGAAACTTGAAATTTATGGAAACTTGTTTTCCTTTGAGTTATATGCCTTAATTAGGTAAGAAAATGGCTAACTGGCAAACCAGAGATGTATGACTTTTTTTTTAAATCTTTATTCAAATACTAAAAATTGTAAGTTTTTTTCAAGCTTGTACTGCAAGCAAAGCAGTACAATTTTTTCTTTGAATAAAGGCTTTTCCGTAGAAAAGTTTTTTGAAAAGATTCAGATCATATCTCTTAGGACAGAGAGCTGAATCTTGCAAAGTCAAGATTAACATTCATTCCCAAGATGTAAGAATCTGAGAATCTACTAGAATAAAGGGGACAGATTCTTCATCTTTTTCAAAACAGAAAGCAAAGTCAAGTCACTCACTGGGTGGTAAATATTGAAGAATCCTTTACAAGTAGGAAGCCTGTAGTTCTCATCTATCCTATCCACTCCTCGAATAGTGAGAAACATACCAATTGGCGATCCCAAGGCAAAGAAAATTTCTGGTTCAAAGTCTAATGAGCTGTAAGTAACAGAAACCTAGGAAGAATCAGATAGCAACAGAAGATCATTCCACTGTCACATACATAAAATTCTTTGGAATTTTCAAGTGTTCCCAGAACTGTACTTACTTCTAAGCAGGGGCATCTGTTGCTAGCTTAAAAGAACTGAAGAATTTAATTTATCCATAGTCTAGTGGCTCAATGGTAGAGTATTTGCCTAGCATGCTGAAGACCCGGGGTTCAACTTCCAACACCACAAAACCCCAGAATCTTCAGTCTATTACATCCTCTGAGTATGCCTTTACTTACTGTCTAATATAGTAAATATTTATTATAGTCGTAAATGTGTTAAAAACTGCAGCATCTGGAGCCATCCTGCTTGGGTTTGAATCTACTGCTCACTCACTGTGTGACCTTGGGCAACTTTCTTAACTTTTCTTGCCTCTGCTTCAGCTTCTTCATCTATAAAATGGGGATTATAACAATACCAACATCAGTGTATTAGAAAAAAAATCAATAATCAAAGCCACATAAAGTGCTCATAGCACAGAGGGTGGCTTATCCTAAACATCCCAATAGTGTTACTTCTGCTATAACTTCCATCCCCTCTAGTTAAGGCAAGTTTCCTTCTGTAAGAAAAATGATTTGTCCCCAGAGTTTGTTTTGGGAAGTTTGCATGTAGTCTCTCAAGAGAAAGCACCAACATTTACATAACAGCACTCTAAGTTTGCTCTTTCATGTTTTCCTCAGTGGCAGGAAAGTGTTTCATTTTAGTATCTGGAGAAGAGCAATGAATGGTGTAACCCAAGGCATGACAAAGGCCAAAGAGAGACGGTGAGGAATGACTTACCACGCCTACTTCTGAGATGAAGCCTGTGAAGCCCAGACAGGTGACATTACTTAGCCAAGAGCACAGTCAGTGAGTGGCAGAATGAGGATTTTGATGCACAACATCCAATTCCAAGTCCAATGTTCCTTCTACCTGTCTACTAGGCTGCCCTAGTCTAGAATGTGAATGTGAAGCCTTTGGCCCAGCCACCCTACTTCTCCCACTGAACTGAAAGAAATAATAAAGAACAGATACACAAATTTGGTTTTAAAATGTTTATCACTGGATTGCTTAAGAGTGAAAAACTGGGAATTGCCTACAGGGTCAATGTTATGGGTTAAATAGTGTCCCCTTTAAAAAGGTATGTTGAAGTCCTAAGCCCCATTACTCAGAACATGACTTTATCTGAAAATAGAACCTTCAAAAAGGTAACCAAGTTAAAATGAGGTTATTATGGTAGGCCCTAATCCAATATGACTAGTGTTATTATAAAAAGGGGAATTTGGACACAAAGTCAAACATGCAGAGAGAATGTGAGAGGCAGGGAGAGGATGGCACAAAATGGAGGATCGCAGTGATACATCTGCAAATCTGCAACTGCTAAAGATGACAGAAAAAAAACAGAAGCTCGGAAAAGAAGAGGAAGGACTTGTCTGCAGGTTTCAGAGAGAGCATGGTGATGCTGACACTATGATCTCAGATAATAAACCATTGTTCAAAGCCCCCCCAGTATGTGGCACTTTGTAATAGGAACCTTCAGTCTAATATATCCAGTAATAAAGAAATGACAGACACATCATCATCCCTCCAAACAGTGAAACACAGCAGTCATTAAAAACGAAGTTAGGGGCTCAAGTGGTAGAGCACCTACCTACCCAGCAAGAATGAAACCCTGGGATCAAACCCCAGTACCACCAAAAAAATAAATAAATAAAGTTACAAGACTGGGGCCATGGCTCAAGTGGTAAGAGTGGCAGAGTGCCTGCCTAGCAAGTATGAGGTCCTGAGTTCAAACCCAATACTACCACCACCAAAAACAAAGATGGTGCAGAGGAATGTTTGCTTATATGGGAATATATTCATAATATGCTGCTTGAAAACAGAGTGTTTTTACAAAATACCACAGTATTTTCTCATTTTTGACAAGACATGTATGTAAATACATGTTCAAACAAAGTCTGAAAGACCTTACTCAAATAGTAGTAGGTAGCTGTAGCTGATGAGATTATGAGGAATTTTTTGATCTATTTTATTAATCTCCTTTTGCTCATCTGTTTTTCACGGCTTTCTAGAAATCAAAAGATGCACACTGCGGCTATTGTTTGGACGGCCCAATGCAAGAGGTCCTGCCTGCCCACCTTGGTCCACCGACCTGAGAACTGACATGTAACCTGGCTGGGTCAATCGACCTGTGCCCCAATGCACTCAGAATGGACTCAAACCAGGTCAAGTAAAATGCACCTTGAAATTTTCCTACCTGGACCTAGTGGGGTAGATTCCTTTTCCTCTGTGGTCCTTCACACTGCAAGGAGATGACTAGTTTCACAGAGGAAGCCCCTTCCAGATAAGAGGCATGCTGAGGGTCCTAGGGGCTCAGAGCCCCTCTAACACACACAGCCTTCACAGGAGAGGAGACATCTGCCCTTTATTTGCTAGAGTCTGCTCAAGTTTGTTCATGTTTTTAATAAACACATCTTTTAAATGCCAGTTTTAGGATGAAAGGGCTTAAAAACATGAGGTCAGACTAAATATCGAGCTCCATGCCGTGCTTCCTTGAGCTCTCTGATGCTGAGGGACCCTGCAGGCACAACTGTGATACTCTGAAAGCAACTCTGTCTAACATTCCTAAACACTTCTAAGCCACTGAAATATAATATGTTGAAGTATTTTATTAAATGCAGCATTATCAACTACTTGTTCAATTTTATAGGAATTTTCTCCCACAGCAAGAATTATTCACATTACCTGAGTGAATCAAACTTCTCACATCAAAATATATATAAATTCTGAACACAATTTTCTAACTGTAGTCATTTCTGTTGTCAGTGGTTAATACTATAAAAGTATGAGAGGTTGAAAAACTAAAATAGAATTACAGCCGGGAACCAGTGGCTGATGCCTGTAATCCCAGCTACTCAGGAGGCAGAGATCAGGAAGACTGAGGTTCAAGGCCAGCCCTGGCAAATAGTTAACAAGACCATATCTCAAAAAAAAAAAAAGATCACAAAAAAGGGCTGGTGAAGTGGCCCAAGGTGTAGGCCCTGAGTTCAAACCCAGTACCACAAAAAAAAAAAAAAAAAAGAAAAGAAAGATGCATGCTTCCAACATAAACCACAGAGCCCTAGTCAATACATAACTTACCTGCCCTGTGCCAACTTCAAAAGACTCGTAGTCAACATGCACGGAGGACACATAAGCACCAACTGGATGTTTCCGCTTTGCCTCATTAGACTCTGAGGGGAGAGAAGCCACCTCTTTAGCTTTCTGAACACTCTCTTCTTGTCCTTTTGTCAAAGCGGCCATCACTGCCTTCTTTTCTGATGCCGCCTTTTTCTGCTCCTGAAAAACACCACAATTTTGTAACACAATCTTGAGGAAAAATTCAGCCCTTGGCTATCACTACAAAGTATGCTACCTCAATATTAAGGAATGATTAGTTATTTAGGCATAATAACAGCATTGGAATTAGTAGGAAAATGTCCTTTTTAAAGACGAATACTAAACATTTTGGGAAGAAAGGCCATGATGTCCATAACTGACTTTTCAATTCTTACAAAAAAAAAATTATGAAAGAAAAAATACAGCAAAACAGTTATAATTAAATCTAAGTATAGGCTATTTTATATCTCAAAAATATTTTAAGGCACATACAAAATAGTATATAACACTGATTCTACTTCTCTGAATTTCTAGGACAGGCAAGCTATTCTATAATGACAGGAATCAGAACTTTCGTTAGAGCTAGGGAGAAATTGGTTGGTAAGAAGCATGAAGGAGCTGGGCACTGGTAGCTCATGCCTATAATCCTAGCTACTCAAGAGGCAGAGATCAGGAGGACAGCAATTTGAAGCCAACCCAAGCAAACAGTTCTCGAGACCCTATCTCCAAAACACCCTTCACAAGAAAGGACTAGTGAAGTGGCTCAAGGTGTAGGCCCTGAGTTCAAACCCCAGCACTGCAGAACAAAAAAAGAAGAAGCATGAAAGAGCTATTGTGGGATGAAAATATACTGTTTCCTGTTTTAGGTGGTGACTGCACAGGTGCATACAACTGTCACAGCTTACTGCCTAGAACACTTAAGATCTATATACTTTCATAAATAAACAAACAAACAAAAGCATGGGAGCAATGATATATACTTCATTATAGCCAATGAGACAAAAGCCATCCCCAGTGGTCTACAATTGCCCCTGAATTCCACACTCCTCACACTGGACTTTTACTCTGTGGCTTTCAAGTACCTCTGCTCCCTAGGCTGTGAAGGAGTATGAGCTTGTCTCAGTTGAAACAGGTAAACAAACAGTTGGACAAACTGTTCTTATCTACTGATTAATTGCAAATAGTAAGAAACCAGGACAGGAATCCAACTAGTTAACACAAAAGACCAATATAGCAAAAAGAAAACTCTCAGTCAGGCAGAACTAAACTGATTCCACTGTCAGTGTTTAGGATGGCTTGGTTATCTCTGCCCTTTGGAGGTAGCACAGGTTTAGACCTAAAACCCATTTTCAGGGTTCTTCAGATTAATTTGCTTTCTCCTTCAACATTACCTTCTCTTACAGCCACAGCATCACATTCTAAAGTGCTAAGAGAGCTAGCTCTCTTGCAAAGAGAGATCATAAACTATCTACTGACAAGAGTCATTCTGTTCCCCTAAGGTCATTTGCAGTAATTTTAAAATGAAGTGAACCAACATATACATACTTGATTAACAATATTCCCCACACAAAAAGTATACCTTTTCAAGTGAAAATCACTAAGACAGTCTGCAAAGAAAAAAACAGCACAAGGGCCACAAATATTTCATCTCTTTACTATAAAATAATTCTTAATTTTGGTTCCATTACTTCAGTGGCAATAAATTAATAGGACACGCCGCCATACATTATCTTCATCTGGCAGGCTGAACTTTGTTCTCTGTCTGTGGGCAATATCAACCAGCAATGTGACTAGGCTGAGAAGGTTTCATGTTCATCCAAAGGCAATTACTTTTGAATTTAAAAAAATAAAATCATGCTAAAGATTTTTACTCATTCCAAACATTAAGAAAAATTTAAACATTCTTTTGTTTTTGTTTTGGTTTGGTTTTTTTCAGTACTGGGGCCTTGAACTCAGGGCCTATACCTTGAGCAACTCTACCAGCCCTTTTTTGTGAAGGGTTTTTTCAAGATAGGGTTTCACAGAACTATTTGCCCAGGCTGGCTTCGAACTTCGATCCTCCTGATCTCTGCCTCCTGAGTAGCTAGGATTCAGGCGTAAGCCAATGGCGCCTGGGTCAAACATTCTTATGATGACCTAATTTATATAGACAAGCAATTGCAGCATATAAAACAGACTCTACCTAGAAATTTTTCAAGAACCACAGAATACTTTTCTACTTTTTTATTCTTCGTTACAGAATAAAGACCGACATGATGTGGGGCCTGAAGACAGAGCTCCTCACCCCATGGTTGTCTTGCTGTGCAGGCCTATGCCTCACTACTGTTACATGCAGAGGCACCACAGCACATTCGTGTCCTGATCTGGGTTTAACTACCATGTCCATCAGATAGTATACCTGGGGATCTACTCACAGGGTTGCTGGTGAGACAAAGACTTCTTTGTGAACTACTGGAGAATGAGGTGAAAACACCTCTCACCTGCCACACTAACAGCCTTTCTCTACATTTAATCAAGTGTCATTGTGACCTGCCCGCTCCCTTTCCATCTGAGTTTGCAGCCCTGTCCTCTCTTGGGTCCGGTTACAACTCCAGTTACTACTACATGAGATTCCTGCAGCCGTTTGCTGCTGCCAAAGTGAAAAGTGGATCAACCACAGAAAAGAAATCTAGCTGATAACATACTTTGTCTCTACTTTAAGATTTGCGAAGGAATTTTTTTTTTTTTTTGCCTTTAGTCTTCCATTCCCTATCAGCCAGCAGACCATAGCTAATAGAAAAAGACAGCAAATAATAATTTCAAAAAGCAGGAATCAGTATATCCAAAAGTTCATTCATTAAAGATACATGTGCTCAGAGCTGAAATTTCAAAATGTGGTTTATGGGACATACTTTTAAACAAGTTAACTTCTAAACAAGTTAAATCTAAAATTTAGACTAAAAAGATTGCATCTATCTCCTAATTTATTATAGAATTAGCTCATGGCTATAAGAATAATCTGAGAACCACTGCCTAATAATAAAGACCCAAGCCTCCAAGACCCCATCTGGGCCTTGAGAACTCTCTCCCCTTTCCCACCACCAAATGATTCAGCCACAGGAAACACAGGCCTGCTCCCTGCCCTGCACCTCCCCCAATCCTACCAGCATGAGCTGTGGGAAGTTTCTCTCACCAGCCTCAGCCCCCTCAACAAGCCATAACTGCCATCCTCGTCTGGCTGTGGACAGCACAGAAGGCTCCCACTGCAGGACTCATATGCTGTCATTTGTGATCACTCTCTCCCCCTAACTGGACTGTATATCTGCTGATCATCTCCAAAGTACCTGACCAAAAGAGATGTGCAATTAAACGCTGAACCACTCAATTCCCCAAGCTAACCCTAAAAACTCAGGTTACAGTCATATTTCATATAAAGAAGTGGCATATGTTAAGTTCCAAATAAATGGCACAAATAAAAGAACAACAAAAGATAAAAGGATTAGGACTGGGCACAGGATTTAGAACATTTGTATATCATGCATAAGGCTGGTACCTCCCAAAAAAAAGATTAAAGAACATGTTGATAGATGCTCATGCCTGTAATCCCAGCTACTCAGGAGCTGGAGATTGGTAGAATTGAGGTTTTAGGCTAGCCCAGGTAAAAAAGTTAGCAAGAGACCATCTCAATAAATAATCCAAGCAAGGTGGTACATGGCTATAAACACAGCTATGCAGGGAGGCATAGGTAGGAGAATGGCAAACTAAAACTGGCCTAGGCAAAAAGCAAGACCCTCTTTGAAAAACAACCTAAAGCAAAAAAAGCTGGTGTAGTTCAAATGGTCAAGTCCTTGTCTAGGAAGCATGAAGTCCCAAGTTCAAACCCTAGTTACCCCCCCAAAAAAATGACTCTGTTTATAACATTAAAAATAAAATATGCCGGGCACCGGTAGTTCACACTCTGTAATCCTAGTCCCTCAGGAGGCAGAGAGGATCGCAGTTCAAAGCCAGCCCAGGCAAATAGTTTTGCGACACTCTATCTTGAAAAACCATTCACAAAAATAGGGCTGGTGGAGTGATCCAGAGTTCAAGCCCCAATACCACAAAAAATAAATAAAGTAACATAGATAACTCGTTACATAATTTTTCTAACTAGAAAAATCTCTATATAATTAATTTGATCAATAAATTGAAATTAAACAGAACAAGTTTTTCCCAGTTGTTTTATTTTTTAAGTGCTCTCTGGCTGCTGCTTTGCTTTGTACTAAAACTTTCTGTCTGGTTGACACTTGATGATATTTTAGTGTGTATGCACGCTCACCTCTTTAGGGAAGGTGAGAGCTTCCATGCACTGCATGCTGACCCCACCCAAGAAGCAGGAGCTACCACTTCCATTTAGAAATGAGGGAAACCAATCATCTGAAAAACGAAGCCAGCTGCTCCTGCATGTGCAGTTACCAAGCTGGGAGCCAGGGCACCTGACTCTCCTACCTGCCCAGAGCCCCACCAGTTTTTGCATAAGGGAATCCTCAAATACCAGTTTTAAAACTGAAAGCCCCTATTTCAAGAATGCTCAGTTCCAGGATGGCAGGATGGTCAGTTAGCTTGATGTGGATTTACACCCATTTCTGACCAACTCCAGCTGACTCTATCAGTTCCATCACTGTGTCCTAGGCGGGAGCAAACTACTTTAACCAACAACGATATTACAAACATGTAAAATAAAAACGGGCAGTCACACAAGAGTGCTGGTTTTCTTGAGGGCAGGTGAACCTTACCAGTTTGGCTGCTTTAAGCTTTACAAAGTTAGCTATCTTCTTTCTGGGTCCAAGCGGTATCCCCATTTCCTTCAGATCATCAACTGTACACATAAGCTTGAGAAGGAAATAAACAAGCACATTAATCAATCCATCTAGAGATAAATGAAACTGAAATGTGAATAAAGCAGTCTAAGAGCCAGCCAACTTTTCAAAAGCCAGGTTTTGTTTTTAAATAATGGATTAGTTTAAGCTTTAAAATCTTAGGCCTCTCCACCTAAGAGGTTCTATTATTTTTTAACAGAAAACATATGCATGCTGTACAAAATTCCAAGCTCTAGTCAAGCACACAGTGAAGCCTCTCCCCTCCAACCCAGCACCATCCACCCACTTCTCTCAGCACCAATGCTGCTGATTTGCTCTCTGTCCGTGCACAGGTCTTCTGTACGAGAGCGGCTACGCATTGTTGTGTGTACGTAGCACGCAGCACTCAGCTGTGCTCTCTCTCTCTCCAGTATCTGAGAGGTCAGACTCTCCGATGCTGCCTCATTAATTCAACAGCTGTACGGTCCTCCACTGTGTGGACCCATGAACGATCTAACCAGTGCCCTGCAAGTGAATGCTAGAAGTGTTTCTAAGATTTCGCCACATTACAAAAATGAGCAGTGAGGAACCTTGCAGATATTCTAGAGGTATTTTCTATAGAAAATATTTCTGGCAGTAAAACTGGTGAGGTAAAGAGTACACTTTTTATATTTTAAAAGATATTACAAAACTCCATAGAAATTGTGACAATTTATACTTTCACCAACAACATGCAACAGTGCTGATTTCTTATCTTGGCCACAGAGTATGTTATCAAATTTATTTTTTTCAAACTGATAGGTTAAAAAATACCCACCCACTTTTAATTTGCATTTCTCTTGTGAGTTTTCATATGGTAAGAAGCCATTTGTTATTTTCCTCTCTATAAATTATCTTTTTTATATTCTTTGCCTATTTGCTTATTACATTCTTACCATTACCTCTGTAGAAGTTTGAATATTAAGTAAATAAGGCCTCTGTCTGTAATGGCTGCTCCAAATGTTTTCCTCATCTATCACCACCCTTTAGGTATTGTTTATGCTGTCTACTGCTAATTCTTTTTCTTTTATGGCTTCTGGATTTTGTGTCATACATAATAAAGTCTTTATACATTTTTATCGTTGTTTTCTGTTTTGTTTTGTTTGGGGTACTAGAGTTTGAACTCAGGGCCATGAGTTTGCTGGGGAAGTGCTGTATCACTTGAACCATGCCCATAACCTTTTTTGCTTTAGTTATTTCAGACAGGGTCTTGTGCTTGTGCCCAGAGTCAGTCTCGGGCCGAGATACTCCTACTTCTGCCTCCCATGTAGCTAGGGGTTACAGGCATGCCCCACCAAATCCAGCTTGTTGTTTTTGTTTCTTTTTTGCAATACTGGGGTTTGAACTTGGGGCTTCATGTTTGCTAGGCAGACACTCTACTAATTGAGCCACACCTCCAGGCCCTTGCTTGTTCTTTGACATAGGATCTGGCTTTTTTTTCCCCCAGGTTGGCCTTGAACCATGATCCTCCTCTCAGCCTCCCAAGAAGCTGAAATCACAGGCATGAGCCACTGTGCTCACTACTATTTTTCTTTTAATTCACCTATTTTTTTCAATTTTTTAAAACATTTAAGTCTTTGCCTTATGTGGAATAAATTTAGATGTAAAAATGCTTAAAGCATTCTTAATTTTCGATCTTACATACAGGAAAAGTTACTTTAAACAAAAATAAATCAAATTATTGTCAGTACCAGAGATTCCATATCAATCTTTTCCTTTTCAAAAGTGCTAACATAGTCAAAGAGGCTAAGTGCTTCCAGAGTTTCTTGCAAAGTTAGGACTTCTTCATTTTCAACATCAAGGTCACATGACTCATCCAAGCTCAGCTTTGACTCTTCAGGCATCTTAATTCAAAAAAGAGGGGAACATTACACAGCTTAGAAAAACCCCCATAAAATGTCTCCTAATCTACAGAAAATCTTAAAACAAACCTGCCCTATTGACAAGTCACAATTTGGGGTATTTTGCCATCCAACATCTGAATATTTTGAAATATATATAAATTTACAAATTTAATAAATCGCTCTTACCCCCATTTTCTATAATAATTTAATTTTTCAAAATAATAAACTTTCACATTTACATTTGCAATCCCTAATATGGAATAGTAAGGAACTCAGACAATGAATTATATGATTCTGCCAGGCTGATCTTAAACTTGCAACCCTCCCACCTCAGTCTCCCAAGTAGCTTAGGATTACAGACATGCACGACCACATCCGGCTCTTCTACTGTACTTCTAAACCTTTGTGTATTCTAATACATAAAAACAGCGTCAGAAAACAGTACAGATTTTGGACAGTGGTTCTGCTCCAGCTCTAAATCTACATGTTAACAGGGCCATGTGCAGACATACCTGCTTTTCATGAAAATTCGGCTGCTTTACAACCCCATTAGCAACAGCTGGAGGCCTCGGAGATTTTGAGATGTTCAAATCTTTTTGATTACACAGGATGTCAAACAATATTAAAGAACCTAAGAAAAAGAAGTATTTGGCTTTATAATATAGTTACTAAGTGCTTTTACGACACTAAATAAATCCTCCCACTTTTTTTTCCCTAGGTAGAAGTTATACAAAAATCAGATGTTGATCAAGAGCTGATAATCAATATTCTTGTTTTATCAAACAGAACAAATTAAAATATATGGCATTCTATACAACACTAAATAAGAACAAAAGCAGAGTCTAAACTCAAATAATTCATTTCTACCCTTTACAAAACTAAGATATGTAATTATAGGTTGTATACCAATATTATCACCCACACTAGAAACAGTGGTAACTTAACAAACAGATTCAAAATGTATAGATGTGACAGTTTTACCTAAACTATGACCAGCAACAGAGACCCTTCCTTTGAAGTCTGGGTTCCGACTCATAAAGAGTGCATGCAGGCGGTTCATCTCCACTCCCACTTTTTCCACAATTGCCTGGCAGTAGGTGGGGCTGTTATAAAATAAAATATCTAGCAAGGTTTCATTGGTAAAGTGACGAAACCGACCAATACTTGGCAAAGTGATTTTCTTAATATTCCTGTTTAAATAGAAAAACAAAGTGTATTGTCAGTGTCTACCTTTAGTCTATGGATATTTAAAAGTTTAGATTTTTATTTCTGAAAAAGAATAAAATGTATAAATTAATCAATCTAATTTAAACTTACCAACTCATAAATGTCACAGACTAATTAGGATTCTGTAGACAGAATTATTATAAATAGACCAAAATAAAGCAAAAACACTTATTTGTGCTTATAACTATATTATGAATTTTGGTATTCTCTGAACAGTCGCTATATAAAACATGTCACATGTGAAGACTTCTATTTTAAAGAAGAAAGACTAATCTTTCATTTTTTTCTTCCAACTGGAAATCTGCATACCTGACAAAAATTATGGATGGAAGGAAGGGATAAAAGAGAATGCCGCATAGAACAAAAAAGGAGCTATATGAACCAAAAGCTTTTCCTGATCTGAGAAGACCCATGTGAAGTTCATGAATAGTCATGGAGTAAAGGAAAACTCTCACTTTTTTTTTTGAAGTAGTAGAGATTCAACTTGTGCCCTAAACATGTGCCATGTGTCCTAAACAGCACAATGTTCACTAAAATCCAGGTGGGTTATTAGTCCTGTGTGCCAGCATAAATACTGCCTACCTTTCAGTTCTGAAAGGGGAATATTCAAAACTGAGTGAGATCTCTTCATTTGTCACAGTGCCTGGTAACCACTACCAGCATTTAGTAGCACTGGACAAAGGATGCTAAATGGCCTGCAATGTAACAGTTTTGTGTAATGAAGAACTATACTGTCAAGAGCATTCACCACTGAGAAACAATAAGTCTAAACCAGCAGTTCTCAACCAGGGGTAATGTTATTCCTCCAGGGACATTTGCCAATTTCTGGAGACATTGTTTAGTTGTCACATGGTGAGGGAGGAGCACGCTACTGTTACTGAGGCAGGGATGCTGCTAAACATTCTAAAACACACAGGATGACCCCACCCCAGCCATCTAAATCATGACAGTGCAGATTAACATTCTAAAAACAGCTTAGAGGCCAGAGGTTTAGTTCAGTGGTAGACTGTGTGCTCAATCCTCAGGATCTATAATAAAATAAGAAAAATAAAGCCAACTAAAATTTAGATTCTCTTAAATATCCATAATAGAAATAGCCACATGCACAGGGAACAGTGCACGTAAATGACACAACTGTTATTTCATTACATGTGGGAGCAAACAGAATTAAAATAAGGAAACATTTACTGAAGTCATAATCAACTATTTTCATATTATGGTTCCAATTTTGCCTCTGAGTTTGACTAATCTGAAAAACAAGTTATCAAGATCTACAAACCTGTCAACACCTGTGGCATCCCCACCCAGGGCACTATGCCAGTGGACTGGAAGGAACTCCACTCTGCTTACTTTCCCATCATCTAAACCTTTCTTGAAATGTGTCTGCAGCAATTTGAGAGAAACCACCCTAAAATCATCCACTTGGGAAAAAAAAAAAAAAAATCAAGAAGATAAATTAACTTATTGATTAACGGCAAATTAGTAATTACCTCAAATATGCCAGTATTTTGATAACATCGATATACATTTTTATAACAATGACAAAATTAGTAAAAGCATAAAAAACAACCAACTTTTAGAAGATTTTTTTCTAACTTTTCATCACTTTAGAGGAATGCATAAAGCCCTGGGAGGTAATGTGGCACAGGATAAGCCCAAAAGACTAGAACCAAACTACCTGTGGTAGGACCCAGCTCCAACATCAACTGACTATGACTGAAGGAATTTAGTTCAGCCCAGCAGTGGGGACAATAGCAAGAGCATCAACACCCCAAAGCTGTACTTGTGAGGGCTAATGATACAGTATGTGCAAGGTACTTAGCATAGCAAGTATTCGGCAAACATGAACTGTCATTATAGAGATATAAAATTTCAACAACAAATCAACCTAGGTCCATTAAACCACATACTCTCCCTGCCAATCAGCTCAGTGCACAGGTCCTCCATATTGCTAGAAGCGGTAAGACACAGGCTGTCTACCAGAAAGGCTAAATGATTTCTAAAATCCTCTAATCCTTCAGAATCTAGGATTTTATGAGTTATTTATGTCCTAAGAGCAAATCAAACACAAATTAGTATTTCCCACTGATCATACAAATCTTCTCTTACAGCCCCTCAGCAAGCAGTATAAAGCTGGAAATTATCCTAAAAATGAGTACTTAAAAGATCTCCTATCAGTTCTCAGATGGCTCTAGTAATAGTGTGACTAGCACTTACCACATTCAACAATGCCTCTGAAGCGCAAGTCACACACAGGCCCAACGCCGTGCACCACCAACACCAAATGGTCAACCTGAGGCATTTCCCCTAGTTAAAAAATATATGTACATATAAAAGCTGAGAATTTGTTTGCGTTTTCTTTTTTTTCTTTTGTAATACTGGGTTGTGAACTCAGGGCCTCATAACTTGCTAAGCAGATATTCTACAATTTAGCCACACCACCAGCCCAGATTTTGTGTTGGGTATTTTTCAGATAGAGTCTCACAAACTATTTACCTGGGCTGGTTCTGAACAATGATCCTCCTGAGTAGCTAGGATTATAGGCGTAAGCCACTGATGCCCAGCTGGGCTTTCTTAATTTTTATAGCAAAATTTTTAACATCCCTTTTATCATCACAAACTGAACAAAGAAATTCTCAACGCTTCCAAGCAAATAAGCCTCGTTACCCTCTACCAAACAAGAGTAATTTGTCAGTCTTGGCAAATAACAATGAACTAGATAGAAAGGTGAAGAAGCAGCTTCTGTGTGTTCCCAGTATGATCAGCAGCTCTGGACCTACTGAAGCTTCCATAATGTTATGATCTTTTCAGGACCCCGCAGCACAGAGGGTAGGGGAGTAGCTCAGTGGCAAAATGTTTCTTAGCATGCCCAAGGCCTTGGGTTCAATCCCCAACACCCAAAACAAAAAAACCTCTCCAGAACACTGCTAATATAAAACTTTAAAATCTTTTTCCAGGATTCTTCTCCCAAACCTGATTCACAAAAACTGTAGGAATAGTACCAAGTTGTATCTATTATTTTTCTACACTACTTCATTCAGATTTCATAATATCTGCTTATTTTATAAGTTTATGAGACAATGAAACAAATATGACATACATGTAGCTGTCAAAATAAAATCCATATTTAAATGGAACAAAAAGAGAACCAAAACAGGGGTTGGAAAATGATGGTCCAGGGGCCAAATCCTGCCTACTACTTTTTTTTTGGTAGGGCTGGGGTTTGAACTCAGGGCTTCATGCTTTCAAAGCAGATTGCTATACTACTTGAGGCACACCTTCAGTCCATTTTGCTCTGATTATTTTAGAGACGGGGTCTCGAGAACCATTTGCCTAGGCTGGTCTCAGACCAAGATCCTCCCCATCTAAGACTCCCAAATAGCTAGGATTATAGGCATGAGCCACTAGCACTGGCCAGCAACTATGTATTAAGTCCCTTCACTGGTGTTGGGGAGAAGTCTATATCCTTTTATCATTTTTACACAGAGGTCTCTCTCCCTAAAAAAGGAAAATTATCATTTATGAGAATAGTTCCAGGATACAGATTTTATATAAATTTTCTCAGCAATGATTTTCCTGAACCAAACTGGTTTTCATCCCACCACTACTGTTTTTATATAATCTGTTGAGTTTGTTATTTTGTTTTTTGTTTTGTTTTGTGGCACTGGGGTTTTGAACTCAGGGACCCCTGCTTGCTAGGCAGGCACTGTTACCACTTGAGCCACTCCATCAGCCCTTTTTGGTGATGGGTTTTGTCAAGATAGGTTCTCCTGAACTATTTGCCTGGGGCTGGCTTTGAACCTTGATCCTCCTGATCTCTGTCTTCTGAGTAGCTAGGATTACAGGCATAAGCTACCAGAACCAGGTGAGTTTGTTATTTGTAATGTTAGATCTTCCAGATCACCTGAGTAACAGAACCTCCTCTTGAAGCCACAGCCAAGGCACCCTTGAGGATTTCTCCCCGCTACTGGCTCATTTAGTTTTGCAGGTAAGAAGACAGAATGTGGGGTAGGTGTGGGGCTTTCTGGAAGTCATACTACCAGTTCTTATAAATAAGGTTTTACTGGGACATGGCTATACCTAAATAAATGCACATATAGTCTATAGCTACTTTCACATTACAGTGGCAAAGCTGAGTAGTTACAACAGAGTCCATATGGCCGTAAAACCTAAAATACTTGCTATCTGACTTTTTACAGAAAAAGTTTGCCAACCCTCACACTAGAGAAATACAAACAAGGCATTAAAACACAACCCAAAAGCTTAGTTCCAACCAGCAATGTGCTTCTCCATAACAATGCATAATTTAGAATCTGTATTATGTTGTTTGTGTATCTTCAACAGAATTCCAAAGTAAAGATAAAGACACAGGGCTGGTGGACTGATATGGCTTGACTGGTACAGTGTCTGTTTAACAAGTGCAAGGCTCTGAGTTCAACCCCCAGAAAAAAAAAAAGACAAGTACGTGCCAAGCTGGCTCATTTTGGTACAGTATGGCAGGTCATCCTAATAACTGTATTTCTTTTTTCACTACAATAGAGAAGCCTAAAGAAGACTTCACTCCTAAACAAACTATACACACCATCAGGAATTTCATCAAGGCTTTCATCAATCCCACGCTTCACAACCCTAGGCCTTGTCTGTCCGTCCTGCGTAGTCCCCCATTCATCAGGCACTGAAGATGGCTGGAACTGAACAATAACCTTCAAGACACAAAAGGATTACGACAGCGTTCATTTGCAAATTCTTGTCCACTACAGACTGAGTAATGTATTTTAATACACAGTAACCTATGTCTCACAGTATGGATGGCTTAAACCAAGCAGCAGTACTCTTCCTCCTAATAAATTCTGTAGGAGTCCTAACTAATGTTAACCAGCAAAATTAATCAATACCATTATGGCCAATGCTTATATTGGAATCATACAATAAAATCAGAAGTAGTATACCTTGATTTCCCTTGGGTTCAATCTCTAGCACCAAACACACAGGGGAAAAAAAAAAAAGCAGAAGTGTACATACCTTCATTTTAAAAATCTAATTAAAACTCTAGGTTTATAAGGAAGAAATCAAGGCCAAGTTACCTGCATTAAGGAGTATTTTGTCTTATAAAGATGTAAGACAAATCTTTTAGATGGCAAAATTCCCAATTTCTTTAAAATTTTAATTTCAGTGACGAAAACTGACCAAAAGCCAGGCGCTGGTGGCTCACGCTTATAATCTCAGCTACTCAGGAAGCAAAGATCAGAAGGATTGAGGTTTGAAGCCAGCCCAAGCAAACAGTTCGAGAGACCCTATCTCAAAATAGCCCTTCACAAAAAGGGCTGGTGGAGTGGCTCAAGGTGTAGGCCCTGAGTTCAAATCCCAGTTCTGCAACCAAAAAAAAAAAAAAAACTACCACTTTTCAAAAGAAATCTATTCCATTAAATCAACTAATTAGGGATGGTGGAAAGGGGAGAAGAGTGGAGGGGAGGGGAGGAAAAACGAAAGGAGAGGAGAAAGGAGAGGAAAGGGAAGGGAAGGGAAGGAAAAACAGAAGGGAAGGGAAGGAAAAAAGGAAGGAAAGGAGAAAAAAGAGTGGATGGCAAGTGTGGGATAGAAAACTTTAATTTTTCATCTGATACCTTTTTATGCCATTTAAATTTTGTGACCATATGAGTAGCTTCTATTTTCATTTATTTCAGTGTCAGTAAGAACCACAGAAGTGGTTAGATTGAGTTATTTTTAAAATATATTTTTCTGTAAAAATAAATAAGGAGTATATGCTTGAAGCAACTACTGTATGCTAAGCTCTACTTGGATGTCTTTGATATGTTACTTCACTTTATCCAAAATATGACTGCAGGCAGGACCTGGAGCTCAAGAGAAATCAGGTATGGTAAATCAGAGAATTAAAACACCAACAATCAATCAATTAAAAAAAGAAATAAAAGCATATGGAGACAACATACAGAGAAAGGATACATTTTGACCTGAAAGGTTAAAACAAACCAGCATGAAGGACAGGTAAGAAATTATGGCCCACAGGACAAATCTGGCTCAGCACCTGTTGCTATAAATAAAGTTTTACTGAAAACACCACACCCACCAGTTTACCTACTGTCTCTTCTGGCTATTTTTACAATACCATGGCAGAGATGGTAGCTGCAAGAGACCAATGGCCCTTGAAAGAAAAAGTTGTCATACACTGATCAAGTGGAAAAAATTATCAAGCTTCTTCTGAAGTAGATACAGTTAACATGTTACCAAAACAGAAATTTTATAAGGAAAAATGTAAATTCTTTTTGCTCCCATGTTCAACAGATATAGTAAACTACTTTAAAAGCAAGGTACTTCTTATACTCCTACTGTAGAAGTTACTAAAAATGAACATTTATCACAGATATACAGCAGAATAATTAATATAACCCTAATACCTTAAAATCTCAAAAAGTACTGTTACCTTTGGATTGTGCATAACAATGGTCTCTCCACTTGGAAACTCTAATCTGCGGTGCCACTGATTTGTGGTTACTGCTTTTTTGTATTCAGCCTACAATAATAGAAACAACACATAATCCAGTATGACAAATCTTTATCACATCAAGAGCAAATGTGAAAGAAAATGAAAACTATGCTGCTGACAAAAATCAGTTACAAAAAAGCTCCAATTTACCATACTTTTTTTTATCGTATTAGATTACTTCATTTAAGTAATTACCCTCAATCACTCTTAAATTATATTAGCCCCATTATACAAAGAAAAAAACCAAGGTTTAGATCGTGTATTAGTTTCCCAGGGCTGCCATCACAGAGCACAACCTGGGTGGCTTAAGACAAATTCATTGTCTCACAGTTCTTGAGGCTCGAAGTCCAAAATCAAGATGTCAACAGAGAAAGAAAAGAAAAGAAAAATTTGCTGGGTACTGATGGCTCACGCCTGTAATCCTAGCTACTTGGGAGGCAGAGATCAGGAGGATCGCAATTCAAAGCCTGGGCAAATAGTTCACAAGATCGTATCTCGAAAAAACCCAACACAAAATAGAGCTGGCAGAGTGGTTCAAGTGGTACAGCACCTGCCTACTAAGTATGGGGTCCTAGGTTCAAACCCTAGTACACCAAAAAAAAAAAAAAAAATTATTAAGTACTTTGAGAAGAGTTAACACTTTCATGGCACTGAGACTGTGTATATACGAATGTATCTAGCTTTATTTCTTGAGGTCATCTTTTAATTGCTTCAATTTTGTTTTGCAGGGATTTTTTTCCCATAATGTTCATGTGGTTTTTTTTGTTTTGCTTTGTTTTTTGTTTTTGCAGTACTGGGGCTTGAACTCAGGGCCTACACCTTGAGCCACCTTGTACAGGTCACCTGTACAATCCTAAGCAATACACATCATCTGGTTCTCTAACTTCCTAACCTCCTTTGCCTCTTCATCGAGCTGCTTTGGGTTTCCTGGAAAAGGCCGAGCAGAACTCTGGTCTTATGCAACTGAGATGTCAGGACACAGATGGCTGACCCACCCCCAGAATCCATGTCACCCTTATGCTGGATAATCATTAGAGTTCAGATAAAGAGTTTACTGTGCTTCAGATACTGCTTAGACTTCAAAATATACACTTTGGCTTCAAAATAATACGACTAAAACTTAACCTGTGGACACTCTATTTCAGAAGGGTTCTACCAAAGGTACCAAGAATTATAGTATACAGTAAGCCCAACTTATTGGCAGATTTATTGCATGTGGTTTTGACTAAGCATGGTCAAAAAATAATAAATAAATCAATCAAAAGAAATTTAAGAAATGAAAATTTTAAATTCCCACATGAGAGCCACGCAGCTCAGTTGATGTGGAGAAGCTCTCAGTCAGTCCTACCATTATTGTCAGTTACGTTTAAACTGTTGTGTACTCTGCTGAGTGTCTCCTTGTCCATAATTCTGTGAAAATCTGCTTCCCAAAAAGTAAATAGTACCCTAAAAGCCAGATAAAAATTATGGTAATCCTCCCAAGCCAAAAATGGTCATGTGTTTAATTTAGGTGAGAAAGTGAAATCTAGTTTTTGGTGAGTAGTATTAATGTGAACAATACTCATTTTTGTGACAGTACGCAGCCTGTTCCATGAAGTTTTGAGTTATGGCTGCTCAGACCTACTGTACACATGTATAGATAAATTTGAAGTAATTTTAAAGCACTGAAAACTCCAGGATTCTGGAGCAACGACTTTTCTTCAACAGTGGCCTTCTTAGAACTACATGTCTGCAGATGTCAAGGGTCTACTACACCTTTTGCTTGTTTACTTGTTTGTCTTCTCTAGGAATGAGCATTCCTTTTCCTTATTCAACTAGCTAAAAGTTGTTTTAAGAGACGGTTACCTGGTCAATTTTCAAGGACAAAATTAATTTGTACCTCCTCTGCACTCTTCACTCTTAACGGGGTCTGACTCTACTTTCAGTGAGCATGTAGGCCACAGTCAGTAACCAAGTGTGGAATTCGTGTTTTAAATGAAATGCAGAACACCAATGTGGATAATGCGTAGTGAGGAATGACTGTGTCACGCAACGCTGGTGGTATGCTAGGGCTACCTCTCTCCAGCTTTCACGAGCTGATGCCCTCTCTCTTCCCTGGACCTAGTTCCATCACACTGATAGCTGCACTTGGCCACCACAAAATCAGCAGCTTTTCCCCAGAAGAGTCAGTTTAGCAGAACATCACTGTTTCTGATAAATAAGTATCAACTGTAGTACGTGAGTGTGTAAAAAGTACATACTAAATTTCAACATAAAAATACACTTCTTACTATAGGGTGAAATAAAAAAGCATTTGAAGCCTTATCAAGCCTCTTGCAATGTGAGCATGGACTGGTCACTGCAACTACGATCTACCACTACAAAGCTCAATATGCAGGGGGAGAAAATGGCCCAGACAATGTATGCACATGTGAATAAATGAATAAAAACTTAAAAAAAAAAGCTCAATATGTCCAGAGCAGGCATAATTCATAATGCATTTATAAAATTCAAAGGAAAGGGGGGGAAAGCAAGATACCACAAAAAAAAAAATCTATTAATTGTTAAAAATATACATATGGATATGGATAAATGAAACATGGTCTATAATTTTTTTCTTTTGGCAGTAATGACCACTGAACTCAGAGCCTCACACTTGCTAGGCTGGTACTCTACCACCTGAGCCACAACCCCAGCCCTTTTGGTATTGGTTATTTTTGAGATAGTCTCACTTTATGCCTAGGCCAGCCTGGATTGTGATCCTCCTATCTGTGCTTCCCCACATGTGGCTAGGTGACAGGTGTGTGCCACTGCGCCCACCATTGGTTAAAATGGAGTCTCATAAACTATTTTCCCAGGCTGGCCTCAAACCACAATCCTGATCTCTGCCTCCCAAGTAGCTAGAATTACAGGCTTGAGCCACTGTGCCAAGCCAAAAATATTTTTTAAAAGGTAGAGTTTGATTTACTGAGAGTATGGCCAAATTTTTTATTTCTGTTAATTATATGCTCCTCCACAAAAAAAAAATTTGTAATCAGTAGTGACACTTGAACTGTCAGCTCCCAAACAGAATGCAAGGCTTAGTCCTTACTTAAATTTATTTAAAACATGATTGATATTTGAGAGGCCTGTTACTGATAGGCTGTTTACAAGCTTTAAGAAGCACTACTTTAGAAAACACAGTGAACTAAAATGCTATTTTATTTCCCAAATACACAACTGAATTCATTCAACTTATCTCAAACATTTCACACTCAACTATGCTATACTGTAATCACAAAAAACAGATCACGTGAAACTACTCACGATCCCCTCTTTTAAGGTGACTACTGACGCTCATGGTGTTGCTCTGTGCTCTATTTCAATTTACTTTCCCCAATCAGACATTAATTTCAAGCTTTCACTGAATATTAATTTGAAAATGTTCATATGTTTGACCTCTACTGTCAACATCAAATTCTAGCAGCCTAAAGGGTATTTTTGGTTTCTTGGTTTTTTTGTTTGTTTTTTTTTTTTTTTTTTTTTTTTGAGACAGGGTCACAATACCCCAGGATCCTAAGTGACCCCAGGGTCATGATGTTAGTGACTAACATCATGAGTCACTACACCCAGCTTCTACCAAGTTCTTTTGAAGGTTTGATACAAGCACCTCATTAGATCTGTGATGCACCCCAAAAAAGCATATTCTACCTTTAGATACACAGGTTACGATTCAGCACTTTGTGAATAAGGACACCACTTAAAAGTGATCTTTTGTGAACAGCATCAAAACAGGCTATCTTGTAAATGAAGTCAGCTCCACTGTGAGTAGTCACATAAGTCTCCATTGCACACAGGGTCTATTTTTTTTAAATAAAAGCATAGAGGAATAAAGCACTCATACCTCCAGTTTTTCACTGAATTCCTCTGTATAGGGAATAAATCTGCTATCTGTATCCCCCTTGTAAAACCAAGTACAGCGTCTCACTTCAGCTGGCTCCTCTTCCCAGTATACAGCTTTCCTCATTCTGTCATAGAGGTAAACATCGTAGCGCCCGCCATCAGTGCCTAGAACCACACTCTCGGGGTCTGGCTGGACTAGAGAACAAAGACCACATTTCCCAGTCATTACAGGGCATATTTGAAAATAGTCAGTAAGAATATGGTTACTAGTCAACACTTAAAGACTATCAACTAACACAGATTAATCTGTGCTGCTCAAAATTATGACTCTTCTCAAGAGGAAACAAAGATAAAAACATGATCATAAAATAACTGAAATAAATGATGGGGTTTTTTTAATCAAAGCAGTAACATCCTCATACAGCAGTGTCCCACAAAGTATGCTGCTAGAGAATGCTGGGTGATTTTTAAGTCTCATGATCAAATAACATAAGGTTAAATAAAGAACCATATTTATACCTTGTAAGACTTCTCAGAGCCTTAACACTCTCCTGTGCACATCTCTCTCAAGAGGTGAACGCAGTGTGCCGCAGTGTGCACACATTTTTCACAGAGCACCTCCACCTATCAAAGTCCCACAGAAAATGCTTTATAAATGCCCCCCAAACTACAAAGGAATAAAGGAGAAAGGAACATTGAAACTTTGATTACATAAATGATTCTACTTCTCTAATTTCTAATACCTTTTTAAACAAGGGACATTACTAAACCATTTCTTCAAATACCTTGCTCAGACAACTCAGTCTTTATATTAGTATCACCATCTTGAGAGCTTGTTTGGAGTTTCTAGCAGGGGAGTGCAAATACTCATATACTCTTGACCAAAGAACAGACCTCCTCTATCAGGATGGTCATCCTCTTCAACCAAGAGTGCAGCTTTGGAAGGGACTCACAAGGAGTGGTGAGGGAGGAAGGGGACACCTGCCTAGCCAGCCAGATCAGCCAAATCAACCTTGGCAATCAGTCGGGTGACAGATGTTGCAGCCAGTCAGCCCTCACATCTGCATATCACCATATAAAGGTATAGTCTGATGTGTCTGCACAGATTAAGGAATCTGACATTTACAAAAGCAGACCAAGGATAAATTCTCTTCATGCCTTCTTTTCCTAAAATCAGATAGGAATGATGCCTGATAGGCACTTACCTGAATTATAGACTTCCTCAAGATTCAAAGAGTCAAACACACTGAAAGGCATCCAGAATTGTTTGTATTCCACCTCCTTGCAGTAAAACCAGTGGGGCTGAACAGGTTCATACTGGTTCTGAAGCACAAAAGGAGGTGGCCCCTGCACAGAGGGACCTGCGGGTCTAGCAAGTACCTGTTGCTGTGTTGGTGACAGTACTGAAGGAGGAACCTGAAGGGGACAAGTTAAGACTGACATGTTTGCCAAAAAGAGTAATTTTGCAATTCTTCAGACACAAATTGACATTAGTAATAGGTATACTACATTATTTCTACACAACTATTTACTGCAATAACTAGACTCCAAAACAATTAAATTTTGTAAAAACAAAAAATAATAAAAATTAAAAATCTAGTAAAACCCCAAAGTAGTTGCAAAGGGAACTTTTGCACACCAATGGCAGAGTAAACTGACACCCGTAGAAAATTAATCAACAATGTGCCCTCCATACTTTAATCTTCGCAGTATGCATGATCCTTGGCCAGCCATTTCATTTCTAAGAATTTATCCTAAATACAATTATAAAATCAAGAATGTTCCTGCAGGATATATACCACAGTTATTTGTGATAGAAAATTACTGGAAACTTTGTAACTGTTAATAGAAATCTTCTTAGATATTTCATTCAAATGTTAGAATTCTCTGAAAATATTTTATTCTAAAAATATTTTAGAAAAAAATTAATAACATTCAAATATGTTCATAAAACAAAGATTATAAAAATCATAGGTACTGCCAGTCCTGGTGGCTCATACCTGTAATTATAGTTATTTGGGAGGCTGAGATCAGGAGGATCGTGATTCAAATTCAGCCTAGGCAAGTAGTTCACAACACCCTATCTCCAAAATAACCAGAGCAAAAAGGATTGGAGGCATGGCTCAAATGGTAGAGCACCGGCTTTGCAAACGTGGAGCCCAAGTTCAAACCCAGTCCCAACCAAAAAAAAAAAAAAAAAAAAAATAGGTACTATATATTTGTCTAGAAAACAAGGTAAGACACAGAACAACATAAAAAACAAGCCAAGAGCTGGCAGAGTAGCTCAAGTGGTAGAGTGCCTGCCTAGCAAGCATGAGGCCCTGAGCTCAATTCCCAGTGCTGAAAAAAAAAAAAAAACCAAGCCAAGTTTGGTGGTAGCACACATTTGCAGACCCAGATACTTGGGAAGCTGAGGCTGGACAATCTCGAGTTTCAGGCCTGCCTGCACACCACAGCAAGACCCATCAAAACAATAAATAAACAAATATATAAATATATAGAGAGATGGGGGGGGAGAAATGAAAACAATGGTTATTTATGGATAATTTTTATTAATTTTGTTATTCTGCATTTTTCAAATTATTTCCAATGAAAATGATCTTAAAATCAGAACACAATTCTTACTACATTTTAATCCAAACTCACAGTTGTAGCAATACAAAATTTACTGAGGTTAGGAGGTGTACCGATGTAAAAGAATATCCTTACAGCTGAGCACTAGTGGTTCACACCTGTAATCCTAGCTACTCAGGAGGCAGAGATCAGGAGGATCATAGTTTGAAGCCAGCCAGTTCTGTGAGACACTATCTTGAAAAAACTCCTCACAATAAAAGGGCTGGCAAAGTAGCTCAAGGGTAAGAGCTCCTGCGTAGCAAGTGTGAGACCAAGTTCAAATGCTGGTGCCAAAAAATATATGTATACATCCTTGCCAGGCTTGGTGGCACATGCCTGTAATCCCAGTACTCAGGAGACTGAGGCAGGAGGATCCTGATTTTCAGGCTTGTCTGAGCTACATAGCAAGAACCTGTCTCAAAAAACTGGGAAAATAAATCCTTATTCTTAGAAAAGAGTCAAAATATACTTAACTGACCTTCAAATACAACTCCCAAAATTACATACATAGTTAGATAGAGACAGAAAGGGAAGAAAGAAGGGAGAGGAAGTGCTGGAGACGGAGGAAGTGGGAGAGGGAAAAGACAGAGGAGATTCAAATACCTGATAGTGTGCACGTGCACAAATTAAAAAACAAATGGGATAAAATGTTAATGGCAGATAAACCTAGATAAAGGATACTTGAGTACTCTGTGTATGACTTTTACTTTTGTAAATTTTCTTTAAATTTATCATTTTATCTAACTTAAAATATTCAAAAAATTTAAAGAGAAAACTATAATTAGTTATTTACAGCTAGCAAAAATACTAACTATACTACATGCTCTGAATATGGTTACTTTTCAAAATGCTGAAATCCAACATTATCAAGAATTTGTGTATTGTTACGATTTAAATTAAATGATAAAACGGATCCCTAAGAAAGAGATCATAGAACTATCAGTAGCAATCTCTGACACAGGGTTGGGGTTCTTAATCCTTTTGAATAGAGACAATTTTTTTTCCTTGAGGTTCTGGGGTTTGAATTCAGGGACTCACGCTTGCTAGGCAGACACTCTACCACATAAGCCACCCCAGCTTTTAATTCTTTTGGTTCATTTTTCTTATTCAGTTGGTTTCTCTGTGGAAGTCAGTTGGAAATTTTATAAAATTCACTCAATGTAAATATTATTCCATATCACCTTGAGACAGAATTTGTATAGATCCAAACTCCATAAATGTAAAGAAATTAACGGAGAAATCAATTTTAGTTCCTGTAATTGAGTGTTTTGGTTGAATAGCATTAATTAAAAGATGAGAAGCGGGCAGCCTGTCAAGACAATAGTAACTGCCTCAACTTTCACATGTTCTTAGATGACATTTATTATTGATTTTTACACTAAAATCTGGAAATATTGGCATGTAGCTAAATCATTAAAATCAATTGTTATTTAAGCAAACAGGTAATATAAACTAAAATATAAGCCACCTGATGAGCTAGCTTTAAAAAAACATTAACTTCAAAGCACAAAACTTTCAAAGAATACCCTCGGTGGCACACACTTTGTAATCCCTGCTGCTTGGGAGGCTGAAGCAGGAGGATCAAGAGTTTAAGGCCAGCCTAAACAATTTAGCAAGACCCTGTCTCAATAACAAATACAAAGCAGGGCTGAGGGTGTAGCTCAGTGATAGAGTGCTTGCCTAGCATGTGTAAGGCCCTGGGTCTGATCTCAGTACCACATAAAAACAATAAATAAAGCAGTTAGGTGGCTCATGCCTATAATCCTAGCTACTCAGGAGGTGCAGATCAGGAAGATACAAGTTCAAGGCCAGATCAGACAGAAAGTTGGAAATACCCCCACCTCATCAAGCAAGCCAGGCATTGTGACCCTTGCCTGTCATCCCAGCTACACAGGAAACATAAATAAGAGAAGAATGGTCTAGCTGGCCCAGGCATAAATATGAGACCTTATCTGGAAAAATAACCAGAGCCAAAAGGGCTGGGGGCATGGCTCAAATGGTAGAACACCTGCCTAACAGCACAAGGCCCTGAATGCAAACCCCAGTACAATAAATAAATAAAATGTGAATGATAATTTTTAAAAACAAATTAATTAATTAATTAATTAATTAATTAAAGGACAGGGAATGTAGCTCAGTGGTAGAGTGCTTGCCTAGCATGTGAGGGCCTGAGTTCAATACTTAGTACCACAAAATAAAAAAAAAAACGTGAAGCTAGTTTGTCCTCATATATATAATAAAAATTTTTTAGACACTGGCTAAAATGAGAGAGGAAATTCGAATGAATAATTAGCACATAGAGCCTGTCAACATACCGGTGGCAAAGGTCCTGGTGGCACCTGGTACATCTGCACAGGGGGTCCTGAGGGTGGAGGCTGGGACAGATGGCCTGGCATTTGGCACTGTTGCAGCTGTGGGGGTGCAATGTAGGGATTCGCCCTGCTGCTGACAGGGGTGTGGCGGTATGGGTTGTATCCTTGTTGGGGGGTTCCTTGGGGTGGGCTCCCAAAATTTGAAGGCGGGAGACTACTTGGCTGAGAAGGCAAGTAAGTATTTATTCCCATCTGTGAGGAAGGTGGAGCACCATATTGAGCCTTTGAAACGGCTGGTGGAAACGCACTCAACACCTCTGGTGATCCAGTTGTAAAAGGGAGAGCAGCTGGGGGCTTGGAGAATGCTGACTGTCCAACCGATGCTGCCGCAGTGGTTAAGGGCGACTGTCCAATGTTCCCAAAAGGATCACTACTGCTTGATACCTGAGAGAAGTAACTAAACGTCTGTGGTGTGGATGTGGGAACAGAAGTCTGACCGAGGAAGCTATCCTCCTCACCAACATCTGTGGAATCCTCTGAAACAGAGCAGAAGAGGAGTGGTTTAAAGGGCATGCTAGCACGTCATTACACAGGTAGGACTCAGAAAGAGCAAGCAATTGTACCACTTCATTTTTACCCTAACTTGGACTGCTGCGTTAAAAAATGAAAAACTTTTTTCTCCAGAAACTGTTCTTTGAAATGAAAAGCTAGAAAATATGAGTAAGAACAGTCAAAGAAAAGCTTAATGCATTCATACCAGAAACAATTAATGTTAACACTACCAATGTGTATGTATACCCTTCCACACTTTTAAATAAATGTGAATAGCTATTATTTATTTGATAAATACACATCACTGTACATGTAAGTTTTAAAGGAGAAGCATACACCATGTACTTTTTCATATTATTTTGAATCTTTTTCCCCACTGATAAGACATAATTAAAATAGTATTCCATTTCCCAAACACATACAATTTTATTTCTACAGCCGTGAGGAGAAACTACAGATACAGAACTCTGCTGACAAGAAGGGGTGTGTCAGGGCTCTTCCTTACAAAGAGATTATTGTACAAATGAACATGGTATTTTATTCCCAAGGCAAAGTAGGTCGCCCACTAATTTCCATCCTACAGTCATGCAGTGTCACCACCAGATAGCTACTTATTATGGAACACTAAATCACTAAAAGAGTTATTTCTCTAAAAAAAGTTCTCCTCACTTCCCTCTGCCCAACTTGACCTTCACTGTGGGTATTTATCAATTCCAACAACTTCTCTTCTGTTACCAGGTCATCAAATAAAAGCATTTTCCCTCTACATGACCACAAAAGTCCACCCCACTCCTCCTTACTAAACTTTTAGGAGCCCTTAGCTTATAGCTTTCATCTTTCCCCTTCTAATCTTTCCTTCTCCTGTCTCTGTCTCTCTCACCTTCTACTGATGAGACCTAGAGTCTACCAGAGGAGTGGAACCATAGCCAGCACACAGGTATGCCAGTGGTCATTGCCTTTGGAGACCTGCTGAAGTTCTGGACTCCCCTTGACCTCTGCTAAAAAAGGCCACTGGGCATACAGAGATCATTTCTTGTGCTTCTAGGCTGCTTCCCGGTGTATTTCACACATGCCAGTTAAACTACAATGTTCCACCATACAGGTTTGGGCCACAATCCCAAAAGACATTCAGGATTATAATCAGCACTGTGTCTATAGTCCCAATTATTCAAGAGACTGAGGCAGGCAGAACACTTATGCCCACCAGTCTGGGCAACATAAAGGAGATTCCATCTCAAAAAATAAAAACTCCTAAAACTAATAAAAATACCCCTTCCTGCATAAGGCCCTGGGTCTACTAGCATCCTTTTACTTTTCTGATATATTTCCAGTTCGTACCACTCTTTTCAGTCCTGAAAAGTTCCCTTGGATTCCTCTCAATTTCTTAGTCCATCCTCCAACAAGGAAAAACATGGAGAAAACCTCTTAGTTTCACCAGTTAAGATAACTTGAGATAGACTTGGACCAAGAAATATATTTCTAATTAACTGCAGTTATAAATGAAATCCTGATCTCAACATACTGCTGGCCTCACCTCAGAGGCACTTTCTAATTTCATACAGATACTCTGGCATCAAGACCCGTAACTCTAAAGAGTGTTTCTATACTTGTAACATTCCCATCTCCGTCTCAAACTCAGACTGTGCTTCACATGTTCCAGAAGCTATTTTCCAAGTACTTTCTCAAGACTTCCCGGCAGACTCAGCCCTGAGGCCCGAGGGATATCCTCTCCCCACTCTGCAGCTGAGACCCACAGCATCACAGCAACCTGTCAATCCCTCCTTCTGACTATTCTGAACCTGCCAAGACTGCTTACCCAGGTGGGTATTTGTGTAGACATATATACGATGCAGCCACCAAGGGCAGAACTGTCTGATGTCTGTGACTACCTGACATCTGGAAAAGAGCTACCCTGGCAAGCAGAAGCTGCTCAATCCATGTTTGATGAATGTATGAAATTGCTTCCTAGGTGTTTCGTTCATTGATGTGATTACTGTTGCCTCCAAGGAGACAGCTGCTTCTTTTTCTCTGGAAACGCTCTGAGGGAAGACCTCCAAATAGGAAATCTTCTCTTAGAGGTGGAAATGTGCTTCTCACAGAAGCTATTAACGTTCTCACAAAAAACAAATTCTGTCTCTAAGAACCAAGAGCTTTAAAGACAGGTGTAGTTAACAATGACAGTGACATACAAACCAAATACTACACAGTAAGGAAGATGACATGAACCAAACAGTACTTCTGAGGCAGAGAACAATCTGAAAGCCCCAGGTATGGCCTTACTTATTACTGGAACTTCCCACAGCACTCTGATCAGCCATGCCAGTTCCTTACCAAAAACAGCTCTGCCAAACACTCCAACCACTCCGCCGCCATGAGACACACGGATTCCTGATGCCCATTCTCCCGTTCATTCAACATACACCTACTAAATATTGTGTTTGCTGCATTCCCAGCACTGCACATTCACTAGTGAATATACAAGTCCTTGCTTTCTTGGAGCTCACATTCTAGTGGGGTAGGCTAAACAAACATGTGTACATGTCAGATAGTGACAAGCACCAAGAAGAAACCTAACATGGGGAAGGGGAAGCTTCATGTACAGCTAATTCCAGCATGTCTTTCTTCACTTCTCCACGAAACCTTCCTTAGTCTTTCAAGTAGGAGTAAATTATCCACTGAGGGAAAAAAAATCAGCATTTAATGAGGACCTATGTGCTAGGCATTAGCACACAGATCTTCCAAATAAAAAGGTAAGTCATAGCTGCAAACGTCAAGAAGCTCACAGTCCAAATGGAGAGGCAAACATGTTCCATTCACAAATATTTACCCAACGCTATGAGCCAGGCACAATATTCAGTGCCTTACAAAGGTTAATCCATTTCTCACAACCCTATGAATCTGAACATATATGGAAATAGAAGCACAGACAGGTGAACTATCTGAGGTCACCCAGCAAGTGACTGACAGGACAGTCTGGGTTATGCCAAAAAAATCATCAAAAAGCAATCTCACTGGGTACCAGTGGCTCATGCCTGCAATCCCACCTACTTGAGAGGCTGAGATCAGGAGGATCATGGTTCAAAATCAGTTTGGGGAAATAGTTTGCCAGTCACCTATTTTCAAAATAACCAGAGCAAAACGGACTGGAGATGTGGCTCAAGCGGTAGAGCACCTGCTTTGAAAGCATGAAGCCCTGAGTTCAAAGCCCAGTCCCACCAAAAAAAAAAGAAAAAGAAGAAGAAAGCAATCTCTCCAGTCAACACTATTGGTATAAACAAAACAGCTAGACGGGGGCCTCAGAGAACAAGAAAACACTTTTTCGAGGAACTGTCTTGAAAAATGAGGATGCATTTTGTATCTATCACTTGCAAATATTACACGTCTATGCTAAGAGGGACACTGTCTGTCTATCGGAGATATCCTCTTGGATCCCAGGAGTCTCCTAGCAAGACTGTCTCCTACAAGAGGGGCACTGTCCATCCTGGAGACACCTTGCTGTCTGCTAGGAGCTCTGACCTATGTGCTAGGATCCTCCCAGGAGGGCGCTCCCCCCATCCTAGGGCAGGGCCACTGTCTAGCTCCCCGGAAGGTATATCTGCAGTGCCAGAGCACGAGTGTCCAGCACGCTGGACCGCTCTGAACAGGGGGCTCCTTCCACCAAAGCACTCTTCATCACCTGGCCCCGCCCCCAAGATCCCCAGGTCCCCGGCCCTCTCAAGGTCCCCTGGCCACTGCTGACCCTGGAAGCGACCATGAGAGCGGAGGGAGGCAGGAGACCCCCGTCGGACGCTTGTCACTCCCTGGCCTCCCTGCACACCTCGTCCCGGACCGCCCTCCGCTTACTACCTCCGGGCAGGAGCAGGGAGGCCGGGGCGGCGGCGGCTTGAGTGACTGGGATGAAGGGCACGTTGAAGCTGAACTCCGTGGCGGAGGAGGAGAAGAGTAAGTTAGTGCCCGAGGAAGGGGCGGAGGCGGCGCTACCACCATTGGTTTTTCTCTCGGCCATCGCTGCGGCCCACCGCCTGTTACACGTCTCCGGGAAGCCGGTGCCCTACCACTGGCCGGAAACCAGTCACCCTCTGGCCAGCGCACTTCCGCACTTGCGCACAGGGGCCGGCGTGCAAGAGCTGGCTCGACAGAGGCCAGCTATTTTCACGTAGCCGGCGCTGCCAGAAACCAAGATGGCGGCATCGGCTTCACACCCGAGTCTGGCACGTGACGCTCCCAGCCGCTGCACAGGCGCAGCTTGAGACCGAGTCCCATGCAGGATCAAACCTGTTTGGGATCTAAGTACGAATTGATGCTGAAAGTCACTGATGGGGAGAGAAATAGTGCTATGAAAGAACTAAGGAGTTTTCGTTGTTTGGTGTTTTTTTTTTTTTTTGGTGTGGGGCGGTATTGAACTCAGGGCTTCGCACTTGCAAAGTAGGTGCTCTACACACTACAGTCTTCCAGTCATGTTTTGTGTTTTTTGAAACAAGGTGTCGCTGTGTAGCCCAGGGTTTTTTCCAACTCAAGATCCTTCTGCCTTAGCCTCCTGAGTGCTGGGATTACAGGCCTGCACAATCATACCCGGTTGACGGGATAGTTTATTGTATTTTTGGCAGTACTGGGATTTGAACTCAGGGCCTCGCGCTTACTAGACACGTGCTCTACCGCTCAAGCCACTCCGCCAGTCCTTTTATATATTGAGTGATTTGAGATAGGGTCTAGTGAACTATTTGCCCAGGATGGATTCAAACCGCTATCCTCCTGATCTCTGCCAATTGAGTAATCAGGTTACAGGCGTGAACCACTGGCACCCAGTTTGACAAGATAGTTTAATAGGCAAAGATTTTAGAGGTTCAGCACTTAAGAACAGTCTGTAATCCTAGCTACTCAGGAGGCAGAGGTTAGGAAGATCGCGGTTCAAAACCAGCCTGGACAAATAGTTCTGAGACCCTATATGGAAAAAAGCCATCGCAAAAAAAAAAAAGAATAGCTGGTGGAGTGGCTCAGGTGGTAAGAGCACCTGCCTAGCAAGCATGAAGCCCTGAGTTCAAACCCCAGCATCATCAAACACATAAATAAAATAAGACTTTTTAAAGGTTGGGGCTGCTAAGGGAGAGTCACCAAGGGGTGTGAGTGGGGGTTGGTCCACATGACTAAGATGCCTGGGTTTGTTAATTGGTGCTTATCCACAGGAGATACATAATTTTCATATCTTTATGACAAGCAATGGTGTAAATAAGAGCAAGACATTCACAAGGACTGTGAATGATCTTGAATGTGTGAATTTCAAAGTGTCTTTGGGATAAAGGTCCTAGTTGGTAGAAGATTTACATCTCAAGGGGGCAAATAGAAGATTTATAATTGCAAGTTTTCTAACAATAACTTCTCTAATCTAGATTCAGGGATCTATTGAACCATCAAAGGTTTGGGCTGGAAGAAACCATAAGGTCTTCTGGCAATGTTGAGCTTTCTCAGAGAGGCATTTTAAGGGATTTAAGGTCATTCTAGATACATGGTGTCAAGCTGCTAGAAGCCATGCTAAAAGCTGATCAAGGACAGTCTCTGTCATTATAATCAAGCCAGTGTACTAAACACCAGGGGTACAGTGGTGTAAAAAAGACATAGACCCTTTCTTTGTGGAGTTTCAAATCTGGTGAAGATAGACAATATTTTTATTGTCCAAAAACTGGAGTGTAATAAATGACATTATGTAGAATTTCCCAAGGTGTGTTGATGGGATAATTACATCAGGAGGGAGGTATAACTTCCATGAGGGGAGATAGAAAATATCTTGGAACTGGACACACGATGGCTCATGCATGTACTCCCAGCTACAAGGTGTATCTTCCCCCGCGCCCCCCCTTCCCTCCCTTCCCTTCCTGGCTGCCATGAGGTGAACAGTTTTCTTCTTCCCACACTTCCCACCATGGTGTTCAACTTGACCACCTCACCACAGGTCTAAACCAATAGGACCACACGAGCATAAGCTGAAACCCTGACCCAAAATACACCTTTCCTCCTTTAAGTTGTTTATCTCAGGTATTTTGTCACAGTAATGCAAAGCTAACACAATCTGTGTGAGCACATAACAAAATACCATATACTAGGTGGCTTAGAAGTAAGAAGTTATTTCTCACAGTTCTAGAAGCTATCAAGTCCAAGATTAAGACGCCAGCAGATTCCATGTCTCCTGGCTTACAGACAGCACCTTTCTACTATGCCCTTATGTGGAGGAAGAGGCAGAAGGTCTCTCTCAGGCCTCTTTTAAGATAGGAATACCTTTCCTGATTGTAAGTGAACAAATGTGAAGGTAAATAAAATGGCAGAAATGTCCCTGGGAACAAACAGCAGAAATAACCCTGGGGATGTAAAGGAACAGATGGCAGAAGTGACTTTGTTTTAGATAAAGGAGATAGGAAGGCATACTTAAAACCAAAACATTTAGGGAGACTGAGAGACCAGCTTTGCACTCAGGTGCTGAGGCACAGTAGTTTCTCTTCCTAGACAAGGAAAACAAGATAAAACATTCCTAAGAGCAGACATCTAAAGAGATGAGATATAGACCCCTAAAAGGAGGGAGATATAGAAAACTTTCCCAAGATAAAATAACGAGCAGTAGTCATAAAATGTAGGTGATAAGCCTCAAGGACAGGATGGACTAAGGAGACCCTCTTGGAATATCCAGTCTGATAAGGATGGGGGCGGTAGCTAGAAGTTAATTAGACAGTCAACTATAGCCACAGTGTCGAAAGCAGAGTGGGGAGGGGTGCCTATGTTGGCCTCTATATAATCTCATGAATTTCAGCCATCCTGGGCTTAGCCCTTTTGCTAAGTCCCACCAATTAGGGTGCTTTGCTATCCTTTTGATAAACTTTGTGCTTGCTTTACTCTGAACTCCTGGTCTGTGGCGTGAACTTACTTTAACTCCTAACTCCCTCTCCAGCGCCTTCAATCATCGACTGTGCCAGAACACAAACCCAGGGAACAATAATCCAATCCGGTATCATATCACCTCACAAAGTCCCCTCAACAATACCATCATTTTGCAAGGTAGTATTTCAACATATGAATTTTGAAATAACACAACCCTCAGTCTACAGCAAGAAGAAAAACAAAACAAAAAATCAACAATTTCAGAGGGAATAGGATTTGCAACCAAGAAACAAGGTCATGATTCTGTTTTTTAAAAAGAGATGAGGCTAGGAGTGTAGCTCTGTAGTTATGTACATACCTAGCATGTCCAAAGCCTTGGGTTCAATCCCCAGCATGGCAAAAAAAAAAATTGTTGAAAAAAAGAAAGATAAGGGAGCTGGGCACCGATGGCTCATGCCTGCAATTTAGCTATTCAGGAGGCAGAGATCAGGAGGACTGTGATTTGTAGCCAGGCTGGACAAATAGTTTACAAGACCCTGTCTTGAAAAAACCCTTTACCAAAAAGGGCTGGCAGAGTGGCTCAAGTGGTAGAGGGCCTGCTAGCAAACATGACACCCTGAGTTCAAACCCCAGAACCACCAAAAAAAAAAGAAAGAAAGAAGTATAACAGAAAATACAATTTTTGTTCATGTTCCACTAGTGAGAACCTTGATGAATGGCACTCTTAGATGCAAGAAGAGCTGGAAAATACAGTCCCCATCGGGGTAGCCACACCCTAACTGTATAACTATGAGAGATTTAGTGAGCCAGTAACAGTGACTGTCACAGTCTGCCTTTGTTCATCAAATACCCACCCAACCCTCTCCCCAGACACAGAACATACTGTACCTCCTTCCCAAGGAAGGCAACCAGCTGTATTAGTTAGGCTTTGCATTGCTGTAACAAGTGAAAATAAATTTTTTTAAGAGGAAGGATTTACTTTAGGCTCACAGTTTCAGAGATTTTAGTCCATAGTCCTTGGCTCCATTGATTCTGGGCCCATTGTGAGGCAGAACATCATGGCAGCAGGAGTTAAGTAGCAGAGACTATTCATTTTGTGGCAGACAGGAAGCAGAGAAAGAGACAGAAGGGGCCAAGGCCAAGACACCCCCAAAACCTACCCCTACCCAGTGACCTACTTCCTCCAACTAGGTCCCACCTCCCAAAGTTTCCAGAATCTCCCAGAATAGTGCCACCAGGGGGGCACACTTCATATCCAGACCGAAACACAGGTACATACAACTTGAGAATGCATTGTCTTTGGGTAAGGCTCAGCCTTTTCTATTGGGTGTGAATGGGGCTCCTCCTGGCCTAGTGAACTATGATGAACCAAGAACAGAATAACTGCAATCAAGCCCCTCTACTGGACAAAAGGAGGGATGAAAACTGTAGCAACCTTTGTTCCACAGAAATGAGTGGGTCCTGCCAGGGATACATTGAAGATGCTCCCTAATCTGACAGTGGTTTGTCCAGCCTGCTTCTGGTTCAGCTGTATGGAAATAGTTCCCAAATACCCTTTCCCCATGTCTATGGTTATGCCCTCTGAGAGATTTCTCCTGGGCCATGATCTTTCATGGAATATCTGAAATGGCCAATGGGAAGGGTACCCCATGTGGGGGCTGTACAGCTTTGGTAACCCACTTCCAGCTGGTACAAGTTTGGGGCCCAAGACTTTGTTTCCAGCTGAAATAGTTGCAGGCTCCTGGCATTTGATTTCTAGCCAGTTCCATGCTCTGTATTTCCTCCTCTGACCAAATCTCATTTGTGTCACAGTAACAGGGTGAACTTGAGGTCACCTGAAACAACAGGTCTGGATGGCAGTCTCTTGATCTGGTCTTTGCCACATGGGTGGGTTATTTGGTGTCCCTGAGTTGTCTCAAAGGACCTTTGAAGATGCCTTTGACAAATCTCTTCCCTGGCATGGTGGTACACATCTGTAATACCCCATTCAGGAAGCTAAGGCAGGAGGATTGTACATTTAAGGCTATCCTGGGCTCCAGAGTAAGACTCCATCTTAAAAATTTAAAAAAATACCTTTGAGCAATAAATCTTATCTCCTTCAGGTTGAATACTGAGATGACTGGCTTTTCCAATCCTCTAAGCCCCCAATTTTTCCTGAGCTGTCCAATCTGGTAGCCACTTGGCTCTCTTGAGAATTGGAGGTATAACTCTCTAAACTGACAATGCTATAAGTACAAAATACACATAAGAGTTCCAAGACTTAGCCGAAAAATGTAAAATATCCCATTAATAATTTTAATACTAATTTTTTTCAAATTAATAATATTTGAATATGCTGGGTTTGAAATTAGGGCTAAGCATACAGCTCAGTGGTACAGTGCTTTCCTAGAACGTGAGGCTCCGGGTTCTATCCCCAGCAACACACACACTCACACATACACACAAAACAAAACAAGAAACAAAAACCCTAGCATGAAACCACTCAGGCTTAAACATTTCTTTAGATCTTCATTTCTTTATGAAGGCTCTTCTATCATATAGAATATATATCATGATTTCAGAAAGGTAAAGATATTGTGTTAGTTGTCATAACTGGAATAAAATATCTGACATAAACAACATAATGAAGAAAAGATTTATTTTGGCTCACGGTTTCAGAGGTTTCAGTCCATGGTCACTTGGTCTTGTCCCTTTGGGCCTGTAGTTATGCAGAACATCATGGCAGGAAGCACGTCGCAGAGAAAACCTGCTCACCTCATGGCCACCAGGAAGCATACAGGACATGTAGGGACCAGGCACAAGATACATCTTTCAAAGCACAACCTCAGTGACCTACTTCTTCCGATCAGGTCCTAACTCCTAGTTTCCAGCACCTCCCAAAAATGCCCTTAAGTTAGGAATCCAAGTGACCTAACTCTCTGATTAGGTCAGAGTCCTCAAGATCCACTCACTTCCCCAAAGCCCCACCTTTCACATTGTTCTGGGGACCCAGACCTTCAACACAGGAGTCTTTGGGAGACATTTCATATCCAAATGACAAGATATTTTTCCTTTCCCACACTTGCCACTACTGAATTGGTAATTGAACTGCAATTCAGATAAAGGAAATCTGAAATACAATAATTTAAAATCAGTCATTTTTGTGTCATGACTTTAATTTGCATATTGCTGGGCACGAAAACTATGGGATTTTCCCCATGCAGTACCACGGAGTTGGCAACCCTTTCAGCTAGTGAATGGATGAACCGAGTGGTGGTTATGCCAGGAGTTTAAACTAATTTCTTAGCTCACAAGAGCCAGATATATGATCTGGTTTGCCAATTAATTCACAATGAGAAATCTAAACTACCTCTTTTATCATAAAGTAAAACAGCACATCATCCTAAAAATATACCACTTAAGCATAAGGATTGTCTTGGGCTGAAGGCAACTGAGAAGATACAGCTCCAAGAAAAGCTCCTGCCCTCCCACTGGTTGCCTAAACACGGGACCTAAATTTTCGGAGGTGTCCCTCTTCCTCTCTGTACCAGGGAAGACAAAAGTTAATCGCCAGAGAAACTTCAGATCCTTATCAACACCAAGATGGTAAGAGGTTTTACATAACACATTTTTCTAACTGTGTTTACCATCTTTTCCCATAATTTTATCTTCCCAAGTTTGCCACCTTGGAAGCCCAAAACTGCTTTCCTTTGTCCTGTCATTTCTCTACAAATGTATTGCTCTTTGTGAAAGATGCTATGTAAGCCCAAATTCTAACCTGAGTTTCTCCCGTGTGTATACGCCGTACCTACTTAGAAATTTTTTTCCCTGTTACTGTGTGCCTTGTTCACAGAGAGAACCTCCCCTCCAGCCCCAAGGTGGGCTTCAGGTTCCCCGTCGTTCGCTGTGTTCCCGGGCTGGGGTTGGCAAGCGCTCCGCCATCCAGATACACCCCGGTTCTCCTCCAGCTCCCCACTTTCTAGATGCCCTTTAGACCATCACGCCCTTTGGCAGCTGAGTACATGTGTCTAATGAGACCGGGGTTTGCTGAGGGCCGTTCCGGGCACAGGGAAAACCCAGTTTTATTATAAACTTGGACATGTTCCAGGTTTCCTCCGCAAAAGGCTGCGGCAGCGTGGATCCTCCCCGGCTCCCTTCCGGGGGTCTCCTGTGGCATGGAGGGAGGGAGAAGCGTGCATGGCGTTTTCCCAGCCAGGTGCAAAAGGCTGGGCCGGCTGAGGGTTTGCCTCTTCCCGAGGACCCTGGGAGCCACAAGGCCTGGGATGTCAACAAAGGGGCGGGGGGGCTTAAAAGCCCCACTCATCCAAATGTGCATCTCCCTTAGACCTTATCCAGCTGAGGGAACGTCCTTAACAGAGGTCAGGGCGCCATCAGGAAAAAAAAGGAAGAAAAAGGAACGAAGAGGAGGTGTGCGGGCACCAAATGCTGCTTCACCCACTAATTTTGCCCCGATCTGGCTCCGAGGTCCATTTGAGCTCCTGCTTCTCGACCCTTGCGCAAAGACTCGCGCTGTGAATTACTGAGCCGGGGAGTCTCCCCGCCACGTTCGCACTCGGTGACACCAGCAACGCGCCGCCCTCAGCCGGCGACGCCGCACTCCGCGCTGCCCTTCCTCTGCCCGTCTCCAAGATGGCGGCCGCCTGGCAGTGGCCACGCCCCCGCGGAACCGACCCGCCCCCCCGTCAGGAACGCGCCGCGCGCTCCCGCCGCCCCTCCCGCACGAGCTCCACCCAGGTCGCAGGCAGCGCGGTCGGCAACCGCTGTTTCCCGCCATTGTGCGAAGTGAAGGCTGGGGCCCGAGCGCCGCGCCTGCCTGCCGCCAGCAGTTCTTCAACGCCTGTCCCCGCAGCTGCCGCTCGGGGAGACGCGAGGAGGCCGGTGGCCTGCGTCTGCCGTGCGTGGGAGGAGGTGGACAGGGAGCGGCCGCGCTTGTGAGGAGGAAGCTGGGCACCGGCCGCCCGACCGCGGCTCCGGCCCCTTGGCGACATGCCCTGCGGAGAGGACTGGCTCAGCCACCCGCTCGGGATCGTGCAGGGCTTCTTCGGTGAGTGGCGCGCCGGGGGCGGGTCGCGGAGTTCACGGGTGCCGGCCGGCCGCACCGCCCCACGCGGGATCGGCCACCCAGGCCCCAGCCCGGCCCGGCCTCTCTCCCTCCCCGGGCCGCGCGGCTGCAGGTGCCGCCACCTGCCTGGGTCCGGCCTTGCGCGCCGGCTGTGATTGACAGCCTGGCTTCCCCTCCCCACCCCCTCCCTGCGGGGCGGCCCAGCCCGGGAGAGGTCCCGGAACCGGGGGCGGGCCCGCGAGCCGTGGCGAAGGGGAGCCACCGTGCCCGTGGGAGCCTGCGGGATATTTCAAAACTTCCGGTGTGGGGGGGGGGCGTGCTCACTGCTTCGCCCCGAGGTTGACTTCTGCCCAGAATTGCACACATCCCCTCCTTGAGATGAAGAGCTCGTGCGGTAGCTTAGTTTTGGGGTCTGGGTAGCCTGAGGACCCGTCCACTGTATTATCTATCTGTTCCCATGCCAGAGCCAGCCAGGAATGTTGAAGTACTTACATGGATATCCACGTAGAAACAGCCGGGAAGGCTGCAGGCCAGCTTACTTGGTACATTTTAGTTGAGATTGCTGTTGCTACTTATCTGCCAAGGGAACAAGAAAAATGAACATTTGTTTCTTGTTATCTGGGCCTTTTGATCCCTTACCCGACCCCCCCGACCCCCCCCCACACACAGACCCCTTTCCCCGAGTGTCTTTGCACTTGAGGCGTGGGAGGAGTCAGTCTCAACCAGAAACTACTGCGTTGTGTTGGATCGCAGCGTGCTCTTTGCTCATTTACAACATTGTGAGGGCTGGGGGTGGAGTAGATAGAGCCTCTGTTTAGCACGTGTGAGGCCCCGGGTTCAACCCCAGGCAAAAAAGCAAAACCAAAAACAAAACATACATATGCACATGAATCTATCTCAGAGGATACTGGGGAGAAAGAAGCTAGAGTTCTCAGCAGCGAAAACTGATGACATGAGATGTGTTTCTTGTAGGAGGTCCTCTAATGCTCCCCTTCAACTATACATTTTACCTGTAATTCTAACTAGCTTAGTTATGTGGTTTCCTGGGTTGAAACTAAAGGCAGCAAATTAGAAGGTCTGGCTAGGCGTCTAGATTGTATCCAGTAAACACTGACAACCTGATAGATTTTTTAAAAACTATGTATATATTAAAAAACAAAACATGGGCTGGGTGTGTAGTTCCGTGTTTGTAGAGTGCATGACTAGCATGCTGGAGGCAGGCTTGTACAGTTTTTTGTAGCGCTGAAGATAGAACTCAGAGCCTTCCCCGTGTTAGGCAAGCGACAGAACTACTGAGCTACATTCCCCAACCCTTGTTCTTTTGAGATAGTCTCACTGTGTAACTCAGGCTGGCCTTGAACTGCTCTGTAGCTCAGGCTGTCCTGAACCAGATCCTCCTGCTTCTGCTGGAATTACAGGTGCTGAAATGTTTCTTAACATATCTTGGACATTTTCTCAACTGAGTCCAAGGGAATTTATTTTCCCATTCTGATCATCCCTGTTTTATACTGCCACATAGCCTAATTAATGCTGTCACGTACTTTAGGTTAGGTGACTAATCTAGAGCTGTGCTCCCCAATACAGGAACCACTTGTAGCTGTTTTATGTTAGTTGAAGTTACACAAAATGACAAGTTGTGTTTCTTCAGTGTCACCACATTTTAAGTGCTCAGTAGCTACATATGGCTATTGTACTCCTTTGCAGGCTTGGTGTTGAGTCGCTGTCATCAGGACTGTACTGGTGGACAGTGCAGATCTAGCACACTCTTTTAGTAGTTCATGCTAATTTTTTGATAACCACCTACTTGAATTTTGTCAGTATATCTTATTAGCTCTAGTTCTTAAATATCTCTTGGATCTGTTCAGAGGTCTGTCACATATTCAGGTCTTTGTAGGCCCTTTCCTGGAGGACTGGGATAGCCTCCTAATGTCTTGCCTCTGTGTTTGCTTCTCTCTCCCATTCTCCGCACTGGGACCAAGTCCTTTAGTGCATTCCTGTTGCCCTTAGTATCTGATCCAGACTTTTTTTTTTTTTTTCTCCTTTTTCTTTTATTATTCATATGTGCATACAAGACTTGGTTCATTTCTCCCCCCTGCCCCCACCCCCTCCCTTACCACCCACTCCGCCCCCTCCCTCTCCCCCACCAATACCCAGCAGAAACTATTTTGCCCTTATTTCTAATTTTGTTGTAGAGAGAGTATAAGCAATAATAGAAAGGAACAAGGGTTTTTGCTGGTTGAGATAAGGATAGCTATACAGGGCATTGAGTCACATTGATTTCCTGTGCGTGGGTGTTACCTTCTAGGTTAATTCTTCTTGAACTAACCTTTTCTCTAGTACCTGTTCCCCTTTTCCTATTGGCCTCAGTTGCTTTAAGGTATCTGCTTTAGTTTCTCTGCGTTGAGGGCAACAAATGCTAGCTAATGTTTTAGGTGTCTTACCTATCCTCACCCCTCTCTTGTGTGTTCTCGCTTTTATCATGTGCTCATAGTTCAATCCCCTTGTTGTGTTTGCCCTTGATCTAATGTCCACATATGAGGGAGAACATACGATTTTTGGTCTTTTGGGCCAGGCTAACCTCACTCAGAATGATGTTCTCCAATTCCATCCATTTACCAGCGAATGATAACATTTCGTTCTTCTTCATGGCTGCATAGAATTCCATTGCGTATAGATACCACATTTTCTTAATCCATTCGTCAGTGCTGGGGCATCTTGGCTGTTTCCATAACTTGGCTATTGTGAATAGTGCCGCAATAAACATGGATGTGCAGGTGCCTCTGGAGTAACAGTCTTTTGGGTATATCCCCAAGAGTGGTATTACTGTGATCCAGACTTTTTAAAGTGGTTTGTGAGGCCCTTTTTGGTTTTACCTCTGTGTAGTTCTCAGATTTCATCTCTCCCTTATACTCCATCCGGGCCATACTATATACCCTTGTTTAGTTCTGTGACTTTGATCCTCAACTCTAGGCCTTCTGCATGTGCTGTTTACTTTGCCTGCCTCTCCCTTCCCATCTCATGGTTTAATCTTACTTTTCCTTTGAGAACCAAGGTAGGTTAAGTACTCGCTGCTTCATGTTACTTGCATCCTGTGCATCCCTGAAAGTTAGCATGGGAAGCACATTGTTGAAATTGCCTGTTTCTTTGGTTCCTTTGCTAGATTTTCTCTCTGGGAATTCAGAACCTGCGTCTGCATTGTTCAGCATTACATCCTCATTGTCTGAAGTGTGGCTGGTACATTGAAAATGCTCAGTGCACATTTGTTGAACAGAAACAGTAGAAAGACTGATTAGTGGTATAAAGCGTGGTGGTTACTGTGACCACGAATCTCAAGTTTAGGACAGTTCTGCTGAGCCTTTGTTGGTCCAGAGACTTTGATCATACCAGATATGAGTTACTTTCACATGTTGAGCCTAATTGGTTTGGATAAGAAACTTTGAAGTTCTGTGGTTGACCAATCGCAACTATGTGAATCATAATTCTTTGTGAGCCAGTCTGTTTTGAATTTATATCTGTCATGTCATAATTCTTCATATGTAAGTTTTTCCCCATGAGCTTTTATAGTCTAGTTCTAGTTTACAACTGATTTTATATTCAGGACATCGAGGCCCAGAGGCTTAAGACTTAGGAATATAGTTCAGCAGAATTTTATTGTGTTCTATTATGTGTAAGATACTGATGGCTTAGTCCTCCCTGTGATTGTTCGGTAAAGACCGGTGTCAGATTGCTTCCTTTAAACAAAGGCGGGAACCTCAAATTAAAAAACCAAAAGCATCTCAGCACTTGGAAGGTTGAGGCAGAAAGAGTAAGAGTTCAAAGCTAATCCTGGACTACATAGTGAGAGCCTGTCTTAAACAAAAAACCAGTAAACTTTTGACTCTTATTTTTTCTTTTAATTATTTTTTTTCATTCAAATTTTCTTTCCTCAAATTAATAGCTTGAATAAATAACTGCATTTATTTATTTATTTATTTATTGAGACAGGATCTCACTGTGTTGCCCAGTCTGGCCTCCAACTTAATGACCTTAAGCCATTCTCCTGCCTCAGCCTCTGAGTAGTTGTGACTACAGGCACATGCCACTACCCGACCCATAACTCCTTTTAATTTCAGAAGTAGGCATACTTATTAACTCGGATTTCTTTACTGTTTCTACTTTAGGAAGTTGGTCAGACCAGATCATTATTTTTGGTTATATTTAAGGTTCTTTGGTTATATCCAACAGAACTAGACTGTCCCATGTAAAAAAGCACCGTAGTGTGTGGAGGAGGGCAGGTTGAATATTCATCACTAGCATTTTAGAGAATTTAAAGCAATAGTAAAACTCACCAAAAGTTGGCCTGCTTTTTATTACCACCATGAATTCACACCCTTCTTGTCGCAGGTTACATTTCTCCTCCCACCCTGCCCTTGGCAGGCCTTGAAAAGTGATTTATGGTAAGACTGGAGAACCAAAGACAAGGGGATCCCAAGGGACTGAGTAGAAGCTAGCAGGAATCTAAGCAACTCTTTTCAGTTTCTGACTTAGGCTACATTCATCTCTGCACGTTAACTTTCTCTTTTTCCATGCCATTGCTACTCCATTGTTCCTTTGCTCTTAGTCATGACTCACACTGGCTAACTTCTTTACCTGAATCCCAAATTCCAGGGATACAGCATAGAGTCAGGAGTCTACTTGTGGATTAGTCAGTAATGGCCATGACAAAAGTTGTATAGGACAAGCATGACTATTGAAGTCCCTCCCTCAACAGTGGGGAAGTTCCCAGAGAAGAATGCATTGGGCAGCCAGGATAAAACCTACATAGAAGTTTTTTGGCTTTTTATTTTATTTTTGCAGTGCTGGGCATCAAATTCAGGACCTTGAACGTGTTAGGCAAGCACTTTACTACTGAGCTACATCCCAAGTTTTTTTTTTTTTTTTTTTTCTTAAGACTGGGTTTTGAGGAGGCGTACTACTGCTTGAGCCACACCTCAGTCCATTTTGCTGTGGTTATTTTGGAGATGGGTGTCTCGTGAACTATTTGCCTGGGCTGGCCCCAAACTCAATCCTCTCAGTCTCAGCCTCCCAAGTAGCTAGGGAGTTTGAACTCAGGGCTTCATACTTGCAAGGCAGGTGCTCTACCTCTTGAGCCGTGCCCTTCCCTTGTAGTTCCACCCCCTCCCTCCCCCAGCCTAGCAATGAGTTTTTAGAGGCACAACACATACAACATCTGATGAGTTGGGCTTCGTCAAAACTTAAGAGTTTTGCCCTGCATAAAAGTACTATTAGGAGAATGAAAAGACGAGCTATAGACTGGGAGAATATATTTGAAAATCATGTATCAGATAAAGGACTTCTGTCTAGAATATAAAAGCAAACACAGTGGTAGTTCACCCAGTTTGAAAAAAAAAACAAAATAGACTTCTCTGCACATTTTAGCAGAGAGGATACAGGATGACAAATAGCCACTTGGAAAGAGTTCAACGTCAATTTGTAGGGAAATGGAAATATAAACCATGAGATGTTACACACTAAATAAAAAAAGAGAGTGATAACACTAGGTACTGGTGAGAACGTGAACATCAGCTCTTTAGCCTGTGGCTGGTAAGAATATAAATGGTATAGCCACTCTTAATCACACATTTATCATATGCTCAACTGTGCCATTCCTGGATATTTACCCTCCAGACACGAAAGCTGTGTTCACGCAAAAACCTGTGTACAAATGTTTATAGTTGTTTCATTCCCAGTTACCAAAATGTGGAGACAGTATAAATATTCTTCAGCAGGTGGATGGAAAAGCACATTGTGGTTCACCTAGATAATGGAATACTACTCAGTAATACAAAGAAATGAACTATTGTATTAACTTATGCATGCATGGGGCAGGGGGTCAAACCACTGCTGTGCTTGAAGAGTCTTCAGAAGGACTTACGTGACTCAGTGTATAGTTGTGCTCCTGATAAGTTTGTTTACAGCAGTGTAGTAAGAATACACAGCCTGTCAGCCTCGCACTCCATTACTAAGCCTTACTCCCAGGATTGTCTTTGATTGATCTGCTCCCAGACCAGTCAGTCATCAGAACTACTGTGAGGCCAAGTTCAGGTACACCCTTTTTTTCTCTACATTGTACTCACTTAACTCTAATAGCTCTTATGTCCCAGGTCTTGCTAGACCATGGGGATATAAAGGTTATTCTTCTGTAAATAGCAAATTTGTAGGTTGATTTGGAAAACTCCCTGTAATCGGTATAGCCTCACCTGTCTTTTGTTCATTGGTTTTATTTTCTTCCAGGCACTTAGTGTTCCAAGTGCTTGACTTTCTCGTAGCAGCCATTCTTATCTTCAGAGTACCATTACTGTTTGTTCCCTCAGAGTAGTCTACATATAGAATAGGCTGATCCTTTACACCTTTGGTATGTTTTGGTTCTTCACCTCTTTTAAAGCCTACCTCAAATCCCATTGCTTTCGGAAGCCCTCTCTTGACATGTTTTGATCTACATTAGTTTTTCTTTTTAAGTTCAGCTGTTCTAGCCATAGCTTATCTTGCCTCTAAGTTCCTTCAGCAGGTCACTTTGGTGTAAGGATTAAAGCAGCCCAATTCAAAAGTAGCTTATTTGGGAAATTTGGCTATTATCTCATTTCTCCTAGTTTCTTTCTTTCTTTTTTTGGTGGTGCTGAAATTTTAACTCAGGGCCTCGAACTTGCTAGGCGGGCACTCTACCACTTGACCCACACTTCCAGCCTTTTTTTTTGGTGTTGGGTATTTTTGAGATGGGATCTCACAAACTGTTTGCCTTGAACTGTGGTCCTCCTGAGCTCTGAGTCCCGAGTAGCTAGGATCTGGGTGTGAACCAGTGGTGCCCACAGCCTTCTATCTCCCTAATTTCCTGGAAGGTTGGATCAGTAGCTTAATTTTGTTTTGGTGATGTGGAACTTTAATGGGTGTCTCTGTTTTGATTTTTTAGTCTCTTGTGTTGGGGCCCAGTGCAGGAACCTATTTCAAAACATTGGCCTCCTGCAATTTTTTTAACTTTGTTCATACTTGATTGAACTCCAATCATAAGGAAACAAATACCCAAAATGAATCTTTTTTTTTTTTTGAGACAGGGTCTTACTCTATAATTCAGGCTAGCTTCAAATTGATCATCCTGTCTCAGCCTTCTGAATGCTGGGATTATAGGTATGCTCAACCACACCCAGCTCAGTTTTGAATTTTCATATATTTTGGTGGTACTGGGGATTGAATTCAGGGCCTCGTACTTGTTGGGCATGAGTCCTACCACTTGAGCCATGCCCTCCCCCAGTCCTAAGTTTTTATTTAAAGGACTTATATTCTGAAATATCGTTGCCATATCCCCAGTACTGCCTCCCCCTCAAAAAAAAAAATCATGATCAAGAGAGGGCTAGGAAGGTAGCTCAAGCAATAGAGGCTATGAGTTCGAAACCCTGTACTGCCTCCCCTCCCCCCCAAAAAAATAAGAGATTGAGGAATCTGCTAGATTAAAGGACATTTAAGAGACTTAATAGCTGAATGCAATATATGATCCTAGAACTGGGGAAATATATGGTCCTGACTGAAGGGGAAAGGTGCTATAGAGGATAGTACGAGGACAAATGACAAATTGGAATATGGCTGGTAGATTAAAACTATGATAAAAAGTAGTGTATCTGTCTTGAGTTTCGTGAGCTTGATAACTGTGGTTATATAAGACAATCTTAGGAAACACAGTGGAATATTTAGAGATAAATGTACGTATGATGTGTGCAAGTAAAAGCAATGGGTCAGAAGAGTAGATAGGACAAATGATAAAACATACTGTGCAGGGATGCAGGTGTTCTTTATACTATTTATGTAATTTACAAGTTTGAGATTATTCCCAAATAAAAAGTTTAAAAGACATAGCTGGGTGCTGGTGGCTCACATCTGTAATCCCAGCTACCTGGGAGGCTGAGTTCCAGGAGGATAATGGTTTGAGGCCAGTCCAAGCAAACAGTTCACATGACCCCATCTCAAAGATAACAAGAACAAAATGGACTGGAGGTGTGGATCAAGTGGGGAAAAAAGTTTAAAAACAAAACAGCACACCTTCTGCCCTACATTTCAGGGTAGTTACAAGCTTTGCTTTTAATCTACATGAAAATATTATAAAGAGTGAGTGCTCATTTTGTAAAGCTATGCTGCTCTGTGGAGGACTGCCTCACATCCTCACACTGGTGTTGGCAGCTGGCTGTTAGCTCCAGAGAGCCTGCAGAAGGGGACAGCCTCAGGATTTGCAGAACCAGCACTCAGCAGGGCATCTTCTTGAGTGCTTTGTGAGTGCTGCAGATGCATTGAGATGTATATCTGCATCACAGGAGCAAATTGTCATTCTGTTTTAACTGAGTAAGCTGATGTGTGTGTTCATCAGTACAGATATCATTATAGGATACCTTGTTACCTTTGAAAGCTGTATTTCTCTTTCAGCCCAAAATGGACTTAATCCTGACTGGGAGAAGAAAGTTATTGAATACTTCAAGGAAAAGCTGAAGGAAAATAATGCTCCTAAATGGGTAAGCTTATTTTTATTCTAGGAGGAGAAGGTTGGGCAGGATACAGTAGGGTAGAAACCCACCTGTAACTTCAAAATATATAAATGTGTATACTTCTGATCCAGTACGTATGTACTCAAAGATTCTGGTCTCTTGAAGTGTTAAGTTAGCACAATTAAATGCTTTTATTTTGTGCCTCTAGGTGGCAGTAACTGACTGTTAATTCCTAAGACAATCAGCCTTTGGTTGTAAAAGCATCTGTTGCCTTTGTTTTGTTACCTTCATTTTAAAAGAATTGGCATATATGAGTTTTAAAGAGAGGAGCTCCTCTGAGTAAATGCCTTTGTACTGATTGAAAAGGGCTTGGGAGGAAAAGTATCCTTTTGCATTGTGATCACAAGAGGAAAGTTTTGTCCAGCAGCTTTGTTGTGTTGGCCATGGCGAACATTTGGCTTTCCAGTCAAGCTAGACTTTCCGTGTATATTTATGACAATTTGTGTCTGGATATATAGTATGTGTATATATAGATATATGTTTAATGTTTTGTAGACAGATACTTTGTTGACTTTGTTGCTTGTTTTCTTTAAAGGTACCATCATTGAATGAAGTTCCACTTCATTATTTGAAACCTAACAGTTTTGTGAAATTTCGTTGCATGATTCAGGATATGTTTGACCCCGAATTTTACATGGGAGTTTATGAAACAGTTAACCAAAACACAAAAACACGTGTATGTATTACTTTTTTCTTTTTAATGAAACTTTCTGCTTATAATTTGTGGTATTATACTGATATATTGCTATCCTTGTTTTGGGTTACAGGTTCTTCATTTTGGAAAATACAGAGATATAGCAGAGTGTGGGGTATGTACCATCAAGATATACAAAACATTGTAATAATATTTTTTTCCCTAAGCATTTTTTTCTCCTTTGGTCAGTTTTCAGTTTGTGTCTTGTGTATAAATAAGTTCTAAGAAAATCATGCAAAGTATTTTATTTGGTTTTAAGTGTGTTTCTGATGTGGTTTTCTTATTGTCTTTTAAAGATCCTTTAGGAAATAGAATATAAATGAAAAAGTTTCTTTTCTCAATACCTATTTCATTAAAAAATTACAGTTTATGATTATTTTTCCTTGAATGAAAGTGAAAGACTAATTCATGCTTAGCAGTTCAACTAAATATAATTAAATCTTACTTTTTCCTGTGAGAAGGTTTTTTTTGTCGGGGGAATGATGGGGATTAAAGCCAGGGCCTTGCATGTGCTAAGAACATGCTTTGCCTTTGAGCTACATCCCCAGTTTAAAAACATGCACATATCATTTTAAATAACTTTTCATTGATAAAAAGAAGTAATGAAATTATCTTACATATGAATATTGGGAAGAAGAAAGCAAGTGGTGTGTGTAACTGCAGCTGTGAAAAGGATAGTTCTGAGTTAGGAACTTACTAGAAAAATGAGTTGTGAAGGAACCACAGAATATCTTTTTTTTTTTCCTTTTTGTTGATTTTCTGATAATAAGGGAACAAGATGCAGAATTAAGTTGAATTTTATTCTAACACCTGTTAGACAACCCTGGTGCTATAGCTGGGAAAGGTTTTAAGTTCATTTCAATTTTAATAGTAAAAAAGATCATTAGCATGTCAAAATAAATTGGTTAACCAAAAATGTTTTCTATCATTTGCTCTTTGTGTTTTTCATGTTTTTGTTTGAAACACAGACCCTAGTTATCAACTATTGGAAAGAAAACAAGGACCACAGGTGGGGCCCACCAGGCAGGTGATTAAACAGGGCCTAAGTAGGAAGGTGAGGCCTCCATTGAGTTACCTATGTTCTGGGTCTAATTCACTGCTTTGTAGATCCAGAATGTTACTTTTATTAGGTTATATAGGGTCCTTTTCCATTCTTGGAGTCTAACTCCTACTTACCCAAACTGCAAGAGGTTGGTTTATAAACCCCAATACCAGCCTGTTAATTCCTAGTAGTAGGCAGATCTGGGCAGAATAGTTCGAATTTGAAAGGTAACCACAAAGATTATAGATTAAGCAAAACTGTAACTTATGACAGTTATTAAGAGTAGTGAACTTATTTGAAAGAAGGGTCCACTTAATTTCACAGATGACCAATCTCAGGCCTCCCACTGTCTTTTCTTTAAGGTGTTTCCATAAGTAAGTATGCCAAGTCTAATCAATGCCTGCTGTATCTCTTGGTTAAGGACTTCAAACACATAGCTAATTTAAGACACAGTTTTTTGTTTTTGTTTTTTCTCTCTAGTACGCACAAGTGTTCTGTAGCTCAGTAATCGTGGCCCTGGCAATGACTAATAAGACAGGAAGGCTGTCCAGCAGTGACTGTGCCAGACAGGAAGGCTGTCCAGCAGTGACTGTGCCACAGGCTCAGAAGAGAGTCTGTGTGTATGTTGCTGAAGAGGCTTAAATGAATGCCTATGTCAGAAAAGGGGACCTTGGGCCTGGAAAGAAAAAAAGCTCAAGCTTGAGCTTAGGCTCAAGCTTGGTGTCTCTCAGATCCTTTCTACTTACTAGGTTTCTAAGTATATTTGAAATAGAGAATAGCCTGTCCTAGAGGGTAAGGGTTGAATTATAAATATCATCCCAGAGTTACCTAATAATGAGTATTTCATTAAATTCTATGAAAGAAACAGTGGAGTTACCGCATGTTTGTCTTTTCTTTGTTTTGGGGGTTTGCTGAGATTTGAACCCAGGGCCTCATGACTGCTAGGCCAGTGCTCTGTCACTGAGTGGCACCACTAATCCCCTGCTTTGTTTTTGAAGGGATTAAATTTTGTAATCTACGACATGACATATCATGGATTTGAGGAAGGTAGTATTTTGATTATTGCATTTAAAATGATTTTGTCAGTTTTCTTTTAAAAAATGGTATTTTGAGAACCCAGGTGTGGTGACAGACACCTTTACACACCTCTCAGCATTGAAGAGGCAGAGGCAGGAGGACCACAACATTCAGGCTAGCCTGGGCTGTGTAGCAAGGCTGTGTCTCCAAAGCAAAACAAACGATATTTTGAAATTAGTCACTTGTTAATTACATTAATTTTTGAGGGGACATATTTTCTGTGATTTTATAAATAACATGAAAATACAGTTTTTAACTTTCTTAAAGTTTGTTTTTCTTAATAAAAATTTAAAAATACTTTTGTGTATACCACAGCCTCAGCAAGAACTTGATTTGAACTCTCCGCGATCTACCACTTTGGAAAGACAGACTTTCTACTGTGTTCCAGTGCCTGGAGAGTCTACATGGGTAAAAGAAATATCCTTTATCTGAGCCTTACTGTGTGTGCTGAGTGGTTCCTAATTATTTTAATTAAAAGCACCACATTTAAGTTTTCAAGTTTCTAATCTTTTTTACATGGTGACATTAGGTGGAAAAAATTTTATTCATCATTTGTAAGTTATAACTTTATTTTAATAAAATATAGCTGAAAATGATAAAATTATAGAATGTTCCTGTATGATACACTGTTTAAAAGACTGAATTAGATTTATAGGAACTGAAAGATTATTATGATAATTAGGTAAAATGTAGTTTCAAATTAGAATTCCTTCTGTTTTTATGGTGCTAGTGATAGAACCCAGGACCTCATGCATGCTGGGCAAACGTTCTACCACTGAGTCACAGACGCAGTCCCTTTAATTTCCTTCCTCCCTCCTTCCTTCCCTCCCTTTGTTGCTCCCTCCCCCTGCTTTTCAGTACTGGGGTTTGAACTCAGAGCCTACACCTTGAGCCTCTCTACCAGGCCTTTTTTATGATGGGTGTTTTCAAGATGGGGTCTTGCAAACTATTTGCTTCCTTAATTTATTTTTTATATTATTCATTTATTCACAAGTGCGTACATTGTTTGGGTCATTTCTCCCGCTGGCCGCCCCCCGCCCCCCACACCTTAATTTTCTTAAGGGAAAACAACATGTTCTTTTCAGAGGAGACTGAAAACATAAGTCAGTCTTTCTCTCTCCTCTCCCCCACCCCAACCCCTTTTCTTTTTTGAAGATAGTAAGGAGTGGTTTATTAGCAAAACAAACATATACCTGGGCAGTTCAGGTCAGGATCATCTGCCATAAGTTTCCTTTTCATTTATTCAGTACTTTTGGTTAGTAATTTTTTTGATGTGGCCCACATACACTGAAAAGAACAGATTAAAAGGTCAGGGTATACTTAAGTGATTGGGTAAAGGCATCTGTGCCCTAAAGCAGATGCCCCAGTCAGGTAAAGAACTGGTGCCAAGAAATCCCATTGTGCCTTTTTTCAGTCACTACTTTCCTCTCCTGCAGCCATGTCCTGACCTCTTTGACCAGGCCATTGTTTACCTCTTCTTTTTTTTTCCTTTTTCTTTTATTATTCATATGTGCATACAAGGCTTGGTTCATTTCTCCCCCCTGCCCCCACCCCCTCCCTTACCACCCACTCCGCCACCTCCCTCTCCCCCACCCAATACCCAGCAGAAACTATTTTGCCCTTATTTCTAATTTTGTTGTAGAGAGAGTATAAGCAATAATAGGAAGGAACAAGGGTTTTTGCTGGTTGAGATAAGGATAGCTATACAGGGCATTGACTCACATTGATTTCCTGTGCGTGGGTGTTACTTTCTAGGTTAATTCTTCTTGAACTAACCTTTTCTCTAGTACCTGTTCCCCTTTTCCTATGGCCTCAGTTGCTTTTAAGGTATCTGCTTTAGTTTCTCTGCGTTGAGGGCAACAAATGCTAGCTAATGTTTTAGGTGTCTTACCTATCCTCACCCCTTCCTTGTGTGCCCTCACTTTTATCATGTGCTCATAGTTTAATCCCCTTGTTGTGTTTGCCCTTGATCTAATGTCCACATATGAGGGAGAACATACGATTTTTGGTCTTTTGGGCCAGGCCAACCTCACTCAGAATGATGTTCTCCAATTCTATCCATTTACCAGTGAATGATAACATTTCATTCTTCTTCATGGCTGCATAGAATTCCATTGCGTATAGATACCACATTTTCTTAATCCATTCGTCAGTGGTGGGGCATCTTGGCTGTTTCCATAACTTGGCTATTGTGAATAGTGCCGCAATAAACATGGGTGTGCAGGTGCCTCTGGAGTAACTTGTGTCACAGTCTTTTGGGTATATCCCCAAGAGTTGTTTACCTCTTCTTGAGTGTCACATAAATGGAAACATGTTGTGTATAGTCTTTTAGTGTTTCTGGGCTTTAAACTTCCGGGAGGTGCCCTACCTCTTGAGCCACTCTGCCAGTTCTTTTTGTGTTAGGTACTTTTGAGATAGGTTCTCGAGAACTATTTGGCTGGGCCGGCTTTGAAACTCAATTTCTCTTATCTCTACCTCCCAAGTACCTGGGATTGAAGGCGTGCACTGCTGGAGTCTGGCTTGTGTCTGACTTTGTTTCACATAACGCATTTGGAAATTACCTGTGTTGTGTGCATCAGTAGTGCATTCCTTTTTTATTGCTGAGCATCACTTACCCATATGGTGTCCAGCTGATTTAGGTTGTTTCCAGTTGGGAAATTGGAAACAACCAATTTAATTTAATTACTAATTCAATTTTGTTTGTTTGTTTGGGGTAAACTTTGTGCTTGCAAAGCAGGCACTTGAACCATACCTCCAGTCCATTTTGCTCTGGTTGTTTTGGAGATGGGGGATTGAGATCTGTTTGCCTGGCTGGCCTTGAACTATGATTCTTTTGATCTCAGCCTCCCAAGTAGCTAGGATTACAGACATGATCAGTTTTTAACAGGTATTTTGTATCACCTGTGATAAGTTGTATCTTTCAAGAAATGCTTCAGTCCATTCAACACCAGTTGTTGAATTTTTGACACAAAGCTTTTCTTGATACTTCCTTGTTTTCCTTTTAATGTCTGTGGACTATCATGTTGATCTCTTTCATTCTCAATGATGTTAGTTCATTTTTCTCTTTTTTTTTCTTGATTAATGTTGCCAGGGATTTGTCATAGAATCAGCTCTTTAATTTTCTGTTAACTGTTTCATTGGTTTCTGCCCTTAATATTTCCTTCCAGTTTGGTTTGGTTTTAATTTGTCTTTTTCCAGCTTCTTGAGGTAGACACTTGGATCATTGACTTCAAATTTTCCAATATTAACAATTAGAGCAGTAACTTTCTCTAATCACTGCTTTAGTTTCATCCCACAGATTTTGATTGGTTGTATTTTTAATGTCATTCAGGTCAAAATCTTTTCTAATTTCCATTGTGGCTTCCTCTTTGATCTTTGACTCTTCCTGCACTGTACTTCTATATGTCTCCTCCATTCTTTCTGGTACTACTGTCATGTGTTTCACTTGAACTTCCATTAGAGAGCCTGTGATATGTTATTATCCTTGCTTTAAGTAGCTGTCTTCTACATAAATTAAGAAGTGAGAACAAATCCCTCCTTTATACTTGTGAACATGTTTGCCGTCTGCAGTTCTCTTTGTTCTTTGTGGGGTTTTTGGTTTTGCAGTACTGGCAGGACCAAGGACTAGCACTCTACCACTGAGCTACATGCTCAGCCCATTTTTATTGTTGTTTATTTTTGGGGCCTCCGCCAGCCTGGAACTTGCCATCCTCCTGCATACTGGGATTACAAGTATGCACCACTATGCCCGATTTGGTTCGTGTTTTTATGTAGAATCATTTCCCTCAGCTTCTCCCCTGCCCCCTTAAGAACTGACCTTTTACTGAATTCTCTGTTTTTATTCATCCGAAAAATGTCTTATTTCACTTTCATTTTTGAAGGGCATTTTTACTGTCTATAGGACTGGTGATTGATGTACTCTTCCTCTCCAGTATTTTAATTATATTATGCTATTGTCTTTTGGCTTTCTGTTTAGGGGGAGGGACAGTACTGAGGTTTGAACTCAGCAGGGCTTGCTAGGCAGGCATTGTAGCACCTAAGTCACACTCCCGGCCCTTTTTTCTTTACTTCATTTTCAGATAGGGTCTTATGTTTTTACCCAGGTTGATCAGGACCTCAGTCCTCCTATTTATGCATTCCACATAGCTGGGGTTACAGGGGTGTACCACCATACCTAGCTTATTGGTTGAGATGGGGTCTTGCAAACTTTTTGCCAGGGTGGCCTCAAGCCCTGATCTCCCAATCTCTATCTTTGCAGGAGCTGTGATTATAGACATGAGGCACCATGCCCAGCAAAAATGTTGTGTTTATTTCTGACAGAGGAAACTGGGTCACTTTAACCTTGTCGAGGCATGGTTTCTGGATTAGCTAAAGTGGGTGTAGAGGAGCCCTTACTCTGCAAAACATAGTCCTTACTCACGAAGTGCTATTTCTAGGTCTTAACTAAATGTCCAGGATGTTCAGCAAGGTCCAGTTCTAGTACTTCATAGTCTCCATTTAACTCTCAGCCATCCAGCAGCTTGGAACCTTGACTTGCATATCATATCCGTAGCTTGGTATTTGGCCAAAGACACAAATGCAACCTACACTAGTTCTGGGTCTTCTCTCTGTAACTGCTTCCTCTCTAGCACTTGTCTGCAAATCCCTGGCGCTTTTGGAACCCTGAACTATGTGCTCTGTTTCTTCTACCCAGCCAGAGCCAGGCGTCCACTTCTCTTTGCTGCATTTTAGAAAAGGCTTCCCACAAAAAGTTGGAAGGATACAGAGTTTTCCTGGAATGTGTGTCTCCTCATTCAAGGACTATAATCTGTGCTCCCTTTTGTCCTGTGCTTGAAAGCAATTGTTGCTTCATTAATTTGTCCAGTGCCATGGTTGTGTTTAGCCAGGGTTCAGGGCATAAGGATGAGTCCTCTTCCTTACCTGACCAAAACTGAAGTTCAGCCTCCTTTTAAAAATACTTTTTCATTTTAATTGAATTGCCAAACTAATAATTTTTTATTAGCCACATAATTAGCATTACTTAGGATATTCGTTTGTTCATGGTAGTGTTTTCTTAACCTTTTATTTCACGCCTATGTCAATGCAAATCAAGCCCGAGTCAGTCCTTCCACGTCCTATACTCCCAGTCGTCACAAGAGGAGTTATGAAGATGATGAAGATATGGATCTCCAGCCCAATAAACAGAAAGACCAGCACCCAGGTGCCAGGCAAGCAGGTAGTATGCAGCAGGCTTCCTGCAGACCTCTGCTTTCCTACAAGACATGCATTTTCAGAGTTTATGTCGTATGATACAGTTCCAGATATAGGAGCTGGTAATGTGATAGCCTAACTTTTACTTGGTCTTATCAGAATTCTAGTTTGGGGTACGGGGGTGTCACTCAGTGATAGAGTGCTTGCTCAGCAGGCACAAGGCTCTGGGTTCCATCCCCAGCACTGCAAATGACAAGTAACATAAAAAGAATTGTAGATAGTTTTGAGAGTTTTTACAAAAAGTGCTTTTTGATCAGACTCTGCTTTGTAACTCACCAATTTAGGCATCACTTACTGAAAAGTGACTGCTTTCGTGTATGTTCTTAGAGTGTCAAGTAGTTAGCTGGAAAGTCTGTTCAGTTTATTTTTATCTCAGCTTTATAAGTAATGTGGAAGCCTAGTACTTTACACTAAAAGTGATTTAACTATATGTAAATATATATATATATATTTTATTTTTCTTTAGTACTGGGGTTTGAACTCAGGGCCTACATTTTGAGCCACTCAATTAGGCCCCTACCCCCTTTTTTTTGCAAGGAGTTTTTTTGAGATAGGGTCTTGCAGACTATGTGCCCAAGCTGGCTTCAAACTGCGATCTCCTGATCTCTACCTCCTGAGTAGCTAAGATTACAGGCATGAGCCACCAGCACCTGGCTAAAAGTGACTAAATTATGTTTGAAGACATCCTTCCTCATTTTCTTTTTGTAATCATGGAACGTTCATTTAATTTTGTAAGACTAACACTGTCAAAGGAAAAACCTGCAATTATGGTTTACTAGATGAGTTTGCACTGCTTTATTTCTTAAAATATAGCTAATTTTCATGAAAGCCTGGAGACCAAAAGTTGAAGTTTTCTAAGCACATAAGAGAATTTCAAAATTTATTGGCTTCATTTACACCTGTATGAGCAGTGAATTCTTCATTATAGCAGATAGATAAGTTTGTCTCTGTTTCTCTTCCATATGTCCCTTCTAGTCAAAGGGACAATCAAAAGGTGAGACCCATCAGTCTGGTGAGTCACTGTCTGCCAGATTGGGTTAAGTGCAAACTTAACCTTCAGGTAGGGAGAGAGTCGCTAATGGATTTTGTTGAACCACATGTTAATTCTGTATTCACGTATGCTGCTGGATTGCCTTAATTCTGAGGCATAGTTTAGTGTTTTTGAAACTGGAACGTTTTATGGCTAACAGGTTACAAATGCAGTAGCCTTTCTTTTTTTTTTTTTTGAGATGAATATTGCATTCTAACCAGTGATGAATTTGAATCCAGGAAATAACAGCGATTTTATCATTTAAGCGTTTGAATGTCATAGACAGCAGGACTTAGTATGCATTTGAGCACAGTATTTATGTAGAGTTAAACTTGTTGGTTTTTAGGCTATCCGTATTTTTAAATTCTTTGAGATAAATATGGAGTCATACTGTTGTAAGAAATAATACAGGCAGATCTCATGCTCCCTTAATGGTGACATCTTATGTAATTGCAGTAGAATATCATAACCAGGAGATGACATTGGTAAAATCTATCCACCTGTATTTCGTTACAGGATTTCTCCTGTTACCCTTTAATGACCACCAAACCCCCACCAAGTCCCTAACTCCTGGCAACCACTAATCTGTTCTTTACCTCTATAATTTTGTCATTACAAGTACATTACATAAATGGAATCATACATTGTATAACTTTCCAGGAATGGCCTTTTTCATGTAGCATAATTCCCCTGAGACCCATCCAAGTTGCTGCTTGTATCATTTGCTCCTTTTGAAAGTAGGAAAAAGGTACATTCTACTATGGTATTTTGTTGTTGGCAAAGTATGTATTCCTTAGGTGAAAATGTCACAATAATCGTGCAGAATATTAACTTTTAAGGTACTTGCATGAGATCTGATGGCAGTAATTTGTTGCCATTTTATAGTAGGAAAAGAACTAAAAGTTTGGATCCATATTTATCTGTGTTCTCTTGTAGGTCAAGTGTAAGTGTTCGTTAGTGTGTGATTATAAAGTAACAATCTGAACTTTTCAAGTGCAGAAACATATCAAATTTAAGAACTTTTGGAATGTTCTTTTACTCCAGGAGGCCTCAGAAATCTCTTTAAGTGCAGGACTGATAGAGTGGCTCAGGCCGTAGAGTGCCTGCCTAGTGAGCGTGAGGTCTGAGTTCAAACCCCAATACCAAAAATCAAAAGAAATGACTAAATGCAATGCTGTCCTTTGAATTTAGGGAGTGTCAGTGGCCTTCAGTGGTGTGGAGAGCCAAAACGTTTGGAAACGGAAGCTTCCACTGGGCAACAGTTGAACTCCTTAAACCTCTCTTCTCCTTTTGACCTGAACTTTCCACTTCCAGGAGAGAAGGGCCCTGCTTGCCTTGTGAAGGTAATAAAACCTTTTGTGGCCTGGCATTGATGGATATGTTGTCTCAGGAGCTGAAATGGAAAACTCCTGGCATTTATATTAGTTTCTTTGTTGCTATAGCAAATCACTACAAATTTAGATGGAATAAAAACTTGTTATTTTACGGCTTTCAGTCAGCCTCTTTTCTGGAGGCTCTGAGGGAGAATCTGGGGGGAAGTTTGCCTTTTTTTTCCCTTTATCTGGCTTCTGGAGGCTCTTGCATTCATTCCTTGGCTTATGGCTCCTCCTCCATCCTCAAGACCAGCCACATTGCATCTGTCTGACCATTTTTTCATAGTCGCATCTCCATCTGAGTATCCAGGAAAGGGATAGGTTCCCCTTTTATGGACCTATGTGATTATATTGGGTACACTCTGATAATCCAGGATAAGATTGTGATCTCAAGAACCTTAATCAGACCTGCAAATCCCCTTTGTATATAAGGTAATATATTCACAAGTTCCAAGGATTGGGTTGTGACCCTCTTTATTTCTTAAAGAAGTGAGTATTTCATAGAAGTGGAACAACTTTTTAATTCTTCTCTGCTTTCTTCCTAACATCATTTCTAAGTTTATAGTATTTTACTTTTTCCTACTCTTAGCAAGGTCCATTTCTCACTTGTATTTAAAATAAAATACAAGTTGGGTGTGGTGGCACACACTTGTAATCCCAGCACTTGGGAGGCTGAGGCAAGAGAATTGTGAGTTCGAGGCCAGCCTCAGCTACATTATGAGACCCTGATCACCAACCCTTTGCATTCTTATTCTTAGTAGTTCTAACTTAAATGGTACCTCAGTCACTAAATGGGGCGTCGAATTACCATCGCTTCTCCTGTGCTTCCACCATGTCTCGACAGTCATGTGCTTTATAGTCACTAAAGCCTGTCCTGTCACAGTTTTCAGAGTTTGACCATTGTAAGTTTAGTTGATCTCCTAGTGTTAATTAGTTTATGAAGAAGCCTAAAATTAAATGATTCTAGTATTTTCCATTTGTTTTTCCTCCTCAGTGTGGTTGATAGGTTTTGAGATAATGCAATTTTAATTTTTAATTGACTGCCGGCCTTTGGGAGAGCCTTTTTCTCGAAGTAGGAAAGTAGGTTACAAGCAGATGTTGATCTGCAGTCAGGTGTCCTGTGTTTCAGTTTTTGACTTAATTTGTTGATTAGCAGAATGACTAAGACCTCTCTTGGTCCATTTATGAAATAAAGGAGTTACTTAAATGTCCATTTCTTGATCTACAATTCGAAGATGTGACTGTAACTTTAAGGCTAATTTTTTAGGCTTTTAATATCATTTAGGTCTAATCTGATCTTCTGTCACTGCTTGTTAGGTATATGAAGATTGGGATTGCTTCAAAGTAAATGATGTTCTTGAGTTATATGGTGTGCTATCTGTGGATCCTGTGCTGAGTATACTGAATAATGATGAAAGGTGAGTCTGTTTGCTCTTTTTTTACTTTGATTTAATGTCATACTTCCAGAAAAGTGGCAGCATAGTTGTACAGTTTAACTCCCTTTTCCCCTTTCTCCAAATTTGCCAGTGTTGTCACCACTCATACCCTGTGTGCTTTGTCATTCATTTCTGCTGTCCATTAATGTGCACATCTGTGTATTTCTTCTTTTCTTTTTTCTTTTTTTTTTGAGGTTGGGTCAATGTAGCCCAGGCTTGGTCTCGAACTCTCAGTCCTCTTGCCTCAGCCTCCTGAGTGCTGCTATTAGAGGCAAGCAAGTACCACCATGTTTGGCCCATGTACACATTTTTCAGAAACATTTGAAAATGTGCGGGTGTCCAGCCCTTTTGTCCGTAAATACTTGAGTCAGGGTTTCCCAAGAGCAAAGAGATTGTAACCAGAGCACAAATACCAAAATTAGGAAATTTCTCATTATGTATGACATGCTAAGCTACAAACCATTCTAAGTTCACTAATTGTCTTAATTATATTCTTTCTTGCATGGTCCCCCTGCATCCTACCTTTCAGTACAGAATCCATATGGTCTCTTGTATTGGCCTTTTTATTTAAAACAATAGAAAGTTCTTAGTTTTGCTGGGAAGTCCAAGGTGAAGGCACCAGCAGATGTGTCTAGTGAGGCCCGCTTCCTTGTTTACACTTGGCCCTCTTCACATGACTGAGAGCAGACAGCCTTGACACTTGTGAAGAGTATGAACCAGTGGAATGCCTTTGTTACTGTTGTTTGGTGAGACAGGGTTTGAATTCAGGGCTTCACACTTGCACAGAAGGTGCTTTACCACTTGAGCTACACCTGAAACCAGAGTGCCTCTTGGTTTGTGGATATCTAATCCTTCCTCATTAGACTCAGGTTATAAATGGTGCATCCTCAGGGCATTGTAACAGGAGATAGGTGGTACCCACCAAGCATCTCTCCTATACCATTACTATTTCTCTTTGTCATTAGCGAAAATGTGAGAGAAGATGTTTTAAGACTCAAATTTTCTCAGATTTGGCTAGTGGGAGGCACTCTAAGCAGGTCTGGGTCCTTTTCAAGATGATCTTATCCTTGCCACTTATTTTCTGGCACATTAAGCTATTACACTTTCCATATCCCAGTCCGAATAGCAGCCTTTTTTTTTTTTTTTTTTTTAAGGAAAATATTTAAAAATTAAGATTGGTGGTCCATATGCTAAATGATGTTAGGTTGGCTTTATTTTTAGGCTCTTCAGACAGAACAAGGTCCATATACACACATTGTATTAATCAACTTTATGTAACCATAGCAGATACCTGAGAGCACTGCAAGAAAAGAGGGCTGGGCATGGTGGCTCAAGGCTGTAGTCCTAGCTACTTGAGAAGCAGAGATTGGGAAGATGGGTTCAAGGTCAACCCAGGCAGAAAGTTTATAAGATAACACACACACACACACACACACACACACAGAGAATTGTGGTCCAAACCAGCCTTGTCATACAGTGAAATCCTGTCTCAAAAATAATCAAAGCAAAAAGGCTGGCAGTGTGGCTTAAGTGGTAAGAGTGTTAAAGTGTGAGGTCCTGAGTTCAACCCCCCAGTACTGTCAAAAAATAGGATTTTTTTGGCTCACGGTTTTGGAGGTCTGAGTCTGTTCATTGGCCCCATTGTTTGGGCCTGTGGTGAGGCAACACATCATGGTGGAGAATGAGTGGCAGAACAAACCCACTCACCTCATGGCTATGGTGTGAAAGATAGAGAGGAAGAGCTCAAGTTCCCACAATCCCCTTCATGGTATACCCCCCAGTGACCTCCCACTAGCCCCTAACTCTTGCAGTTTGCCTCCCACAAGTAGTAGTTGAGAACCAAGCCTCTGACACATGGCATTTGGGAGCTACTCAAGAGCCAAACTATAGCACACATATATGTACTCAGCAAATGCTCTACCACTTAAGTCCTACCCTAGTGTTTCTAAGTCTTATGAAAAACCCTAAATTAGCCCAGGAATGGTGGTACATGCCTGTAATCCCAGCATTGGGAAACAGGCAGGAAGTTTGAGAATTTGAGGCCAGCCTGGGCTACAAAGCAAGACCCCGTCTCAGAAAACACAAGCCAGTAAACATGATTTCACACTATGTGAACCAAAGGTTCAGCATGACCTGTGTAGTTCTCATTGTTTTCCTTTCCACATTTATAACTTTGCACTTTCTACAAAAAGAAAATTGCTCCCATCCTCCTCAGGGATGCTCAGCTCTACAATATGCAGAAGGGAAAATCAGAATTGGTAACTCATGCCACCACAGAAAAATAGCCTAGTGATTAAACTTCAATATTTATTTCTATTGTTTTTTTCTTTTTTGCAGTACTGGGGTTTAAAGTCAGGGCTTCATGCTTGCTAGATAGGCGCTCTATCACTTGAGCCACTCCACCAGCCCTTCTTTGATTTTAGAATGAGGCTATGCACTCAGAATGCTATGTTCCAAAGTTGCTCAGGCAACTTCTCCCCCTCAGTGTGAGTCCTTTATTCATCTCACAAAAGTTTGTATCTGATTATGTTTCACTTCAGAGTTCTTCCCCATCCTTTTTGTTTGGGATTTTTTTTTAAGTATATGAAACATTTATGTTGTTGACAAATTTATACAGAAAATGACTCGGAAGTGTCATTGCTCATCTCATTCCTGGTCTCCTAGTCCCATTCAGCTGCACCAGGGAGCTGTCGCCCTAGTTTCTGGTTAGTCTTTTCTGTATTTCATTTTTGCAAAAATAAATAGATACAGGTATATTTTATCCAAAAGATCTTTGGATATCAAGATCTTCCTCATTCTTTTTTCTTTTGTTTTGAGATTGCCATAGAAGAGGTCTGATATTCCCCCTACGTTGCAGAATTCTGTTGTTGAATACGGGATGTGAATATGGCTTTTGCATAGGAAGAACTTACATTTTTCCTACTAAAAATGTTGCAAAACAAATTTTAAGCAACTTTAAATACACTTAACAGTCTCTTAGTAGCAGTCCCTAAAATCGCTTGTTCCATCCATTTCTGTCAGTAATGACTCCTTAGTTTAGTTACTTCCCTTCTGAGCCACTCAGTTTTGAGGTGAGGAGACAGACTGGGGCAGGTGGAAGGGTGGGGATCCTCATTTGTCCACATATGGTTCTGTGATGTCGTTTGCTTTTACTCGTTGTAAGTAAGGGTCGTTGTGAGATTTTGATGAGTTTAATGCTGTGCGCTATGCAGTGTGGGCTGTGTAAGTTAAAGCCTTTACACATTTGAAGCCATTTGTTTCAGTCATCTCAACAGTAAATCCACCATGTGCTCGTTTACTTCACAAACTTGAAAAAGTCACACTGTGTAAATCACTTGTCCCCTTACTATTCAAGGGAGGTATCACGTACGAATAAAATTTAGGGAAGACAGCCAGATGGAGATGAGTGATTCTCCACAGGCTGAATAATAGTGGCCAGTGGCTTTTGAGAAATACACCAGTTAACGTAACGGACGGGGACCATGGGTCAGTGGTAGAAGACTTGCCTAGCATGTACGAGGCTCTGGCTTCCAGCACCACACTCGAACAAAACCCAATGTGTATCTGTGTGCTGAGACAGCCCATGAATGGCATCCTGTGTGCCATTACCTCAGTGATAGGAGAGACATTGTTGATCTTGAGAACAGAAGAAATCCATTCTTTGACACTTGAACCAAATTGTGTGTGATGGAACACTTCAGAATGAAGGATTGCTGCTGGTTGGTTTTCTAGGGAGAGGTACAGGTGCAAAGGTTCTTGGCTCAAATTCTAAGTTTGTGTTCAGAGATGTACATTTTTACATCTTGCAATTCTCATGTCTCCACAGGGATGCCTCTGCATTGCTGGATCCCATGGAGTGCACAGACACAGCCGAGGAACAGAGGGTACATAGTCCTCCTGCTTCGTTAGTGCCAAGGATTCATGTGATTTTAGCCCAGAAGCTGCAGCACATCAACCCACTGCTACCTGCTTGCCTTAACAAAGAGGAGAGCAGAACCTGTAAGTGTAAGTGCTACAGCTTTTCGAGCCACAGGCTCTTAACCCTTTTGGTACCCAGAGCTGCCTGTGACTTTTACTCTCTAGAATTAAGGCAGGCCCTCATTTATCAGGGTAAGTTTTTCTAGTAAAGTCTTTGCCCCATTTTCCTCTTCTGTTACTTCTCTTCATAGGAATGGTAACATCTCCCACACACAAAAAAAAAAGGGTGCGGTGGCCCATGCCTCTAATCTAGCTGTTCAGGAAGTAGAGGTCAGGAGGATCAGCTCAGGCAAAAAGTCAAGAACCGCCCCCCCCCATGTTGGCCAATTAAAAAAACTGGGCGTGGTAGAGTGCACCTGTCATCCCAAGTATGCAGGGAGCATAAATAGAAGAATCATGGTCCAGTCCAGCCCGAGCATAAATGTGAGACCCTATCTCAAAAGTAGCCAAAGCATGCATGTGCTGGTAGCTCATGCCTATAATCCTAGCTGCTTGGAAGGCTGAGATTGGGAGGATGGTGGCTTAAGGTCAGGCCAGGCAAATAGCTTGCAAAATCCCATCCCCAAAATAACTATATATAAAATGCATGGGCAGTGTGGCTCAAGTAATAGAGCACCTGCTTTGTAAGTGTGACACTCTAAGCTCAAACCCCAGTACTATCCAATCAATCAATAAATAAACAAACAAACAAACGGGCTGGAGGCATGGCTCAGGTAGTAAAGCATATGAGTTCAAACCTCAGAACCACAAAAAAAAAGGATACAAGCTGCCTTAGTTTTAATCTTGCTGTCACTCATTGGCCAATATATTAAGTTCATACCTGTTGTCTCCAGAATTGTGATTCCTTCCTGCCTCCCTGTGCACTGCAACACTGGAGGAGAGCTGGCATGTGTGTTCTGAGCTGTTCTTTTTCTTCCTGCAGTTGTATCGAGTTTCATGTCCGAGTTGTCTCCAGTCAGAGCAGAACTGCTTGGGTTCCTCACTCATGCCCTTTTGGGAGACAGTCTGGCTGCAGAGTACCTTATACTACATCTCATCTCTACCGTGTAAGCGCTGTGGTGGGAATTCAGGGAATTTGGTGTGGTGTAGAAAGTGGGAAGGAGCAGAAAGATCGCTGATGTGATTTTTGTGGTTTAGTTTATCAGCCTTCATCATCAAATGGGTTGTTGTTCAGTGGAGCAAGTGCCACACTAAATCACACACACATTCCTTTTTTAACCTTTTCTCATTTTGACTGTGTCCCTTTAATGTTAGAGCAAAAATGAGATAAAGGACCTGACTGATGAGTAAAATGATCTATTTTATCCTTTTTGTGTTCTTTTTCTTTTCTTTTTCTCCTTTTCTTCTTTTGCAGGGCAGGGATTGAGCTACATCCCCAGTCCCCTTTTTGCATTCTGAGTTCTCTGTTTATACATGCCAAGGCTCTGCTTCTGAAAATAGTCAATGGCATACATCATGTGCATGTTTCATTGTACATTGATGTTAGAACTCACCCTGTGAGTTCACTGTATTTGATCTTAAAAGTGAGGTGCTCCTTCAACAAGTTTAAGAACATAAAGAAGGAAGCAGAACTTATCTGTAATCTTACCACTGAGAGAGAATCTTTTATCGTGTTGGTTCTTGTTCCCATCCTTTTGTTTACATATGTATACCTGTGCAGGTGTCTGTTACACTCTAAGCACAGATCTGTGTCCATATCTTGCTTTTAGCATTTAACATATATTACCGATTTTCCCATCATAATTCTTCACGAACTTTTTAATGACTGCATGTGATTTCATTAGACAGTTGTACCATACTATAACTGCTTCCCTAACTGTTGGGTTTTCCTAGCTTTTCTCTGTAGTAAACACTTTGTGCTCTATCTTCCCTTGGGTGGGTTCTGAGACAGCTGTACATATAGTTAAGGACAGACTCTAGACCCAGACTCCCCTGTCACCTCCTAGCTAGATGAGCATATTACAGGTTGAGCATCCCTAATCTGAAAACCTGAAACTTTGTGATGTTGACATGCTGCTCAGTTTCAGATTGTGAAGCATTACAGATTTTGGATTTCAGATTAAGGGTGCTTATCCTGTAAAGTCTATGCACATATTCCAAAATCTGAACCATTTCTGGTCTCAAACATTTTGAATAAGGATTACTCCACCCACACTTAACTCTTTGTCTCCCGACTTCTCGACTATAAAACAAAGATAATAAATAGTACCCACCTCAGAATGTGGGGAGATTCAATGGAAAGCAGGTCAGCACTGAGAATAGCCCCCGACGTGATGGACATATACAGCAAAACCTTGGCTAGTACTTCAACTGCTGCTGTTCTGATAGCTAAAATAACAAGCCAGGGTATTCTGCTAGATTTTGTGATAATATTAAGGTAATTTTTATTTGCGTTTTGATTGGAAGCCAAGAAATTACTTCAGTATCTTATTTTTTATTTATTTTATTTTTTTTCTAGATATACAAGAAGAGATGTCCTTCCACTAGGAAAATTTACAGTTAACTTGAGTGGTTGCCCACGGAATAGTACCTTCACAGAACACTTATATCGAATTATTCAACATCTTGTTCCAGCAGTAAGACCAATATAAATTCATATTATAAACCTAAGCACATAACAAATCCATCTAATTGTCTTCATTCAACCCAAATACTTAACTTTGAGATTTTAATAGATCTCAGTTAAGGGGAAGCTAAACCTGCCACGTGAGGTAATTAAAATGTGCTGTCTCCTAAACACTTCATGTTAATCGCCTTAGCACAAATTTCTGTAAGTCTAACAATTAACACCATGGCAGTAACTTCCTTAAAACTATACTCTCTGCTGATGCATTTGTTCAGCTTGGTATCCTTCGTGTGCATTTAAATCTTAAATCAGCTCTAAATTATAGCCATTTAACTCTGTGAGCTGAGATAATGAAGCTCATCCTCCACTGCCTCAGTTCTCATTCCTGTCGGGAGAGTTGAGCTGCTTCCATTTGCCAGAGCATCTGGAATGCAGGTTCTTGTGTGGCGAGAGCTTGGGAACAGGGAACTTGTTGTGATGACTTGTGTGACTGCAAATACTGATCTCTTAGTTTGGGAACCTAACAGGTTGAGCTGGGTCATTCACCAGCTCACGGGGCCTCCAAGTGCCAGACAGATCAGCAGCTCCCCTCTGAGCTGACTGGTCAGGACTCGGAGCTGTTTTATGTGGGCTGTGTAATTAGCCACACTGAAAATTAAAACTGAAGACATGTTGAATAATTCGTGAGAAATAATCAGTTGCATGTGAACCATAAGTATTATAAAAGCAACTTTCTCAAATTAAAAAATATTGATGTGACATCATTTTACATTTTTCCAAATCTCTTTAATCCAGATCAATAGGAAGCCACTAGGTTTTCATGTTTATATCTGCATTTAGTCTGTGATCTTTTTGTTTTGATTGAAGTATATCTTTTATGTGTGTGTTTGTGTGTTACTGGGGTTTGAACTCAGGGCCTCATGCTTGCTAGGCCAGTGCTCTACTGCTTGAGCCACTCTGCCAGGTCTGTTTTTGTGATGGGTTTTTTGAGATAGGGTCTCATGAACTATTTACTGGGGTTGGCTTTGAACTGCAATCCTCTGGATAGTTACCTCCCGAGTAGCTAGGATTACAGGCATGAGCCACTGGTGCCCAGCTGAAGTATATTTTCTTAAAGAGTAGTTTTAGTTTGGAATTTAAAAATCTATCAGTGAAATTTTCATTTTCTGCTATAGTAAAATTCATTGGTTTATCTTGCATATTGAAAGAATGTGAATAAAAGTGATTTTTTTTTTTTTTAATCTCATGGACCCCATTAAAGTGTCTTAGTAATTACCTGGGCCCTGTACCACTTTTCAGGAATATCTGAAATAGGTCCTTTGCCCTCGTGAAGATTATATTTTCATGGTGGACTTCCACCTCTTATGATGGAAGGCCATCAGAGTCCACTGTATGTCCTTTAAGTATGTGCTGGACAATAAAGCCCTGGAGAAGGGGGAGGGAGTCCTAGATGGGCAGAGCTGCCTGTGTACACAGTGGGGTCCAAGAAGGCCTGGCTTAGAGTGATACTCAGAAGAGACTGCATAGGCGTGCAAGAGCAAGCCTGGTGGCTGCTTGGTGGAGGTGTTCTTCTATGCAGAGGCACTGAGGAATGATATACTAGGCACCAGCAGAGAGGTGGCAGGAGCACTGGGAGCAGGAGGCGGGGTCAGAGGCACCCAGAGACACTCACCTGTAAGGGCAGGCGCTGTAGTGCACACTAAGGACACGGTTATGTTGCTATGTGCGAAACACTTCTCTAAGATAGGGGCCTCCTCAAGGTGACAGCATGGTGAGCTTCTTCATCCCTATACAGTGGCTTACTCTTCCTTTTGCCATGTCCTATTCCCGTGTATCACTGTTTATGTCTACTAGCCCTGTGAGCTTTTTCTGCGCACCTCTCTGAGTTCTCCTTGTGTCTCTCATGAGGATTATTTGCAAGTGACCTGCCTGTGCTTCTGTGGCAGGGCCTCACCTCACCCTGCGTGCCACCTTTTGTTTTGACAGGCCCTGCTTCCTTCAGGATTTTTATTTGTATCTGTGATGCCCACCCCACTTCCATCACTGAGCCAGGATACAAAATTCCCCTAAATTTTAGAAGTATGTCTCACTTCTTCCTTGACAGCCTCTGCTTACTCCCCATCCTCCACCCCTTTGCAGGCCAGAGCGCAAAGAGAGGGTGTCTAGAGCAAGATGAGGGCCTGAGAGTGGCGTCAGGATAGAGCCGGCACTGCAGCATGCCAGTGCCCCTGCTCCAGGGGCTGAGACTCCAGTGGTGAGACCTGCAGCATGTGGGTAGGCGGCCCGAGGACTCCACTCCTCTCTCAGTCCATTCAGCAGTTCAGTCTGTAGTGGAGTGAGATGAGTACACGTGACTCTCAATCAAAGAGTGTAACAGAGAATGAAACTAAGCCTTTCCCCATTTCCATGACTAGACATTCCCTTCCCCATCCCTCTAGCTTGCGTTAGGTCACAGAGGTTAAGCTTCTAGCTGTTTGGTTTATGTTTGTCACTTGTCTGTCATTTATTTCATTGGCAAAATAAAAATTGTTCTTTGAGAGTACTGAAGAACAAAGCAGCTCCTAGAATGAGACTTTAATGGAGGGTGCAGGTCCTTCTTTCTTCTAAGAGTTGCTTCCTTACAAACCAATAGGATCATTCTTTCTATGTAAAAACGAAGTGTTTTAATAACCCCAAACATACTTTTTTTTAAAACAGGGAAACCTAGATCCTTGTTCATGAAAAGCTTTTTCTTGCAGTCTTTTCGTCTGCAGATGACGATCGAGAACATGAACCATCTGAAATTCATTCCCCACAAAGACTACGCGGCCAATCGCTTGGTCAGTGGGCTCCTCCAGCTGCCCGACAACACTTCCCTTGTCATCGACGAGACTCTCCTGGAGCAGGGACAACTGGACACCCCAGGTATGTGGTGGGTGCTTCTCCTTTTCTGACTTCCTGCTTAAAGCCAGATCTGGCAGTTATTTTTTTGAAGGATATCTATGGGCAAAGACAAATTCACGTTTTTTTGATGAGGAGGATAGTGGGGTTTGAACTCCAGGCTTCATGCTTGCTAGGCAGGTGTGCTACCATTTGAGCCACTCCATCAGTTTGGTATATGTATTTGATTAAAGCGTATTTTACAAACTAATTGAGTACACTACCTGTGCTTTGTCCTGGCATTCTGAAAGTAGTGCAGTAGCACAAGTAGTATTGTAAAGAAGTGGAGGTTTTGTCCTTAGTTATCTGTTCCCTCTAAGGAGAAGTGCAGAGCTCTATCACACACTTTCTACCTCCCACATGAACAACTTGAACAGTTTTCAGAGAATCTGACCAAAATACTTGATAGATAGGTGATTCAAACTAACTGGAGTTGTGGAACATGCTTATAAAATTACAAGAAAGCAGAGCTGTCAGAGTGACTCAAGTGGTAGAGCACCTGCCTAGCAAGCACAAAGCCTCCGTTCAAACCCCAGTACTGCCACAAAAAACCCTAGGAATCAGAGTATGATAGCTGTTGCTCGAATGAAGAGAATTTAGGTAACACTGCTGGTGTTAGAGTAGATCCAAGCAATGTAGATTGGGTACTTTTCAGGCAAAGGTGAGGAGAAAGTGAGTAGAATTCTAACAACCTTATCTGTATAGAACTTGTGCTGTGTATTACTGTAGTCCTGTGACCTAGTCACCTGGGGAGTAATCATACTTCCTAGGATCCCATTTTTGGGTCTGGCGACATTAGATTTGGGGGTGTTGGCCCCAGAAAGAGGTAGCTGTCCTAGTTCTGAGTGTGAAGCTTGTTGTGTAGGGAGCATTTAGTTCAGTGGCAGTCAGCTTAGTGATCGGTTGGTGCCCCTCTTGTAAGCAGTCTGATATGTGAAGGTGATTTCAATCAAATGACTGAATGATGCTGGTGCCTTTCCAGGTGTTCACAATGTCACTGCCCTGAGCAACCTGATAACTTGGCAGAAGGTGGACTATGACTTCAGTTACCACCAGATGGAATTCCCTTGCAACATCAACGTTCTCATCACCTCGGAAGGGAGGTCCCTCCTCCCGGTATGAGGAGTCAGCTTGCAATGGAGGGAGGTTACATTTGGAAAGTTAAAGTTTGTTGTTTGTTGGTGCTTATTAACAAGATACATCCCTTCGAGAAATTGGGCATGGTGGGGCACGCCTGAAATCTCAGCTACTCAAGAGGATGAGGTGGGAGAATCATGAATTCCAGCCTAGCCTAAGCAGTATGGAAAGACCCATCTCAAAAAAAGAAAGGAAAAAAAGAGCAGGGGGTATAGCACATCTAGCATGCTCCAGACGTGGGTTCAATTCCAACATCATACAGTAAACGAAAGAAGTTGTGGATTATAAATAAGGGACTAGATAATTTGTTCCTGCTTTGAGATGAAAAACTTGGCATGTGTTAAAGACCTCGCTCAGCAAATCAGAGGATACGCACAGCTGTTGACAGCAGAAGTCATATCTAGGCCTAAAAAGTAGAAGTTCACTGCCCGATTTACACCAGACAGCTGTTTTTATTGCCTTTTCCCTTTGTTTGCTACCAATCTTAAGTGAGAAATACTGTAGAGTTCCTTTGAAAGTATCCCTAGTCACTTGGTAATCAAGTTTATGCTTACTGGTGAATCCTTGGATTGTCAGAATGTCTGATCAAGAGCTGTTAATTCAAACTGGATGTAGAGGTGTATGCCTGTAATCCCAGCTTTCAGAAGGCAGTGATTAGGAGGATCATGGTTTGAGATCAGCTTGGGCAAAATGTTAGCAAGATCCCATCTCAACCAATAAGCATGGTGGTAGGTATCTATAATCTCAGCTTTTTGGGAGGCATAGGTAGGAGGATCACATTTAGAGGCCAGCCAAGGCAAAAATGTGAGACGCTATCTGAAAACTAAAGCAAAAATAGAGGTAAAGGCGTGGTTCAAGTGGTAAAGCCCTAATAAGCGCAAGGCCCTCAGTTCAAACCTCAGTTCCAAAGGAAAGGTGTTAGTTCTAAGGCTGATAAAAAATACACCCAGGTGTTGAAGGGTGTGTAGTTTTTCTGTGTAGTAGTGCATACCCAGGAAGGATGGGAGGCAGCCTTTAAGAATGAGCTGGCTTGGTAGTAAGTCTTCTGTGGGCATGGGGGTACAGTGCCATTAACTGCCTCTAGAGCTCCACTGCCATTCTGTATGCTTACTGAAACCCTTGGGGAAACATAAGCAACCAAGAAAAAGCTGTCCTTCCTGACTGTAGCTATGATAATTAATACTAAAATCTGGTTCCCATTCCCCTCTTGGCTCCCTTAGGAGCTGACAGAGGCTGCGTCATTCTGAGGACGCAAATGAGCACAGCATGTGGGAAGTACCGTGTGCACTTTCTCTTTCAGGCAGACTGCCAGGTCCACCTGCAGCCCCAGCTCATCCCACCCAACATGGAGGAGCACATGAGCAGCCTCCTGACCGCTGTGCTGCCGTCCGTGCTGAACAAGTTCCGTGTCTACCTGACCCTGCTCCGCTTCCTGGACTACAGCATATCAGACGAGGTCACCAAGGTGTGTGGAGGTGCTCTGTGCACCTGTCTGCTCTCCTTTTCCTCCTGGAGCCCACCACTGTGGTCATGTTCTGTTGAAATCGACACTTTCCAGTGTCCCCGTTTCAGTTCCCGTAAGGATTCTTTTCTTTGGTGCTGGCGCGTGCCAGGCAAGCATCCCGCCCCCGAGCGCCTCCCCAGCTTCTGCCTTGAAGCCTCTTGTACAAGATTTTACACGTATTTTTGTTTTTAAAGTGTCTGCCCTTAGAGTTAAAATTAGCCTCTTACTGACCATCATCTGTTTATGACTGGTGGCCATTTGATTGCAGTAATGCACAAGAACTTTGCTCCTTTCTGCTCCCACTCTTCTCCGTGCTCTGTGACAGGTGACATCCTCACATGTCGCACGCCCACAGCACTCCCAACTACTGCTTTATGCAGTAGGCTTTTAATTGGAGAAAAGTTACAGATAGACATCTATACTGCTTTTTATTCATGGGGTTTACCTTGCTGTCTACATTCTTTATTGTCAGCCTAAAGAACCCGCTGACTTCAGTGTTTCTCGAAGGGCATCTGACTTTCTTAAAGTTTCTCCTCACCTGGGATCATCCATTTTCTCCTGAAGGCTGATTTTGCTGGATGCACAATTGTGATTTATAGTGTTTTTCTCAGCACTGCCTCTGGCCTGCTGCTTTCAGGGTTCTTGGGCTCGCTCTTTACTTTTATTTTTGCAGTGCTGGGGACAAAACCCCAGGCCTCACTCACACATGCTAGACAAGCACATCCCATTGACATGCACCCCAGTCCCTGGCTCGTGGTTCTCTATCCATGTGACACCACATGGATAGAAGTTTACAAAACTTCTAGTTTTGTAAAAGGTACCCCCTCCTCATCCAAGGAGCAAATCTCCCAAGACTCCTAGTGGCTGCCTGTCTTGGTGTGCATTTCTTTCATTAATTTTTTGGTGGAACTGAGGTTTGAACTTAGGGCCTTGCACTTGGTAGGCAAATACTCTACCACTGAAGCCATACCTCTAGCCCTTTCTGCTTTAGTTATTTTTCAGATAAAGTCTCCCCTTTGCCTAAGGCCAGTCTTGGACTATGATCTTCCTACCTACATCCCCGACATTGCTGGGATTACAGATGTGCATGATCACACTCAGCTGATTTTTTTGAGAGAGAGTCAGGCTAATTTTTTACCTGGGCTGGCCTCAAACCTTGATCTTTCCATCTCTGCCTCCTGTGTGGCTGGATTACATGTGTTTGCCACTATACCTGGCCCCATGTGGATTTTTATGAATTTATCCTACTTGTAATCTGTTTAGCATCTTGGAGTGCACAGTAATGCACATTTTGGTGATGTCAACAAACTTTGGAAGCTTTTTAAATTTTTTTCCCTCCCTCTGGCACTCTTGCTGTATGCATGTGGGTCACACGATGGCGTGCAGTCTTGGAGGCTTTGTTTGTTTTTCCTGCTCCTCCTCTTTCTGTTCCAGGTAATCTCAGTCAGCCTTTCTACAGCTTGCTGGTTCTTCTTGTGTCTGCTCCAATCTCGGAGGGAGCCCCTCTACTGATTTCTCATGTACTACGTTTTTAACTCCAGAATTTTGTATGCTTTTAAAAAATTATTTTTGTCTTCTTACTGATGTTTTTTATTTGGTGAGACATTGTTTTTTAGGTTTTGTTTGGATTTTTGGCTGTACTGGGAATTAAAGTCAGACCTTGTGCTTGCTTGGTAGGTGTTCTGTCACTTGAGCCACTGCCAGCCTGTTTTGTGTTGGGTATTTTTGAGATGGGGTCTTGTGTTTGTTATGGCTGGGTGGCTCTATACTGTGATCCTCCTATTTGTGCTTCCCTAAGTTGCTGTGAAGACAGGTGTGTACCACCGTGCCCACCTATTGGTTGAGATGGGGTCTCAAGACTTTTTTGCATGGACTTCCTTCTGTTCTTTATCCCAAGACCACCCCCCACCCCCCAGTGAATGCCTGAACCTACCGAGTACACCAGGCCCTACCATGTTTTTTCCCTGTGTGTTCATACCTATGACAGAGCTCAGTAAAAGACTGAAAACTATAATACATAGAAAAGTTACAATGGTGTACTGTGACAAGGATGCGAATGGGACTCTGTCTCAACTCCCATGGGACAGTGTGGCGAAGCTAGAGAAGCTGTTTCACATTCCAGGCAGGACAGGGCAGGAGCTCATAGTAACACCCAGTTTAAGATTTTTGAACTCTTTCTGGAATTTTCCATTAACATTTTTGGACTGTAGTTGACTACAGGTGGCTGAAAACTTGAGAAGCAGAACTGCAGATAAGAGTAGGCTATGTTGTTCCCTTTGGTTCTTTGAAGGTGTTTACAACAGCCAGTTTCAGGTCTTTGGCAAGTCTAATGTGTGGGTTTCCTGAGGGATGTTATCCAGAGGCAGAGGCTCACATGGTCCCTAAGTGTGCATGTGGCTTTCCAAATTCCTAGATACGGATGAGGATTTAAAACCTCCCTGTGGACTGTTGGTGTGCAGTGCTGTGGATTGCACCCAGAGCTTTGCACATTCGAGACAAGCGCCTCTACCACTGAGCTGCTCCCTAGCTTTTCCACTGAAGGGTTTTGGTTAGCTTGTTGTTTGCTGCCGCCATTTTCTGATGTCAAGAGACTGCTCACACTGGCAGGCTCCTGCAGAGGGCCTCTTCCAGGGAGCTACCAGTCAGATGACAAGTTCTCCTTGAAGGAGCATTGAGGGAACTCCCAGCCTCTTCTCTCACCAGTGACTACCAGGATGTTGGTTTTAAGGCTGTCACCTAGATATGGAGGTGGAATATGAGAACAGAGCAAAAAAATGCCAGAAAGAGCAGCATTCCTTTTTTTTTTTTTTTTTTTTAAGTGTAGTACTGGGGCTTAAACTCAGGGCCTTCATCTTAAGCCACTCCACCAGTCCTTTTTTGTGAAGGGTTTTTTGAGATAGGTTCTTGTGAACTATTTGCCCAGGCTGGCTTTGAACCTCGATCCTCCTGATCTCTGCCTCCTGAATAGCTAGGATTATAGGTGTGAGCCACTGACACCCAGCAGGATCAGCATTCTTACCAAGAACAGAACCGTATTTTTTTTTTCTTTTGATAAATGCTCCCCAGATTATAGTAACAACCTAGTTTCTAACTTACAGAGGTTTGGTTTTATTTTGGGGTTTTTTGGACAGTATCTCATTGTGTAGCCCAGGCTGGCCTGGAGCTTGTGATTGGTCCTCTTGCCTCAGTCCTCCCTAGTGCTGGAATTACAGCCTGCACCACCATGCCTAGCTGCTCTGTGCCATTTTCACTGCTGTCATTCTTCCCCTATTTAAAGGCATTACATTTATTATGGAAGTTGCTGGTTTATGTTTGCTTAGTCTTCTCAAATGGAACTGAGCTTTGTTTTGTTCACAATATTTTCAAGAGTAGCATTGCTTATGTGTGTGAAGTTTTGGTTCTCCATCTTTTCACCCACGTGTCTTTATTTGAGGCAAGGCTGACATCCTCATTTTTACATCAATCAGGGGCCATGTTTCTTTCTCCTTAGAAGAATAAGGAAGTAGTTTTGAAGTGCATATAAGAAATCTTACCAGAACACTTGTTAAAGTATTTTTGCTCCTCCGGTAAAGGCAGTTGAAGATGACTTTGTGGAGATGCGGAAGAACGACCCTCAGAGTATCACCGCTGATGATCTCCACCAGTTGCTCGTGGTTGCTCGGTGAGTGGCACGTGGCCAGGAGTGCTGTTTCTGTGGCATACCTGAAGCAGACTTCTAAAAACAGAAAGGAATTTTCCTCTTAGAAACACCTCATGGAAGGGCCCACTGAGGCGGGATTGCATGTGGCAGTGAGCTCAGTGGAACAGGCACGCCACTGTTCTCTGAGCTTCAGAGTGGCCACTCTCTGATTCTGACTCTTTAGAAGTCACACTGGCTTTTGATTGTGTATGGCTACCGGGTGTTCTTGTCTCTTAATTTGGCCTGTTTTTATTTAAAAAGTCTCCCTATGCCTTAATTTTTTTAGTTACCCTCCTAGCTCTAGACTTAAATTTGTTTCTATATTTCAAACCAGGTTTCTGTCTCTCAGTGCTGGTCAGACAACACTGTCAAGAGAACGATGGCTGAGAGCAAAGCAGCTGGAGTCTTCAAGAAGAAACCGGCTTCAGCAGCAAAAATGTGTGAATGGGAATGAACTTTAAAGTGTGGGACCCAGGATGAGTAAGGGGCAAACCAGCCACATTATCATAGAACTCTAACGTCATTTATACCACGTTGTTTTATAGAGAATTTGTATCAAAACCAATGACTTTTCCTGAAATCAAGCCTGGTAGCAACTGATGTTTATACAATACTCAGTTCAGTAAGGGCTTTTACCTTGCTGATTTTATGGAGCTTTTGGAGTTTGTTTTATAATTATATAAATTAGTAATGCTGTACAAAAGTGTATTTGATATTAAAGGTTTAATATTGATAAAGTTGATGATTATACCATTTCCTTAACTGCAGCTAAGTCATAGGCAGACTCTGTTGAAATGCTAACATTAACTTCATTTGAAGAAAATTGCTGTAATTTCAAGGCTGGAGGAATTGTGCACATCAGGCTTCCATGTTGTTCCAGTTTGTTCACAGTGGGTCTGAGTATGTTCAGTAGTCCAGTTTGGGGAATGGGTGTATTTGCCATTGATTCACATGTGAATCCTCTATTATTTTCAAAATATTTGGCCACAGAAGCTTTTTTCCACTTAACAGCTGTTAACAGTCTATTTACAGAGCAGTGGTTCCCAGATTTTTGGATTTCATGGATCAGTAATACTTCCAAAAATTCTTAGAATTGCCAATTTATTTTGCCCAGGAATCTGAAAGAAATCCTATGTGTTATTACAGCTTTTTCTTCAGAAGGAGGATAATCTCAGAAAAAGAAGTCATCCTTTACGTGGAATAAATGAAACTTTGGGAAGAACACTGCATTGTCCTTATTTTTCTCATTCACGGTGCCTTTGGAAGCACTATTTTATGGGACTCACTTAAGGGAGTGCTGCTTTATAAAAATGTGCCCACATATGAAAAGAGCAGAATAGTAAACTTAAAAAAAGTTGTAGGAAGTTTTTTTTTGCAAACGGTGCTGGGAATTAAATCCAGGGCGTCTCTTGCGTGCTAGGCATGTGTTGTGCTATGTCCGCCTCCCCAGCCCAGAAGAAAAGACTGCATTATTGCTTTGTGATTGTTTTGGATTTAAAGCTCTTTATATGAGTTGCAAATGTATTAGATCAAGCAACATCTGTGAGTTCAGTAAAGGCCTAATACAGTTATAGGTAGGTTTCCCCAGACCAATTAGTTTTGATACATAATTTTTTAATTGGTGGTACTTGAATTTGAACTCAGGGCCTCCTGCTTGCTAGATAGGTGCTCTACCACTTGAGCCACTCCACCAGTCCTTTTTTGTGTTCGGTGTTTTTGAGATAGAGTCTCACAAACTGTTTGCCCTGGTTGGCTTTGAACTGCAATCCTCCTGAACTGAAGCTACTCTGCCTCCTGAGTAGCTAGGATTACAGGGGTTAGCCACCAGTGCCCAGCTTGATACACAAAATTTTAAACGAACAAAAGTACCATTACCTATAGAGAGTAAATTAATATACTATAGTAGTATAATTGTGGCAATAGGAATATTCAGAAGGGTAGTTAGAACATTACTTCTTTAGGCTATCAGTGTTATATAAAGATTTATTTCTTTTAGTAACTTTCAGACTTGAAAGCATAAACTAAATGATTCTTTAAAAAAAATTTTTTTTCCCATAAGGAAGGCTTAAATTTCCATTAACCAAGGAAATAGGGTCAGCCTTGAAAAATCAAGGAGTTAATTTTACTCAATGAAGGGAAATAAAAATGACTAGCTCAGCATTCTGTTCCTAAATTCAGGTCTATTTTTATAAACTAATGTAAATGATGTTTATATTAGAGTTCTAACTGGTTTTCATTTTTATAACTGGTAGACTAGATCTTCCTTAAACTTTTAGAAATAAAGTGAAGTCTCAACTGACCTTGTGAGAAAATAATTTTCTTTGTCCTAGAACAAGATGGTTACTATGTGTCTAATTGTGCTAATGTAAATTGAAATTTACCAAAGAAATCCTAATTTTGCTTGGTCTACAGAAAAGTTCTGTTGAAAGAACCTTCTTTCTAGTAAATAAAACTTCCCAAATTACCAGTACCATGGGCTGTTTTTCACGAATTACAAGACTCAGCCTCCCATATGATCTTATGTTCTCTTGGAAAAGTGTCACGGGGTAAACTTAAGTCTAAGCAGTAGCGTACAGCAGTGTCCCGCCAGGCAGGAGAGTCAGACCCTTTGCCTTCTGAGGCACTTTTCTCCCTCGCAATGGACTTTCAAGTTTGTTGCTGACTGAAGGCAAGATGTTAATCCTATTGAATGACCTGGAAACTGAGTGGGTATCTATAGATCCCTGTTTGGAAATAAACATTATCTTAAGATAACTTTAGTTTTCAAAAATCTCTTTGTGACCCATTTCTGTGGTGCTTAACCATGCCTATTTTCTCAACAGACCTTGGTTTCTACTTTCTCATGTTGTGAAACACTGTTTTCAAGACTCAGAAGAAGAGTGGTAAGAACAGAGCGAAGCCTTATTTTTTGCAGTGCTGGGGCTTGAAATCAGGGTCTACACCTTGAGGCACCCCACCAGCCCTTTTTTTTTTTTTTGAGATAGGATCTCATGAACTATTTTCCTGAGCTGGCTTCAAACCACGATCCTCCTGATCTCTGCCTCCTAAGTCATTAGGATTACAGGTGTGAGCCACTGGCGCCCAGCCGCATTTGTTTTTTAAGGTTTGACATTTAAAATATGGTTTGTGATTCATTTCATTTTAAAAATCATGAGAACACTTCAAAAGAGTAAGATAATTGAAAGAGGAGAACAAGTGTTTAGTTAGCAAATTCATTTTTGTGAATTCTTTGATTTAAAATCAAACAATTGTTAGCAATATTATGCAAAAAATTCTCATACACTCACTTTAAATTACAATGGTACTTTATTTTTATAGTCACAAGATTTGACACTTCAAAAAAAAGGATACCACTTAAAATAATAAAATGGAATGCTTATTAAACTTACAACAGACATAATGTTCAGCTGAGAATCACTTCAACAGGCTAAGGCTCTTAAGACACCAAAGAAACCAATACCTGCTGGTATATGCCATGCAAGTCTCTTACTGCGTGGGTTAGAGGTGGCCCTGATTCTTTGTGGTTACCATTATCATCATAAAACCAGTTTTAGCATAGTTATGCTTCATTCTGCTCAAGAAGTTAAAACTGCTCCTTTTCCCCAAAAAAGTTATCAAAACTTGATTTCCTCCTATCATTCTGAAGGAGCCAGTATAAATCTATTCTTCTGTTCTGAAAACAGCAAAGTTTAATGTTTCAGTGACATTGACATATGATGTACCAGGTTTACTTAGGCAAGTCAGCGCTCCTGGACTTGGGGGCAGTATATGTGGCAGAATGTGTTTGTTCAAGTAGAATTTGGGGAAAATTGGGATCCAATGAGAATCCATTTGACTGTAGTGTTGACCCTCAATTAACTCTCCATAGGGAATGATTAAGCCATCAAAACTAAACATTTCTATGTTCAGATGCGTCTCCGTACTAACACTTCTGAGAGGTAATCCAAAGGAATGAAGACAGAAAAATGCCAATTCCTTAAATGGACCTTTCTGTCTCCTTCACTGATTCCATCCCTTTTCCCCCCTCCAAAAAACCAGTTTAAAATCCTTTCAGTGAACAAACTGCTGTGTAGTGTATAAGCTGCTCAGGATGATGGACTTGTACTCTTAGCTCTGAAATTTGGACGTCTGCTTAGGTTCAGGTTCCTTTTAAAATACTGTCAAAAAAATTTGATCTCTAGGTGTAGACAGCACAAGTTAAATTAGCCTAACGTGAAATCTCTTTGAATTTTCAAATGAAAACCATAGGGTTCTTTGTGGCTAAAACCTAAATCTGAATTATTCGTGTCTGGCATTGTGTAAACATATTTTTAAGTTCATTTTGCTGGATTTCATTAAGCACTTCAGGTTCTGCAGGACTCTTCTGAACTTTTGCCACTGCCAAGTTTATCCCATGGGTTAACCCAGCTTGGGTAATACTAGCAACCTGGACCATCGAGCTTCGAATCTTTGCAAAGGGGGAGACTGCTCTGCTACTACTGCTCTCTGACGGAGAAGGAGTTACATGCAGCCCTGTCTCAAGCTCCACCATGCTGGAACCAGAGCCAGGTGTCTTTTGAGAGAGAACTGAGTATGCTGGTTCAACTGACAAAAACTGTGGGCCTGTTGCAGGAAAAGATACATCTAATTGAGATGGTCGGGAAGGTGTCTGTTCTGTTGATTCTGAATGGTTTTCTTCATTAGAAACTTGACTGGTCATTTGATTTCCTTCCTCACTAGCTTGCTGAGATACAGACGTGGTCTCTGATAGGTCCATCATTTTGTTTTGTGCATCTTGCACAAATCTGTGGCAGTAAATATCCATAGGCTTGGCAAAGCCAGTCAGTAAGTGCACGTTGTCAGCAGAAGGACTTTTCTTCAAAGGAGACTCCTGGCCTTTTCCAAGCCCGCTTCCATAACCAACAGTGACCTCTGGAGGAGCATGAATACTAGTGTCGGTGCCGCTAATAGACTGGGATCGACTACCCAACCGAGGTGCAGAAGCAATAATACCACAACTAGGGAGAACATAGTCTACCGGCCCTAAGCTCTCTGAAGAATTAGCTAGCTGCCTATCTTCATCAGACCTGGAATTTGTAAGGAATTCATCAGAGTGGTATGAGTCATTTTCTGAAGAAATGTCCCCATCAGACTCTGCCTGGACCTTATTATTATCCATCACCCCCGAGTTTTCCATAGTCTCAAGACTACTGTCTGACTTCCAAAGATTGACTTTTAAGTTTGGTTTTAGAAAGTTAACTTTCATTTCAGGTTTAGTAAAGTTGCCTAACTTTCGTAGGTTACCAATATTTACATTGGATTTGGTCTGCTTCACTTTTTGATTTAGAGATGAAAATTTGCTCATTAAAAATTTTTTCCCTTGGGCCAACGAGCCTTGATTTTGAGATCTGATACCAATGATGTCTTCATGAGCTTTACTGCTCTTCCTATAAATTAGAAGAGAAAAAAGTTAATTTTCCATGGAACTCAAAATACTCATTTCCGTTTAATATAAGTGAAAATGCTTTATTAAAATTAGCTCCAAGTTCTTGGAGTAGTGGATTGCTAATTGCTAAACTCAGATCATCTCTGTAGTTGACATTGAAGTACCATCAATCAACAGAAATGTGTTACATTTAATTGTAAATTTTCTAGCTGCTGCATTTGAAACAGGTGAATTGATTTTTAATAACATTTTACTTAACCCAATATATACAACATTCCATTTCAGCATATACAACAAATTTTTCTTTTTTTTAAAGCACATCTCTAAAATGGCAATGTGCAGTATTGTTAGGGCACACCTTAACTGAAACTAGTCACATTTCAGAGGTTTCAAAGTCCCATGTTATGGGTGGCTACCATTCTGGGCAGTGCAGGTTGAAACCAGCAGCAAACTTATTTGGTGTTCCTGTCATCAGTCATGACAGCTGTGAGAGTAGAAGTCTGGTGTTTTAGTATATACATCAATATTCTTACCATGCAGGTTTACTGACCAGGAGAATACTGCAGAAAAAATAGGAGGTTAAAGAGCTACTGAGGGCTGGTGGAGTGGCTCAAGGGTAGAGCACCTGCCTAGCAAGTGTGACACCCTGAGTTCAAACCCCAGTACCAAAAAAAAAAAAACGAGCTACTGAAAGAGTTCTTTCCTGTAACAAAAGACAGGATGGCGGTGTGGCAAGTGGTAGAGTACCTAGAGTGCCTGTCTAGCAAGTGCCTGACCCCAGGACTGCAAACAAACAAAAAGGACTGAATAATTTTCCTTTAGAGGCGCAATTGGCTGTCCTCCCCAGTGAAAAGTGGACCAAGAAGCTTGATCAGTCCTCAGGAGGAGGAAAGACACAAATTCTAAATGCAAAATAATCTGTTAATAGCCACTCTTCCCAAATTAAAGTGTTTAAAATGTACCATTTTCTCTGTACATGCTTATATTTGAATATGCTTCTCTAGTTAAAGAGTTAACAGTCACAGGGGCTGCTTTCTCTCAGGGGGTCTTTGGGCCATCTTTCATCATGATTTCTGCAAAATACTACCTAGCTAAGGGACTGTGGAGAGGGTCACTATTACTCTGTGTAACTTTTAAACAAATCCAGATGGATATCCTAAATACCATTTAGGACATCTTAAGTACCATTTCACTCAAAAAGAAAATGTGGGTCTTCATAGAATTTTTCTTAAAGCTGAGTTTAAACCATCTCTAAGGCAGTACAGGATTAAAGGGATTCTGCAAGCAATTTAGCACTATTATGGGCAAGGGAAATAGTCACAACATTTAATCTGGATTCTAAACTTGGTAAATCACCCTGAACGTGAAAAAAATACAGAACAGATGTTTACCGTGACTCTTTTGTAAAAGAGAAAAAAGACAGCAACCAACATTTTCAGCATTGGGTTAGTAGCTACAAACCAGGTGTTCTTCTAAATGCATTATGACTCAATCCGTGCATTATCTCGTCTTACAGGTAACACAACTAAAGAAAAGGACTATTAATTTTCTTTCCCTGACTGTAAGGTAAGAGAATCAGGAACTAACAAAGTGGCCGATCTCACTATGCTGGGTGTTGTGGCATATGCGTGAAATCCCAGTACTAAGGAGACTGAGGCAAGAAGACCTAGAGTTTGAGGGCAGCCTAGGCTACACAGATCCTGCTCAGAAAAGAAAATTTTAGATGACCGATCAGAGACCATGTTCTTAACCCACATGATACACTGCAAACACCAAGTACCCTCAAAATTACTCTCAAAAGTCCCTTAGATAATGTGTACATGCTATTTATGATACACTGTTAGGTATAACACAGCCAATTTTTATTTCAAAATTGGAGAAAATTTTATTTGCCATTAAAAATAAATTAGCAAGGGCCAAGTATACATATTTTTAGGTGTGACTAAACAGTGACTGTTAACAATGATCAGTTGTTTCACAGTAATGTAATTCCTTAAAATTATAAATGAAGGATTAAGTTGGCCACAGTCAATTTTTACATAGGCCAATATTACTGAAGCCATGAGTCATGTGAAAATAGTAGCTAGTTAGGAACAAAACCCTCCAGAATTCTGTAGTTGCTGTCATAAAAATTTTAATCTGATTGAAACCTCCCTTACAGAAGAATTCCAACTAACAAGTGTAGAAAGAATGAGGGAAATGAAAAACTCACCACAGGAATAATTACTACAGACAAGACCTACTGATGGATGTAAAAGCGAGTAGGCTAAGGTTTAAGCAGAAAAAATACTTGCATGGTCTCAAAGGATCCTCCTCCCCCACAAAATACTTGATGTATTCACAGTTACCTCACAGAAATGACGTCACTTCTGTGATGACCCTAATAATGCACAACCTTAGCTTACACGAGAGAAAATAGTGACAGTACTCTTGAAAAGTACCAAAGTTATAAAAGACGAGAGATGAATGAACTAACAAGTAACATAGTCTAGAGAAAAACTGCTGAGAAAACTCAATGCAATGTGAGACCCTGGAATGGGAAAAGGACACTGCTGAAGAAGCTGTTGAAGTTCTGTACTCGTGCCAAGGCTGACTTCGTCTTAATATTCCATGGCTGTGTAAAATGGGTGTGTGGGGACATACAATACGCTTCTGTAAGCTTAAAAATTAGAGTTTAAGCAAAAGGCATTACTTTTCATCTACAGAAATTCAATACCCTTTTTTTTTTTCTTGGTAATGGGTTTTGAACTCAGGGCCTCATGCTTGCTAGGCAGGTGCTCTTACTGCTTGAGCCACTCTGCCAGCCCCTTACCTCTCTAAATATCAGCACATGATGTTAATGTGGTCCCCCTTCCTCCTTTGCAAATGCTTTTTTTTTTCTGCACTGAGGTTTGAATTTAGGACTTCATGTTTGCTAGGCAGGTGTTCTTACCACTTAAGCCACTCCGCTAGCACTCTTGCAAATAAAAACTTTTAAAGAACTAAGACCTTCAGGATGAGGTGTTGCTCAATGGTAAAGCAAGCTTGCCCAGCATGACTGAAGTCCTGGGTTTGATCCACAGCATAAAAACAAAACAGAACAAAAAACCCAACAACTAAGACCTTGGAGAATTATGTCTTTATTCTTGGGAGAAAGGTTCAAGACAATCTTGGGAGAAGTGCTATACTCACCTCTCAAGTTTTTTCTCAATTATTGGTACATCCAATCCCATGGCTTGCTTGGTAATCTGCAACATCTCTGCGATGCACTGAAGGGTATCTGAAATGCAAACATAACTGCTTGCCAATTTATCCAAAAACATACTAAAAATATAGCAGTTCTAATTCATACAAGCTTGAATGAAATCTGTGGTCATAGGCTTAAATACAAATTTGCTACATTTTGCAGAACTGCTATTTGTTCACTACTCCCCCACTAATTCACAATGTTCTAAAACACTTTAACAAAGGAGTCGAGCATAAGCAAAAGAACTAAATTAACTGGCGTTAAATGCTTGTTGTAACTTCATGTTTGTCAAGCATTGTGCTGAGTGCCAGGGAAATAGCTGTGAAAAAGACAGGCACAGTCCCTGACTGCTACCTCCTAGAGAAATGACAGAGTTTGAGAAAAGCCATGAAACCCTTATCACTTCTTATAGGACTAAACACATTGAGAATTGCCACTAGAGTCTCTTGCCCAAAACTACATAATCCACTCAAATAAGCAACTTTCCTTTCAGAGGTGCCATTTCAAGGTCTCAAATCCCAAAACTGAATCAGTTCTCATTCGGTTGGCTGTTCTATACAGTGTCCCCAATTCCATCTGGACTTACAAGAGGAGACAAAGTTATCAGTGAATACTTTCATCACTTTCTCTTTTACCTTTTCCATCTTCTTCTGGATTGCGCATTACCGCTCTCAGTGTGTGGAAATAACCGCTTGCCTCCTTATGTCTGTAGTGCAGTCGCATGCAGGAGAACTTTGGTTTACCAAAGAGAGTGGGTTCAGGACCTAAAACCCACATGAGTAAGTGTCAAACTGTATCTTTCATAAATTTCTTAACTTCAAAGACCAACAAACATCCATCAATTAGCTATCTGACATATTTTTCTTCATAAGCTACAAACAAAAACACATAATACAAGCTTATCTGACTATCTGAACTTTTTCTGATCTGGGGTTGTTTTCACGAGTCAAAACAAGGAAAGGAGAGTGGTGGATGGGGGTGAAGTGGGCAGCACACCCCCATCTTGGAAGGCAATGCCATTGTGCTCCTGTTGACTGATGCTAAGATGGAAACACTGCTAGACTTGCCCTTCTTCAAAATAAGCTGGATATCTAGTTGTTTATATAAAATTTGATTTTAGATATCACCAGTAATTTCTAGTATTTAAAAAATATTAGCAAAAATGTGTTTACCAACAGATCTGCTAGAGATATGGAAACCCCAGTACTACAAAATTAAATAAGTAAATAAATAAATAATAAATGGAATGCAGTTAATATTATGAGACCATACTGATCACTAATTCCTAAAGAATTGAAAGGAAGTCTGAAGACAGACTGCCTGAAGTATCTCTTTCTGGTTTCTAACAGGTATTATTATACTAGTTGCTTAAGTTAATTTGGCCTACACTTGGAAGCAAGAGCATTTGATTTCTATGAGTCATTAGAATGTTAAATTTACCTATTTCTATTTTTTCCAGGTCTTCTAGACTTAGTCGTTGGTACTGGTTTACTTTATCAACTTCATCATCATAACTAGAGAAAGGGAATGAAGAGAATTAAAATCAAAAGCATATTGGGCTTGTTAGTTGAAGTGTAACAGTAAATAAACTACCAGATGCAGTTACGATAAAACCTCTTCCAGTACAATACACTCTGGAATGGTTAAAGAGTTAAACAGAACAAGTATTTTTAAACTTAGACTAAATAAGAGTAACATATGCATATGATTTATAGATCTTACACTAAAAAAAATCAATTCCAAGACAAAAATAATTTCAGTTTCATAAAAACTGTTATAAAACAAAACAAACCTAAAAACTAACCTAAAATGAAGCAAAACACCAACATATACACATATTAAAACTTCTTCTTTAGGAATGATACAGTAGATAAATTGGATATCCAAAATCAAAAATGAAAAATACATTTGACCTATGCCAACAAGGAATCTGGGATGATGACTAAAATATGACAGCTCAAACAAAGCCAAAAATAAAGCGAATATTTACTTAGAAAATATAAAAGTCAATCCTGGTAAAGTTTGAAGAAACAGTACTCATTTTGGTAGTGGCATTATTAATAGTCTTCTGGAGATGGATCTGGCAACCCACAAAAATTACATAATTGGTCATATAATTTTAAGCAAAGAGAAGTTGAGGTTATTTGCGCATGGACACATACACATAAGCTATGTGTATACAGATAGATGCATCATTCAAATAGCGAAAAATCGAAGGTAATTCAATGCCTAGCAACAAAGAAACAAATATGCTATAGTCATAGCAATGCAAACAATGATATGTGGCCATTAAAGAGAAAATATGTGGAGTATCAAAACCTGGGAGGTACACAAGTAATAATATTAAGCTAAGAGAATACAATATTATGTAAACACATTAATAACTAAAATAAAATTTTCAAACTGATAACATTTAATGAAGTATCAATACATAACAAAATATACATTTGAATAATACATAAAAATTTTTTGTTATGAAATCTAAGAAGTACATTTCTTGAAGTTTTAAAAATGAAAGTGGAAGGTTTAAATCAGTGTGACTTACTAGGCCACGTAGTAGGCAGAGTTAGAAAGCAGCAAGAGCACATCCACATCTCTGTGAGTAGCGTCAATGAGGCTAAATAAACATGACACAGGGAATTAAACTCTTTTCATCTGCATTATTTGTCAAGCATATTCCTACAGCAGAGTCACTTAAGGCAAAAAGAAAAAAAAATGGCCAGGAGAAGAAGAAGAAAAAAAAAATCAAATAATGAGTTCTTCTAAGGTTAAATGGAATATAACCTTGTCCATCTGGAAGAATTTTAAGGACACGCCCACCCCCCCCCCCAAAACCCACCACCCAGATTTGAAATAAAAGGAGGAGAACTAAGCGCTAGAGCAGAGAGGAGGTCCCTTTCCAGAGTGCGGGGGAGGGAGGGGGGAGTAAGATAAATTGGGGGAGGGGTGTGGAAAATGGTAAAAAGATGGTTATTAGGGAGAAAGGAAAATAGGCGAATGAAGAGAAATCAGATTATTTCACATTATTTAACCTTCAAAATAACACTGTACATTTGGGGATATTTTTGTACTTGCGAAAAATGCGTATTTTGAAAGCACTTTCTATAATACGGACATGTATGTGCAACAGTTGAGCAAATCCAAGCTCCATTCCATTTGTTTTCACCAGAGAGCAATTCACTTGGCTTTCAAGGAACAGGCAAACATTTCCTTTAGGCCATTTTGTCATATTTATATCCACTCTAAAATCAAATGTGAAAATGAGCCAGACGAGTACTGATGAACCGTTAAATCAAAACTATATGAAAATGTACCTCCTTAAAAAATTACAAGTGAAGGAAAAGGCCAAAGTATAAAATCTACAAAAATCAACAAATAGCAGGCAGATTCTGACCTCAAAGGAAACTTTTAATCAAATCCTAACAAATAGCCTTTCTGTCAAAAGGTGATTAATGCGCATTCTTATTACTGACCAGCAAATTCCACCGCAAGAGTGGGTACCTATTCACTAGCCCTTATTATCAAAATGCTAATGAAAAATAGGAATACTGAAAAGCATCATTTGTGGATGGAACTTGAGCTGCGTGCGGATGAGGTCACTGTGGAACGGGGACCGCAGGGGGACGGTCACCAAAACCTGAACTGCAGTTTTCTGCATCAGCGGCGCCCAGCTGTCGCAATAACTCTGTCTTAATCTAAAATAACAAATTCCCCTCAATTCTCGCCTAATACACTGAAAAGGACATCAAATGAGATAACGCACCAGAACCCAATAAAACCCCGATTGTGTCTAAGAGCCAAAAGTTGAACACAGACCCTTTAACAGATGGGGAAAAGAAAGCCATGAGTTCAATAAGCCCGCCGGGTTTGCTGCGGTAAAAGGCAATCTAACTTCGGGCATCGATACTTACGTGCCTTCCCAAAACTGCTGCTTGAGCCAAGCCACAAAAATGGCATCACGACACATACTGCAATGTGAAATAAATTCTACTCCTACTAATTACAGGGCCGTGCTCACCCTGCTTTCCTAGTTAGGCATCAATATTTACACCAGTCAAACGTGATCCTCAAAAACATTATGTCCTTAACAAAAATCACTTGGCACGCAACAGGCGGGTGAAAAATGTCAGCCCTCCCCCCACCCCGTTTTACTGGAGTCCTAGCTCAGTAAATACCCCACCCCTTAGGAAAAGGAAAAGCACGAGAACACGAACAAGAAGGAAGCCCCGGGAGTCCCCCCACCCCCCTGCGCGCATCCCCGGCTGCTACTCGTTTTTGTTTTCCCGCCACTGGGGCAAGCCCTCCTTCCACACTATGAAGACGAAAATCGCCAGCACCACATGCAGCCCCACCACCGCGACAATGGTCGCGTAAAACGCACTGTCCTCGGGGGACATAAGCATCAGACTTTGGAAAAGAAGCAATTTGCAGGAAAAATACAACCCCACAGGAACTTTCACCATAAGTCCTGCAAAAAGAAGGAAAATCTTGAAAGTCATGGCCAGAACGCCATCAGACTTGGGCTCTGCGGCATTCGCGGCAGCAGCCCTCTGCGCAGGTGGTGGAGGCCTGTGGGAGCGCGGCATTGTCAGTCCGTCCGTCCGTCCGTCCGTCCGTCCTTCGATGCCTCGAAGCTCAGTCAGAGCCGCCTTTACCTAACCTCACGACTGCGGCGACTGCGGCAACTGTGCTGCGGCAGCGCCAAGCCACGCCCACGGGACACATCTGGCTGTTTTCCGGCCGCCCACTTCCGGCTGCGGCAGCTTCTCAGTGCGCATGCGCATCCCATCCTCCGCATTCACCCCGGCCAGCAGGGGAGGGGATTGGAGGATGGGTCTGGGTCAGATCAGGGAGAGCTGGCTTGAGCCTTTGGTGGCCTGTGCCTGTGGCCCGGCCGGAGGGGTCATGGGTGCCAGTCCACAACCTTTCACATGCCGAGGTCTAAGGGTGTAAGCACATCTGGCTGGCCACTGGGAAAGCAGGTGGAAAGGGACGGCTAGGCTGGGTGTGCACAGCAAGGTGAATAGCGCTGGGACCTGGCTCTCTTGGCGAGGTGCTGAAGGCACGGCCACTGCACTCCCGATTCACATTTAAGAAGTCTGCACTTGTCCTGCGACCGGCGGGGGCAGGAAGGCAGGTGCAGAAGAGGACAAGGACCCCGTGTGCAGGGGCAGCTACCGGTGGCCTCGGCCAGGTCGGCGCTGGACAGCTTCCTAAGGGGCGGCACTCAGATGCCCAGCCTACTCCGCCCCGCCCCGCATCTGCAGAGGGTTGAGAGCCTTAACGCAGCGGCTACTGCAGTGAGGCCAGTCAGGCGCTGTCTGCGCAAATCTAAGGCGGTGCCAAGACCGTCCTGGGGTAACTCACTGGTGAAATACTGTAAAAAATCAAACAGAAAAAGCATGCTGAACAAAACCAACATTTAAGTAAAGACGATGTGTTCCTGCATTTGCAGAATCCTGCCTTTCTCAACTGACCTTGATCACAGTCCTGGTCTTGGTAAAACTATTAACAACTCAACCCAAGACAAAACAAGCTGCCAGTGGTGGGGCAATCTTGTAATCCCAGCACTGGGGAGGCTGAGGCAGGAGGATGGTGAGTTCAAGGCCAGCTTGGGCTGTATCAAGACTGTCTCCAAAGAAGAACACAAAAGAGACAATCCAAGTGAAAAAAAAATAAGCAAAGAATTTTAATAGACATTTTTGCAAGAAAGAAACAAAGGGCTAACTAGCACAAGGGAAAAAAATCTCAAACGAACATCACTTGTCATTAGGGAAATGTAGATCAAAACCACAATGAGATAAAACTTCGTAACTACTACGATGACAATAATTATTTAAAAGAGCTAAAGTATTGGTGAAGAATGGATGGAACCCTCATACATCACTGGTGGAAGTGGAAAATAGTTTGTCAGTATCTCAAAAGTTAAACAGGATACTAAGTGATTCAGCAATTTCTACTCCTAAGTATATACTCAAAAGATCTGAAAAGGCTGGACACTGGTGGCTCACACCTGCAATCCTAGCTACTCAGGAGGCAGAGATTAGGAGGATCAAGGTTCAAAGACCTATCTTGAAAATACCCAACACAAAACAGAGCAGATGGAGTGGCACCTGCCTAGCAGGCATGAGGCCCTGAGTTCAAACCCCAGTGCTACCAAAAAATAAGAACTGAAAACAGGTGCAAACAAAAATTTGTACAGAAATGTTCATAGCAACAATTGTCAGAATGTGGAAATAACCCAAAACCCTGTCAACAAAAGAATGAATAAATAAAATGTACAATATCCATAAAATGGAATACTATTCAGCTATAAGAGGAATGAAATTCTTGCCAGGTACTTGAGGCTCATGCCTGTAATCCTAGCTATTCAGGGGGCAGAGATCAGGAAGATAACCGTTCAAAGCCAGCCCGGGGGCAAACAGTTCACAAGACCCTATTTCGAAAAAACCCATCACAAAAAAGGGCTGGAGGAGTGGCTCAAGGTATAGGCCCTGAGTTCAAGCCCCAGTACTACCAAAAAAAAAAAAAACAATGAAATTCTGACACATGCCACAGTATGGATGAACTTGGAAAATACTGTGCTAAGTGAAATTAGCCAATCACCAAAGCCATATCTTTGTATTACTCTACTCACACAGTGTCCAGAATAGGCAAATCCCAAGAGATAGGGCACTCAGGGCTGGAAGTGTGGGATAGGGAAGTGATAGCTAAAGGGTATAGAACTTTTCTTCGTGCTGATGAAAATGTCTTAAAATTGACTTTTCATGATATACAAATCTATGAATATACTTTAAAACCACTGAACTATACACTTCAAATAGGTGAACTCTGGTAAAAATTATATATCAATAAAACTATTATATATATATATATATATATCAATAAAACTATTTTTAGAGGACATGAGTCCAGCAGTGGAGGGCTGAAGCAAGCAGGCAGAGTGGATGCTGAAACCCCAACTAAGAAGGGCTGAGTCCTCCCCTGCACCAGCTGTTTATCCAGGGACCCACACCCTGCAGAAATTTACCCCATCTTCTACCACCATTAGTATCTCTTACTGGGTGAACAAAGGCTTTGTAAAAAAAAACTCAGATAGCCCAAGGGCAGGTTTCCAAACATCTTTCATCATGAGAAAGGGGGAAATGCACCATCAAGAAAATCTTTGCAAAAAGAGCCTAACAGGGTAAAAGAAAAACATCACCTGCAAATTTACAGAAACTGCTGCAGTACTAGAAAGGATGGCATCCACCAAACAAATGAGAGGTGTTTTTAAGTAGGGGAATTCTTAAAGACTTGTCCAACCAAGACAGAAACAAACAGTTAGCTTTGAAGAGTCAAATAAGCACTTGATATCTACCATAGTGTACCTGGGAGGAAAATGTAGTAAAGTCTGAAGAAGGAAATGGTTCTGTATCTGAAAAAGTACCACCTCAGGAAGAAAGGTAGAAGATAAAAGAATACCAGAACTACTCTGAGACACTGATGGTTTTGACTACACCTTCTCCTCCTAAGAGCAAACCTAAACCCCCAACTTCCTGGGTCACAGAGTGATTAAGTTCCACCCATAAAATACAGTATCTTCTACCTAAGACAAGACAAAATAAGACCTGAGAAGCCACCGGCTGGAAAGCATCAGCTCTGCCACCTATTCTATTACGACCTCACTCTGTCCCAAAGCTTCAAAGGAAGCAGTTTCCAGCAAAACAATAACAATGGGAACCATGAAGGGCAAGGAAAAAAACCTGTCAAGTGGCCAACACCTCAACCACTGTGAGACACAACCAGCCTCGCATGGTCAGCCTTAGAGGAGATCCTTTCAAGACCAGAGTGCAGAGTCTCCAACCTTACCCTGTCATGGAGAAGTACATCACACATGTTCCAGAGGCCTATGGATCCTCGGCACCACCTCCACCTCTTGAGAATCAACACATCATTCCTTCAGATACTCCTGTTGTCCTGGTTAACAACGGAACCCCCCTGTGTGCATATGTGCTTCTCTGGACCAAAGAGCTGACAAACAACCACTCTCCATCAGGCAGCTGACATACATAATTAGTGAAGAAAACACAACAAGAACACAAGGAAGGCCGCAGCACCTCAGCTGATGATTCTTGGATTAATAGGAGAATCCAGACTATTTCAGTGTCCCAAAGGACAAAGTTCAAAGAGAGTTACTTGGCCACTGACTGATTCTGATGGGCCTATTTTATATACCAATGACCATAAGGAAGACAATGAGAATGAGGGTGGCAGTTGAGGCTTTAGCAAGTAAAACAGTCACTCCCAATCACTCATGGTAACCAATCATCTAAGAGAGAATTAAAGGACAAAAAACATCATGTAGCAACATCTGAGGAGGAGAAGTGAATCCAACAATGAACTAGAAACTAGTAGGAGACTCAGCCTGAGGCCAACGGTTGAAGACACTGAAAAGAAAGAAATAAAGTAGAACAAGAAACAAATATGCATCTAAAGGGCCAACTCAGCAGAAAGCTCAGCCTGAGACCCACGGTGGCACAGCTATACAGACAAAAGATCTGGAGGCCTAATGAGTATGTAGAGATCACTATTCCTCTGGCTGTGATCACCAGACACACACGTCATGGGCTCAGCTAACACCTACAGATAAGTTAGCAGTAAGGGAAGAACTAAATGAACTTAAAGGTGGCACTGCCCATCACGACACGCAAGACTACTTGGAAACACACACTGATACTCTCTATGGGTAGTACCATTTGCTGCAAACCTGATAACAAACTTAATGTTTATGTTTCAGCTTAATTTGCAGTGAAAGAAGAGTGGGCTCTGCTGTTTTAGGGCGTACTCCCCATCTGTACAGTCTGAGAATCATAATAATCAAAGGGAAGGATGTTCTGGCCCATTATCTAGCAAATGTGGTAAGTTATTCTTATCAGGAGCTTTCATCAAGGAAGATGCATAGAAGACCATCACTGGTTTCCTATTGTCAGAAAGACAAATTTTATTGCAGTATTAAAAGGAAATGGGGACTGCACTTACTAGGATACACTTACTAGACTTCTACTAGGGGTAGAAGTCAAAAATAAGAAAAAAGGGGAGTATTTCATCATATTAATGAAGAAGAGAACAAATGAAACAGAACTGTATTCCTGAAGTAAGCATTTGGTAGGTAAGAATTTAAGGGATCTGAGACTATCCCACAATGATTTCTTAAAGACCTGACACTAGGAGATTATTCTTGCTTCACCTGTTTTCTTCATGAAACCAGTTGCTAGAAATAAGTATGAGTGTTTTCACCAATCTTTGCAATTCTAATGACTCTTAACAAAGCATGCTTACCAAAACTTGGTTATAAGTTTTCTATAGCACAGCTATATACCTTTACATTTTTAAAATACTCCTTACCTAGGTTACCAATTTTCCACAATTACAGGATTTGATTTGGGGATTGTAGCTCAGTGGTAAAGTGTTTGTTTAGCATGCACAAGGCCATGGGTTCAATCTCCAGTGCCACCAATAAATAAATAAAGAGTTGCAGGATTAGGTATCAGATTGGATACAATGTGTCCCTACAAAATAGTAGCCAGCATCAGAAATGAACCTGGGGCCATAATTCACAGCTCGGTGGCAGAGCATGTGCCTGATATGCGTGAGGCCCTGGGTTGGATCCCTACCACCACCGCAAAATTAAAAAAAAAAAGAAGAAGAAAAAGAAATAAACCTTTTGGTTTTGCTTAATTTCAATGATCCCAAAGTAGAAACAAGAATACTTGGAAGACTGATGCCTTTAATTGAGGCACAAGGTTAAACTCAAGCATAATGCCGGGTTGCTATCTATAGTCATTTCTGAATGAAACTTTAAAATACTACTTTTTTGTGCTGCAGTAAGTTGCATTGTTGCTGTTAAAAACAACCTGAAGCACATGAATCAAATATTTTTATCAAATGGCTTAAAAGAACACAAATCTTCTGGTAAGGTGTGTGAAGAAGATCTCATTTTAAAGGTCTGCAAATTCCATCTTTCCATACAGCATTTACTATCAAAGTGAAATCATCCATGAGGTTAAAGTCATGGTAAGTTTCCCTATGAACCTAAAGTCAATGTTGTTTGTTAATTTGTTTCAATATATATTGTATCTAATTGTACTTTCAAGCTTATTTTATACCCCTTTATTGAAAATACATGAAGTCTATAGGATAAAATCTAAATAGAGAGCTTTATTCTCATAGCTGGGTCTAGAATTTCCTGAAATGTTTCTGATTTATAATATTAAAGACTATCATTTTACAGTTCAGCCTAAAAACATTCAATCTGGTAGATACATTTAGATCCTGTTATTCATTGATATGTTGAAGAACTACTTGAAACTAGATGTTTTTTGTTTAATAAAATTAATTAGTAGTTGGCCTATTTATTTTATGAAAAAATTTATTAGTTGGCCTATTTATTTTATGAAAAGCCAGGACTACTTCATAACCAATAAAAATAACAAGCATCTCTGTACCTCTTATTACACTCACTTATGTGTGTCAGGACAATAAACCTAGATTCTGGAGATGCAGAGACCTATATAGCCAGTTGGAGATTGTAGTTGGCCAGGTTGAATTTTTAAGAAAATAAAATATTAGCCAGGGGCCAGTGACTCATGCCTATAATTCTAGCTACTGAGAAAGCAGAGATCAGGAGGATGGTGTTTCAAAGCCAATCCAGGCAAATACTTTGCGAGACCCTATCTCAAAAATAGGGCTGGTGGAGTGGCTTAAATGGTAGAGCACCTGTCTAACAAGCGTGAGGCCCTAAGTTCAAAACTATTTTAAAACACTTCTTTCATTACTCATTTTTTCAGCACCCCCTTAATTTTACACACAATACAAGTACCTCACTCAGCTTGCCTTAGCAGCAACCCTGTACTGAAACCTGCCATGCCCCATGCACCTAGGCTCACAGCTTTATGGGCAACTGCTAGTATTAACAGTGACAACAGCGTAAGAAGGTTAAACAGGTTAGTCACCAGGATACCATTCCAACTCACCTGGGGTCACAGTCGATGAGGGCCCAGCCCCCATGGAACTTCTCATCATCAGGCAGCAGTAACTTCATGTAACTTTGTAAGAGCTGACTAATTAGCTCCTGGTGGCTTCTCTGATTTTCTTTATGCAAAGCTTCGTGCTCTTTCTCCTTGGTAAATATGGAATAAAGATCTTCTGTCACTGGAATGCCTTGCATCAAATCTATGATAGAAGTGTTAATATCTATCATCATCTTAGCTTACTTAGATGTTTTTAAAAACAAAAGAGAATATAAGCCCTAAAACTACAAAACTCATAGAAGAAAATCTAAGCATAAATCTTTTTGACCTGAGACATCATTTTTTACATATGACACCAAAAGTATAAGCACAAAAAGAAAAAAACAGGCAAGTTGGATATCATCAAAATTAAAAACTTTTGTGTTTCAATAGGCACCATTGTGAAAATGAAGCCAAGCTATGGCACAGGTAAAAAGTGTTTACAGCTCATTTATCTGGGAAGGGAGTTATACAACCAATAGATAAAGAACTCATCTCAGTAATAAAAAAACAGCCTATTTATAAGTGGGTAAAAGACATAAATAGATAAGCTAGCTTCTGATGGGACATGAAGCTGAAGCAAATCATTACAATCCCATTCCCTGTGAAGATAAATGGGACAATGAGCTTCTGGGCAAGAAGATCTGCCAATCACTGGCCCTGCAAAGGGAAGCAACAAATTCAAAGTGTCTCTGGCCTCTCTGTCTCAACCTTGAAGAAACACAGCCTCAGGACCAGGATGAATCTACAGGACTGATAGCCGAACTGAGAGAGAGAGAGAGAGAGAGAGAGAGAGAGAGAGAGAGAGAAACTTGAGTCCTCAACATCATAACTGAGGAGATCGGCCAATGGAAGCAAGGAAACTTACTTTTCTCCTTGAATAAACTGCTAACACTCAATTCTCTAGTCAGCATCCACCCCTCCACTCCTGACAATTAACAAAACTTTTTTTTTTTTTTTTTGGTGGTACTAGGGATTGAACCCAGGGCCTCACAAGTGCTCTACCACTGAACCACATCCTCAGCCCAAATCAAACTTCTTTACAACAGATTTCTCCAATTCCAATCTGCCTTTGTCTAGGCCCTAGTATTTCATGGTTCTAAATAATCAGGTGAAAAGTAGAATTTTTAAAAGATTTTCAGTAGATCTTTAAAGATCAACTATATCACATTTGGTTTTAATCCAGAACACTATTTAATCATACAAAGTAACATGTTGTTAAAATTAAAAACAAAACACATCAGAGTGATTTCTACTGGGCAATTCTACCTTGACATTTCTTCTTCTAAAAAGTGATGGGTTGGGATAATCTCTAAATCTGGCCCCTAATATCCTGTTAAATCATGTTGATAGAAAAGGATAAGGTAAAGGATATGATAAATGGCTCACAGGAAAAGAAAATCATCTGTTTACAAGGCTCAGCCTTGAGGAACGGGAGAACAAACAGAATATGAAGTTTTGGTTGATGAGTTTTAGGGTATCTATTCTACACTCTAGGAACCTCAACCCTGCTTTCTACAACTTGAGTAACAAACTGACAAATATTTATGGAAATAGATACTTCTTTTGTTGCTCCAGACTAAAATATTTGTCAAATTCTAATTTTGTGAAAATTTGAATTTGATTCATTGGGTAAGATTCTCAATATAGAAACACCAGTATATTACAAAATGTGAGTTATGTTAATGAAGCTCATTCCTGAAGAATGTTAGTCACAGAAGGACAATACATTTTAAGGAAAAGAGAAGCATTTCCATTCCTTACCTATAACAGCTTGCCTGTAAGCATCCTTAAACCGATTGAGGTAATACCTGTTTGCTGAGTTAACTCCATCTTTCATAACTCCTGCTAACTTCCTTTCTCCTGTTCTTGTAAAGTCACCCTGTCAAAGAATTTTGACAATTTATTCAAACACAAGGATATTCTTAAAATCAATTTGGGGCTTTCAGTTCCAAGACTAGAATTCTATAGGCTTCTATGATTTCCAAATTATAACTTTAATAATTTCCAAATAGTGTAATTAAGTTAAGTTACCGACTAGCATCTGACTCTGCTCCAAGCATGTCAAATAATTAAACATGCTCTTCGTGGCATCAAGCCTTCACATTAGTTGTTCTAGCCATTCTTGCAGCAACTTATAGAAATTCTAAAATTTACAGGTCAAAACCACTATATAACACATATAAAACAACAAAAAAGAATTTTTAAATCTCAACGTCTACAAATTCAAAACCAAACTTCTGAACATGGACAGTTCTCTAGAATCTATTATAAAGTGATTCGACTTCCGTACGTATATGTGTAGGTATTAGTAAAGAGAGAGACAGAGGTTTCCATATCTTACTGCACATCACAATCACTTGTACAACAATTCAGTGAACAATTAATTTTTTCTCTTGTTTTTTTGCGGTATTGGGGCTTCAACTCTGGACCTGCACCTTGAGCCACTCCACCAGACTTTTTTTTGTGTTGGGTTTTTTTGAGATAGGGTCTCGCGAACTATTTGCCTGGGCTTGGCTTTGAACCACAATCTTCCTGATCGCTGCCTCCTGGCTTTTCTTTCTTTTCTTTCCCTCTCTCTCCCCTTCCCTTCCCCCTTTTCTTTTTTCTTTCCCCTCCCTTCCTCCCTCCCTCGCCCCTCTCTCTCTTCCTCCTTTCTTCCTTCCTTTCTGCAGTACTAGTATTTGAACTCAGGGCCTTGTGCTTGCCAGGCAAGTGCTCTACCTCCTAGCCACACTCCCAGTCCTTTTTGGTTTACTTATTTTTCACATACGGTCTTGCATGTTTGTCCAGGACCAGCAGCCTAGACCAGGGTCCTCCTACCATGCCTCCCATGCAGCTGAGATTACAGACATGTGTCGCACACTTGGCAAGACTTGTTTTGTTTCTCTTGCCTATCACAACAATGGTATGAGAGAGGTAGTGACTTAAATTGAAGACAACAAGGTATAGTTTCTCTTTTTTTTCCCTATTCTGACCCCATGATTTCTATCTAAGATATTCTCAGATGCAAGCCTTTTCTTAAAATTGACAATTTAGCAAGAGCATGCTGCCAATTAGGCCATTTGCAGGGAATATTAATGTAGCAACAAGAAGCTGCTCCAGAATTCACCGGCATGAACCTGGATCCCAAAGAAGCTTCAATCAAAGGAGAAGAAATAAGTACCTCTTTTTAAACAATTAGGACTTCTAAAGTTTACTTTCCCCAATTATTAGTAAGTTTTTGATGTTTACCACTCAACCAAAAAGAAGGACTATCTATACCTGTTGAGCTCTTGATGGTACAATTCATTATAAAAAAATATCCTGAGATGAACTATTACCTTAAAAGAAAATTAACATAGACCTACCTAATGTAAACTAATTCAACCACTTCCTATTGCCTAGAGAGGCTAACATCTACAACAGAGAATTTAGTTACCAGGGATTATATTTCTATATTCATACTTTAATTCCATGGAGACGAGTTATGTAGGATCTTCAAAAGACTTAATAACAACAAAGATTAAAGCATTTCTTCAGCATTTACTGTGTGTTGGGGAGTGTTCAAGGCTCTTACATGCACTGATTCCTATATTCCCATGACAATTATTTGCAGTAGCCTAGTATTCTCACTGGACAAATGAGACAGAGCAGTTAAGTGATTTGCCCAAAGCCACAGAGCAAGTAAAAGGCAGGCTCAGGATTCAAACTCAAAGAAAACAACTACAAAAAAAAAAACATAGTAGATACCCAGTCCTGCCAAGTAGACATGGTTTTCTTGATCTACATACAGCTTTAAAACTCATTCATATAAAATTCCAGATTTCCAGACTCCCTTGAAAAGCTGGAAGATGAGGCAGCATGAGATCTCCTAAGGAAGCAGTAGACTGGCCCCAAAGAGACAGTGCATGCTCCTCCGATCAGGTCCACATAGCCCACTGCTCCCTCTGATCAAGGTGGCCTGCTTGAGTCACATTCCCAAGCCCTGAAGGAATTTGAGTGGGTGATCCCTGCCCTAGCCAGACATTCCAGAAAAGAGTCAACCCCACAAAGCTACCACCTGTAGCCCAAAACAAAGTTAGTTTTAAGCCCAGTCTAACCTGTGTCCCAGATAGCAGCCTGTGAGTACTTGCTGTAGGCACTTACCTTCAAAGCAGCTGTGCCAGCGTACTGTCTGCTGATGGAGTCACCATTGTTAGCCCACATTATCTGGTAAATCCGATTGCATTTCACAGGGAGTGGCTGTTCCGGGGGCATCACACCTAATTTTTTCAGCTAAAATAAACATACAGATACATTAACTATCTATGACCCAGGAAATCATAGCATAAAATGTATTCTGTAGAAAAAGGAAACATATTGATATACAATTTAGGACCCTTAAATAAAAAATCATTTCATACTTTTTTTTTTAAGTAGGGTTTAATTACGTAGTCCAGTTCAACCTTGAACTAACAGTTCTTCCGCCTCAGGCTACTACATATGCACCACATGCCTGGCTCAAATTTTTTTTTTTAAATAAAAACACTACTAAGAGACAGCTTTAGGAATTACCATAGCTGAATAAATATAATGAAGTCTTTATACTCTTTCGGCACAATTTGTTATTTATAGGCTCATACTATTATATTTTGCCTATGAAGTGAAACTAAATGTCAGAAAAGCACAAAACATCATAATATTTATAGTAGTAGATAATAAGTGCCCAGTAAACCTTAACTCTGCCCAGGGCTAGGATCCTAAGAGCTGTTTTACACGAGTGATCTAATCTGCATCCCTATGCAGTGGACACTCTTACCACTCCTGTATTCTATGGTAGGCTCAACACATGACATGTAGTAAAGCTTAGGCTTAAATTCAAAAGCCTGGCTGCTTAAACACTCCACCCAAGGAACAGACTCATATCCTTAAAGAATAGTCATGAGGTTTTCTATCAGAGAGAAAATAACCACAACCGCAAAAACAAGCCAAGAGAGGTGGTGCATACCTATAATCCCAGCTAGTGGGAAGGCAGAGGCAGGTATATCTCAAGTTCAAGGCCACCCCAGGCAAAGTTAGCAAAAACAATACAAGCCAGGTGCCAGTGGCTCATGCTTATAATTCTAGCTACTTGGGATGCTGAGATCAAGAGGATCACAGTTTGAGGCCAATCTGGACAATAGTTCAAGAGAACCCATTTGCAAAATAACCAGAGCAAAATGGACTGAAGTGTGGCTCAAGCTGTAGAGTCCCTGCTTTGCAAGCGTGAAGCCCTGAGTTCAAACCCCAGTCCCACGAAGCCAAACCAAACAAAACAAAAAGGGCAGGGGAGGCATGGCTCAAATGGTAGAGGTCTTCCCCAGAATGCACAAGGCTCTGAAAAAAAGAAAAAAGAAACCATGCTAGGTATTTCCACTTTGGGAATTTAATACAGGAAATCTGTCATCCAGGTATTAGAAGGCGGAAAGATCTAAAATGAGATACTGAGGTAACAGAGTTGAGGGAAGACAAGCAGCTGCATCCATAAGGAAAAGGGAAAAGACTTCCTATGTTGTCAAAAGAACCAACAAGCCCCAGAGAGCTATCCGCTGACAGGAAGAGCCCCGTACAGGAGTGTGCCCCTTTTTTCATCTCCTACTCATGTCTTCTTTAGTTCCATCCCCATCATCCCTACTCCATCCCACCATATTGGCAGAGCCAGCTGGCTAAGCAGAAACAGGGTGTGTAAATTCCAATACAAAGAAGGGGAGGGTTTGGAGCTGAGAGGAAAAAGGTAAATGACACACCATGCCACTATAGCTAACTGATTTCTGATGAAGTTGGAATTTTCCAGGATTTTTTTCTTTCTTTTCAGTAGTGGGGTTTGAGTTCAGGGCATCACACTTGCTAATTGCTAAGCAAGTGGCATTTTCCAGGTTTTAATGCAACATAGACACTGGTATGCTGTAAATGTTCTATATAACAAAGTTTGAAAAAAATTTTTACTATTTAGTTACACATGAAAAAAAAACACTTAGAAATGAGTATTTGGGCTGGGTGCTGGTGGCTCATGCCTGTAATCCTAGCTACTCATGATGCAGAAATCAGAAGGATTGCAGTTCGAAGCCAGCCAAGGCAATTAGTTTGTGAGACCCTATCTCAAAAAACCCTTCACAAAAATAGGGACGGTGAAGTGGCTCAAGGCCCTGAGCTCAAGCCCCAGTATTGCAAAATAAAAAAAAAGGACTATTTTTAGAAGCAAATGGACTCCCAGTTACCTGCTGCTCCATGACCACTCGTGCAATGGCAGCTTGGACCACGTTGGTACGATCCAGGCAGTCCATGCAATTAACTCGAAAAATTCCTTCTTGTTTACATATCACCCCAGCTTGATCAACCCTTTCAAAAACAGTATGGGATTATTTTACAATTTTAATAAGCTTTTCCAAACCAAAATTCTTTAGCTATAACAATAACAGCAGCAGCAATAGCTACCAACTTGCCTGGAATCAAGCAAACTATGGATCAAGCATTACTGAGTCCTCTGTAGATATTACTGTTAACTTACGCAATAACATGGCAGCAAAGATGCTGTTATCTCCATTTTAGAAATCAAAACTGAGGTAATGAGAGTGATTTGGCTCAAGTAACACAACTACAGGCAAAGCCAACACAACCCCAGGCTGTGCTTTTCCATGCACTCATAAATCAGAAGGTGCTTTAAACACCATCTCATTCCTTCCTTTTGACTCAAAGTGGAAATGCATCTAAAACCTTGTGAAACAGACTAATCTACTTTACCACCTGGTGAAGAGTCATGCAGCACGCCTTGTCCCTTTAATTTCTCTGGCCCCCTGTGTAGTCTTAAAAATCTAATCGAATGTTCTCTTCTGTCCTTTAAAGCAATTTTTTTCTTCCCACATCTATCTCCTGCAGTCTGAGAATCATTTTCCTTCTTTGTTAATTTAAAATGCCTGAAAAACTGACTACTTCGAAGTCTTCTTTCCCACATTAGGGACATGAGAAAGCAGAGAAAGAGAAAATGCAGACCACAGAGCATGAGAAGGAGTAAGTTTATGTCTTTATAGAAGTTACACAGCACTGCACTTCATTTTGCCCAACCATTTAACACCTACTCCCTCTCCAAAGCTAACTTTGCCTAATGATCAATAACAATCTTATGAAAAGGAAAATGGAAAATGGGACACAAAACAGAACAAAAACCAAAAATGTGTTCTTAGCATGCTGCTATTACCTTAATGCATAGTTATACTAGACAATACATAGGATTTCACAGACCAAGAGTCTATCAAATAACTTCTTATGAAATACCTACCAACACCACTTCATGTCAAGAATAATGTCATAAATGGCATCTGTTAGGGTTTGAACGTTCTCAAATTTCATTCCTCGGCTAAAATCCATGTCAAAAGAAAGAAAAATCTTTAATATTATAATAGAATTTTTTTAAGCTTACTTAAGCTATGAGGGGCTAAGGATATAGTTTAGTGGTAGAATGCTTGTCTAGCATGCATACATTAAATTCCCAGCACAACAACAACAAAAAACCCCTCAACTCATTTAAGATACGATATTTAAGGTAACTTGGAGTACACTGAACCACATTATACACATCAGAAGCTTCCTTTTCCGCCAAACTGGGTAGCTTAACCCAGGTAAAAGCCAGGATTATGGCAAAAGATGCTGCTTTCAGCATACACACGAGCCAAAGGTACCAGCAATATGATTCACCAGCTGTTTTTCCAAAGCAAATGCTAGTAAAGCTTACCCAGAAGGAAGCATTGCTAACGGTGTGAAGATGAGCCAGCAGGATGACTTTTAGTAAGGAAGCTCTATTAGTTCTGCTAGGCCAAGACCCAAGCAGTTCTTCAAATGGTGTAATCAAAGCAAAAACAGAACTCCAAGTCTCCAAGTCATTTTGTAACAGAAAGACTTAATATTTGTCAACTAATCCAAATTTTAGCCAAAATAAAGCCCAGATGAAAATTAAAACTAATTTTCTCACAATGAGAAAAAGAAAATTTTCTCATTTGTGACAGCATCCACAACAAGCATGTCAACTGATCAAAACTCATCCGAGAAAGTACCTTACCAGTGCTCATGGAAGTCAAAGGACACGTAAGTGAGGTGTGAGTTGTTAAAAAGCAGCACTTGCTTCAGATAAGCATCACCAATAATCTTCTCTCTTCCTGCTTGGTCTACCAAGTTAATAATAACCTGTAAGAGAGAAGAAAGACACAAAATTAAGATCAGACATTAGAATCATAATGTGATGTTTAATGATTTATTTAGATTGTATTTTAGAAATATTTTATAGCCATACTTAGAAATTAACCCACTCACGCATCAATTTTTTCCTATAAATTAAGTTTTTATTTTTTACATAAATTTAGGTTTATGAGAACTGTTTACACCAATGGTATTAATAATAGCTTTCTATACATTTGCAATGATCAATTAGAATACACAGTGTTTTCCTTTATAACAGAAAATATTTTAAACATCTAGGATAATTTAAAAAGAAATATATAAGATCTAGAAGGTGAACACTATAAAACTACTAAATACATAAAAGAAAACCTGAATAAATGGAGATACATACCATGCTGCTGAATGCAAGATTCAATATAGTAAAGATGTCAAGCCTCCCCAAATTAATCTATGCACTCAACAATCCCAGTCAAAATTCAACTGGGATCTTTTGATGGGCTTGACAAGTTAATTCTAAGGTTCATCTGGAAGAGTAAATACACAGGAAAATTTTGGAAACTAGTAATAAAGGGAGACCTGTCCCACTGGAGAGCAAAACATATTCAATACAGCAATTAAAACTGCAGAACCAATGTAGAAACAGATACATGACTCAGAAAAACAGGACTAACAGTTCAGACAAAGACCTATGTCCACTGAGGAATCTCAAATACACTACTCATACCTGTGGACAATTCTATCAGCAGTATTGGTATAAGGGGAGCAATGATAGAGATGACTCCACTTTGGATGAGAGAGGCACTTCAGAAGCACACATCTAAAGACACGTGGAAACAACAGGCTTCTCAGAGAAATCAAGCTCCTTACCAAAATAACAAAATGCAGCTGCACAATATGGGTAGTGAGCCCCAAGGCCAAGACAAGTTGGGCAGATTTTCAAGGTCAGGACAAGTTGACCAGGTCTTTTTCTCCTTATCAGTTTGATGGACAGAAAGAAGCTGACTTGGAGCCAACCAATCACAAATATAGCTTCAAGGTAGACTAGTTGGACCTAATGATGTAGGCACCCTACATCATTCCTAGACTTCAGCTAAACTATGGCTTAGCTTCCAAAGCTTTGCTACCCTTTCAATAAACCTTGTGCTAACAGAAACTGATTTAAAATTCTCCAGGCTGGAGGCCCCATTAAACACCCTCAAGTTTTTCTTTTTGGCAGTACTGGGGTTTGAACTCAAGAGCTTCACCTTTGCTAGGCAGGTGTTCTACCACTTGAGCCACCCCACCAGCCCCTTCTCCCCTTTTTAAATTGGCGTAAATTAACTGTATAAAAATGGTTTCACTTTGTTATTCCATACATGAATAAAATATACTTTGGTCAAAAAAAAATAAAATAAAATAAACCATGTGCTCGGTTTACTCTTAACTCCTGGTCCAGTGTCCTCAATCATCATCTATGCTAGGACATGAACTTGGGATCAACAAACCAGTATCACTGGGATAACTGTCTATTTATAAGGGGTGAACTTATAAATAGCTGACTACATCTTATTAATTACATGTAAAATAAGTTCTAAATACATGAACGATCTAAATATTTCTCTTTACATTATAAAAATGCTAGGAGAGAATTACGGATAATGCTTCCAAAACTGTAGGATGGGAAATAACTTTCTAAAGATAATATACAAATCAGAAGGCATAATGGAAATGATGCACAGATGTGATAATATAAAATTTTTAAACCTATAAACCAATGACGTGTAAACAAAGGCTTAAAAAAACCCAAAGTACAATATACCTGCAACATAAAATCAACAATACATAAAGAATGCTATAATCCAATAAAGAAAAAAAATAAGTAAATTCATAAAGAAAATATATACATAGTCAATAACCATAAGGCTACAGCTTTGGTAATAACCAAATACAAATTTTAGAATAGAAAGCTATTCTATTCACCTAAATAGAGATAAATTTGAGCACAAAATATAGACAACGATGGTGAATGGAGGAAATGGACACTGACTTCCACACTAGCTCTGGCAGTGTGAACTGGTGCAGTCTTTTTGGGAGCAAGAGTGGTAGCTATCAGCTTTAAATATATATCCTTTGGATCCAGTAAGTTCCCTTCTAGGCATTTATTCTCCAAAATGTACAAATATGGAGACTTTCTATAATAGCAAACATAAATAGCATTTTCTAAAGGTCCATTGGCGGAGAAAAAGTTAACTAACAGCCATGAAAGAACAGTATATATGGTATAGGTCTCTTTTGACTTAAGTTTTGTAGGGTTTTTTTGTTTTTGCTTTTGTTTTGACACAAATGACAAACTGCTGACTCACCTCTCAGAACAAGTTTGGAAGTAACATGGTTCCAGAATGGCTGACTTCAGTCATTCCAAATACCAGTAAGGACACGGTTATTTCCACCTTTTTATTCTGCCATTCATTCATCTTTTTTATCCTACCAGCATAACGGTTAAGTCTCTAGTTAGTTCATTCAGTCTTGAGATAGCTAGCTGAAGCAGTTCTCATCAAACCCAGACACAATAGCCACAGGGGGGCTGTTGGTTCCTCTATCTTTTTTTATTACAATAGGAAACTTTTCTCCAGCAAGCTCCCACGGGACTTCTCCCACATCATACCTCATTGATCAAATCGCCAATAAACACACACAGGCCCATGCCTAAACCAATCACTGATAAGAACAATGTTGCCATCATGACTGACTCAGCCAGAAAGTGGGCCCAGAAAGCAATTACCCAGAAGAAGGAGAGAGATAAATGAACACTGTTGGGAGACTGTGAGAAATCAGAAGTGTCTGCTGAATACACACACCTATAAATTGATGTGAAAGTCAATACAAGCAGGGATAAATGTGAGAAGAGGTTATTTCCTCTGCTTACACACCTCAGCATTGCTTCATTTTTACAACTGTGTGTTATATCTAAGTGTGGTTTATTCTTTGTTACTTATTATATATAGATAAAATGAGTAACATGAATTAACTCAAGAAATTCAAATGATGAATAAGGCCAAATCCTTCCTGACCACAATCTAGTCCCTAGGCCTTTCAGAGGTTCCTGGAGGAAACTCCTGTTATTAGTTAGGTGTGTGCCCTTTTCATATAATTGTATTTCTATATAAATGTGCACGCCATATACGTATGTGGACAAAATAGATAAGAATTATGTATGTTTATGTGAATAATATGATTTTGCTACCTGGGATTTTAAAAATGGCAATATACTACATAGGCTTTTACAGTTTTTTTTTTCTCTTCATGTTCCACAATGTAATTTTTTTGTTTCTTGTGGTACTGGGATTTAAACCCAGGGCCTCACGCTTGCCAGGCAGGTGCTCTACCATTTGAGCCACTCCCACAGCCCTTTTTGCCTTAGATATTTTTGGAATAGGGTCTCCTGTTTTTGCCTGAGCATTTCAGACTAGCAATCCTCCTATTTATGCTTTAGCAGCATTTGGCTGAGATAGGGTCCTACTAACTTTTTGCCCAGGCTGTCTTCAAACTTAGATCCTCCTGACCTCCACCTCCCAAGTAGCTGGGATTGTATACATAAAACATCACGCCCAGCCCTACAATGTGATTTTTAAGACCTTCCCATGTTAGCACCCAGGGGCCTACGTCATTCTTCCTCACGGAAGCGAGGTTCTTTATTTGCCCATTGTCCTCCTGAAGAGCATTCATGTTCTTTTATGCTGTAATGAATGCTCTTGTATATGCTTTCCTTGATTAAACATGTTTTTCTCAGGTAGACTTAAATTTTTCTATCCAAGTTCTAGTTCCTTCACATCCATGCTAAAACTTGGTATTTCCCATCTTTTTAATTTTAAAAAGATGATATGTGAGTCACAACTTTAATTTGCCTTTCCCTGATGACTAATGAAGTAAAGAACCTTTTCACGGTTTTTTGTTTTTTTTTTTTATGGATATCTTTTTACATGAAAGGTCTGCTCAATTATTACATCTAATTTGCTTTTGGGTTATTCATATTTTTCATGGATTTATAAAAGCTTTCAAATATACAGTAGGCATAGGAACACTGTTTTATATAGGCCTTGAAAAACCTTATATATCTTCTCCCTCTTTGTGGTGCCTTTTAATCAATAGAAGTCAAATTCATCAGCCCTTTTCATTAAGGTAGTGCTTTTAAGTCCATTTAATTTTAATAAAGCTTTAATAATTGGCATCTGCAACATTATACTATTTTGATATTCACAATTTAATAAATGACATTTTAATAAAAACAAATTTAAAGTCAAATTTATTAATTTTTTCACTATGGTCAGTGGTTTTTAAAAAATAACTATTTACCAGATGAACATTTACCCCTTATTAAACAACTAATAAAATCTGGAACATATGACCATAAATGAAAAGTACAGGATAACGATGGTTAGTTTTCTAAGTCCTATTAGACCCAAGGTCAAAGAGATGCTCTACATTGCCCTGTAAATGCCTTATTATATAGCCTGCCACACTTAGATCCATAATCTATCTCAGATTACTTTTGTTTATAATATGTGAATATCAAAGAGTAAAATTACTATGTTAAGCAGTACAAGTGTATTTAATTTTAATAATAATACCATTTGAGATGTATGTACCAACTTAAGCATCTTCTAACAATATTTGAGAGTTCTCATATTGAAACTCAAATACCCACCTTTATTTCTTATTATAAAACTTCTTAACTTTTTTTGAATACAAGGGTTTTCTTCTTATTCACTGCTAAGACTTTGTACGAAATTTATATGTCAATTTGGGTAGAACTGAAATCTATTCAGTATTTCATCTTTTCTTCCAGGAACATTGTATTTTTCTCTCCATTTAAATCAGGTTTTCTATTGCGTTATTCTGTAATTCTGTTCCTTATCTTCTCTATATACACGGTACCTTTCTTGTCTTTATCTCTTCCTATTTTATTTATTATTGCTGTAAGAGAATGCATTCCATGGTATAATACATTCAGACTGGTCACTGTTAATATGTAAGAGCATTAATGACTATTAAGTATTAATTTTGTATCAAGAAAGGGGTTTGGTTTAGTGTGTATGTGTTGTTGTATTGGGGATTGCAGTCAGGGCCCTGCACATGCTAAGCAAGCACTTTCCACTGAGCTACATTCTTAGCCCCTGTACCAAAATTACTGAACTTGTATTTAATCTAACAGTCTTCAATTGATTTTGGCTTATCTGATTGCATTCCTACATGTGAAGGTGTGAATACATGTGAAAGGCAGGCAGAGAAAAAAGAGAGATGCACACTAAACTGTTATCTCCAGGAGGTGGGAGGTGGTAATAAGAGGATTTTGGTTTCTTAGTCTAGATACTTCCTGGATTGTAATAATGAATTGATGACTGTCTAATCTGTTTATCTCATCCAAATAGCCTAAAGTAGCTCGCTCCATGATCATCTTAAGGAACACTAAGAGTATTCTTAGCTTACACATGTCCTTTTATTTTTATGGCAAACACTGCTTAATTATGAATATTACACTGTTTTTTCATGAAATTTAAAGAAATAAATACACAGTCATTTCTACATATGAAGCAATACTTTACTACTATATATCAAAGCCCACCTGTTTTTTGTAAATTTTCAGTTGTTCTTCGAAATGGGCACAGAAATAGGCAACAGTTTCCTTTTCACCTACAAAGAAGTGATACAAAATCTATTTTTCTTTCCCAAGTTTAAGACAAAAATTAGTGTCTATTCCACATTTATTCTTATTTTTAAATAATTTATTGACAGCCTAAATGTAAGACTGTCTACCCATCATTTTAAAATAAAATGCTAAGCCAAAACTCTGTGATTTTTTTCCAGATAAACTAAACTAAAACATACCTAAAAGTGCAAACTGTGACATTATGACATTTAATATTTAAATATCCCATCTACATCTCTGAAAAGGTTTTATGTGATTTATAATAAAAGAATGAAAACCCCTCTAAAACAGTAATATTAAAAAGAATGAAGTTTTACTGAATGCTCACAAATATAAATTAAGTGGAGGGAAACTATAACATTTTTTTAAGTCATCCTCATTCAGTAATCTAGATTTAAATGACTTAGCTATTCTGGTGCTACAGTTAAAATACTAGAAAAAATTAAATTCTCAGTACTTCAAAAAAAAGCTTTCTGAGCTGGGGGTGTGGCTCAAGTGGTAGAGCATCTGCTTGAGTTCAATTCCGAGAACCACCAAAAAAAAAAAAAAAAAAAAAAGAAAAGAAAGAAAAGCTTTCAGTAAAGCTATCCATTGTTCATTAGACTCCATCTTGTTAAGATGCTTCCTGCTTCTACAAATATTGGCTACTCTTCAAAGCAAAAACAATTTAAAATCTACGAAATAAGCTGTTTTGCTCTATTATTAAAAAACTTATTTTAAATGTTAAACAAATGATTTAGTCAACTATTAGTATTTCTGTGATTATTTTATCATTTTTGTAACCTTTTACTTTCACAGTAAGTTTTGTTGTTGTTGCTGTTAGGGTATTGTTTGTTTGTTTTGCAGTACTGGGGATCAAACCCAGGTCCTCAAACATACTAGTCAAGCACTCTACTACTGAGTCATCTCCCTGGCCCTAAGAGGTATTGTTTTGAATGAAGAATCTAGCAAAGCAAACTCAAACCTTTAGCATCAAATTAAAAAAAAAGAAAAAAAACTTCTCTCTGAAATCATCTTTTGCAAACCAGGTAATTGGTATGCTTACTTTTGTCCAGTCGAGGTCTTGGATTATAGCGATACCCAACCTGGCTCCAAAAGACAGGCACAGACCCTCGTGTTTGAATAAATGACAGGGTATGATTGTGAACATGAATTAATTGCTCAGTCTCTACATAATTTGCAACATTTCCATTTTTGTCCACTCCTCTTCGTTTATAGCGCATCCCTGAAAGAAAATTAAAACAGAAAATAGCAGTATCTTTAAAAATTTAGTGTGGCTGAGAGCAGTGGCACATGCCTAGAATCCCAGCACTCAGGAGGCTGAAGTAGGAAGATTGTGAATTTGAGACCAGCCTGGGATACATAGCAAGTCCCTATCTCAAAAAAACAAAATTTTTTTCTTTCTGTCTGACTAGATCATTCTTCCTAATCAAATGACTGCCTCCAGGGAAGTCATGGAGACCTCATGTGTGACAGACAGGCAGAATAGGATTGACTCAGCCCAAGTCATAGCTGTACACATCATTGTTTTTAAAGAGCTGAACTCAGGTAGCTCCTCTCAATGAAGGAGCACTCTAGAAGAATTTATGCTGGTATTGAGAGCACATCCCAAGTGACTGTCTTCTCTTCTTTACACACCCCTCTCCTTTCTGGTCTCATTTTGCCAATTTGCCCTTAGAAGTTAGTCCCTAACTACATCACAGTATATATATATTTGGAAGGGGCAAGTTTGGACTGGGTTTGAACTCAAGGCTCAAGAGTACAAAGCAGGCACTCTACCACTTGAGCCACATCTCCAGCCCATTTTTGCTCTGGTTATTTTGGAGATGGGGTGTTGTGAACTATTTGCTGAGGCTGACCTTGTCTCAGTCTTCCAAGTAGGTAGGCTTACAGGTGTGAACACTGGTGCCAGGCTTACATCACATTTAAAGTTACCAACCACTTTGAAGCCAACTGTGCTTCCAAATCCAGGATTGTCATTATCATTTCAACATCTTCCTCCTTCTCATCCTGATTTGATTTGCGTATTATCACAGCCTTCTACTCACCTGCTCTGTGCCTACTCCGTCGAGAAATGAGAGCCACAAGAAATCGTGGGTGTACATCATCTACACAGGTGGACTCCTGAGGGGGGGTCTCTGGGCTGCTTTTCTCATCATCAGATGACTCATTATAATTAACCACAAGTTCTTCTATCTGCACAAAGCCCTGGATGATGGGGACAATCCAGAAGTCCACATCCGGCATCTGAAAACAAGACAAACACCATGCTGCTGGTATTCTTTACAGCACTGCTCCCTTCTCACATCCTAACATGTGTGTCAGTGCACTAGACGTTGAGGCTTTCCACAGCCGACCCACAGCTTCTGCTTATTGAACACCAAAGGAGAAAAGGAAGGAAAGAGGCTTTTCTTTTTCTTTATGGTGATCATTCAAAAAGCACTGAGTGCGAGCAAACCTAGCACAGGAGCACGAATGCCTAGTGCCACCACTCTCTGACTCACTGGAGAAAATCACTCAGCCTACTGTCTCCATTTCCTTTGGGAAAAAGCCACAACAACTACCTCATTTGAATGTTGTGAACAAAGAACAACATTTGTAGTGTTTAGCATGGTGTCTGCCATGCAGTAAGAATTTAACACATGCAGCTATTATTATGATTACTCTTGCTGATATACAGAAAAACTTAAAATTCGATTTTTAACTCTCAGTTGCATTAAGCCTTTGGCAGAATGCAATCAACTCTAGTCATTTCTTCATGAGACATGTAAGTCTACTTTATTTTCTAGTTTAGGAAAACAACTGCTTCACCAAACTAAAATCCAAATAATAAATTAACAACAAAAACACTTTCCATAAATATCTTATTTTAAAATGTCATCCAACATGATTAGGAGAGTACTAATTAAAGTTAGCAATGAGCTCTTCTAAGAATACTCAGATCTCTTTTTGTTTTTCTTCTTTTTTTTTTTAATGTTTATTCTTGAGACAGGGTCTTGCTATATAGCCCAGGCTGCCCCGGGAACTCAGTCCTCCTGCCTCAGCCTCCCAAATTCTGGAACTACAGGTGTAAAACTAGCACATCTGGCTTCAGAATCAGTTTCATCCACCTTTTATTCTATCACCTGCAGATTTAGAATTTTAGGAGGGTTACAGAGTTGGAAATAGTGAAGAATTTACCTGCACGAATTATTCTTATCACCATTCTCACTGCTTTGTATTTTTGTTCTAGCAATAAATGCAAGACTCTTGGCAGGAACACAGAAGTGTATGCTGCCAATGTCATCCTTTAGTCTAAGTCATCAGTTTTAAATGATAATAATGCAAAAGCATTCTGATTAAAACTCTGCAAAACATACTGGAACTCCACATTGTCAGCATACAGGAAAAATCCTCATGATAGAGGCCCTTCCTTTTCTTCTCTGTCACTGGGTTTTGAAGGTCATAGTCTGGTCAGTATCATAAATAGGAGGTGAGAACAATCTCCTATCTCATTCTCAATAGAGACATGATAGACACCAATAGACACAAAGATACCACTAGAAAAAGTAAAAATCATTTATACGAACCACCAGTAAGGGGAGAAATAGAAAGAAGGAAATTTTCTGAAAGGTTAAGAAAAAGCTAACGTATGACCTTATTCAGCTACTTGTTTTGTTTAGCACCCAAAACAGTATGTGGCACATATCAGGTCTTCAATGACTATTGGTTGAACAAATAAATAAATGGTCTTTGGACAATCATAACTCTACAACATATGTGAAGAGAAAAGGACAAAAGTGATCATCAAACCAGAAAGAACCTTACTTATGCAATCATCTCACCATATTCTGTGTCTTCCCTGAAAACTGGAATGGCCTTAGAGAGATGTCTCCTCTAAATCCCAGATGAGAAACCAGAGTAGTTTCATTATAGGGAAACTAGGCTTCAATATTCTCAATGGATACAAACAAAATACCTCTTTCCAGGAACTCTACGGACAGTAGTTCCACAGCCTTAAATTACTACTATCTTATGGGAACTTGCTAAAAAAGACAGGCTGGCAGCAAGACAGTAGAATTGCAAACTACCTTAAAACAATGCATTGTTTTTCCTAGTTAATTTACCTTAATGTGATAAAAAACATTTGCTTAACAACTACAACCAACAGGATATTTTAGAAATAATTACTCACACCAATCTGAGTAAGATCTTGTATCATATGTTTATTCCAAAAAAATCGGTCATCAACCTAGAATAGGTAGTAAAAAAAACAGTTCAGAAACACATTGTTTCAGTTTTTCTATGAAAGACAAGATGGGTCATCAATTGTTCCAGAGGGCAACCCTGCTTGATCTGTGAGTGGTACCTTCTGCCAGAGGGGGCGGCCATCCCCCTCCCCAGCACTCTGCCTCTGCACGGAGTTGGTCAGGTCATAGGTCAAACTGTAGTAAAAGGATTCCGAATCCATGAACATCTTCAGCAATTCCTCAAGCAATCTCCTCTCCAGTCTCTCCTTTTCTTTACTTTCCTTAACCTGTAAGAGATCAATCTACTACTACTAAAGGAATTAAATGTAAAGTATTCATATGATGAGAGACTTCCAAGTAAGAAAAATCCCAAAGCCATGAGGAAATAAGCACTACGATCTAACAAACAGCTTGAAGATAAATTTACTGACAAGAAAATTACACCTCAATTTAAGACTAATCAAAGATGAATTCAAAGCCCATATCAATGAAACTTACTTTCTTTTTGTTAGGAGCAGATACATTGGATTTAATATGTGTAAAGGTCTTCAGTAGAAACTTTGAGTCATCAGGAGATGGTATAATCTTCTCTGGTTTGTTAATCCCAAAATGATGCTTCTTACAGAGCTAAACAGATAGAAAAAGATGATTTGATATTAATGAATACCTGCTTGCTAGATGTTCAGGTATGAAAGTCAAAGTGAACGCAACTGTTCACGCATTTGGATTAAAAGAACACCTCAAGGTATTAGTGAAATGACAGAAAATACAATGATTAGGAGCCATACCAGAGATAAAACACAAAGAATACAGGGAAGGATATACTTAGAATTTAAAGGCAGAAAATTCAGGCTGGGACCATAATTAGAATAACTTCTTGTCTAATGTAATCAGAGGATAAAATGTTCTGGTTGAAGTTATTAACAATTTGAAAACTGGCATCTAAGAATAAAGATATTGCAAAATACGCATGTGGTCTGCTTTAGGGTCATTGCTTACAAGTATCAGCACTAAGTATTTATGTGGCCATCTACTGAGGCAATGGGACACAGCAAACAAGACGGAAGGATGTGGGCATAGCAGACTCCTTACATTCTGGTTAATGGTGCACTGTTCAAAGGGACAACAGTGCCCACTTGAAAAACAACCTGGCAGTTCCTCAAAAAGTTAAACAGTGTTTCCACAGGACCCAGCAATTCTACTCCTAGGTACATGCCCAAGAGAAATAAACACAAATGCTACCAAAAGCTTATATGGAAAATTGTTCACAACAGTAGTATTTACAATAGCTAAAAATGAAAACAAATGTTCATCAGTTGATGATGAATTGTAAAAGATGTGGCATATCCATACAATGAACTATTACTTGGCAGTGAAAAGGAACAAAGTGCCCATACATGCTACAGCAGGCATGAACCTTGAAAACATTATGCTAAGTAAAAGAAGTCAGTCACAAAGGGCCATTTACGGTATAATTCCATTCTTATAAGATGTCTAGCACTGACAAATTTATACACAGAAAGGAGATTAATGGTCTTCTAGGGCTTGGGGATTTGGGGTGGAGGGAAATGAGGAATGACGGCCAATGAGTTGGCAGGGTTTCTTCTGGAGAGTGACAAACATTCTAAAAGTAACTGTGGTGATGGTTAGAAGAGTCTGTGAATATACTAAAGCCACTTAATTATATACTTTAAAAGGGTGAATTATGGTATGTCAGTATTTTTTTAAAATGGCAAACAAGTTAGCCAAATACCTCAAGTAAAAAGGTAACTGAGACAGAAAACTAAAAAATATAATTCTATGCTATTTCCTTTCTTTGGCTGTACTGGCGTTGAACTCAGGGTTGCACACTTGCTAAAAAATATAATTCTAGAATCTGATAGAAAATTGCTTCTGCTCCAATTACAGAAGACAAACCAGTCTTTATGACATAAATCCAAGAATGCAGACCAAGCTACCAGGCCTGAGAGGGCTGCTGGAAAGAAGAAAGGAAGTGAGATGCTCAGTACAGGCATCCTAACTAGAGCGACAAGCCAAATTATGAGACAGAACTCGTTTTGTTCAGCAAGGCTTTCTACATGTGAAAGATATGTTAGGAGTTAGGTAGAAAAATATGTAAAAACATAAAACTTATTCTGAAAAACTGTAAAATAACAATCCTCTGAGAACACAAGACAAATGGAAACAACCATGAGAAATCACCCGACTTGTTTATTTTGTTTTGCTTTGTTTTTGTGGTGCTGGGATCAAACCTCACAACCAGGTCCTTGCACATGTTAGATAAATGCTCTACAACTGAGCTACATCCCCAAGCCTCACTAGAGTTTAACTAGAATACTAACCAGAATTGTTTCCAAGTGGTAGTATGTTTTTCTTCTCCTTTACAATCAGAAAAACATAAGTTATTAAGTTTCTCAAAGCTTGTTTTTTTAAAGCAGTACTGGGGTTTGAACTCAGGGCTTTGCGCTTGCTAGGCAAGTGCTCTACGGCTTGAGCCAAGCCTCTAGCCTCAAAGCTCCTTTTTAATGGAGTTATATGGAAATGGAAAAAGGGTACCAAAGATTTAAATGAGTATATTAGAAGATTAGTAGGAAATCTGTAAAAGGGAAGAAAGAATAAAGAAGGAGGGAGAGGTGGAGGAGGGGAATGATGAATGCAGAGAAAGCCTGGCCACATATGGGGTGCACGCCTATACCTTACCTCCATCACTTAGGAGGCCAAGACAGGAGGATGAGTTTGAGACTAGCATGGGCTACATAGCGAGACTGTGTCTTAAAATACCAAAATAAAAAAATTCTTAAAGCTTTCATAATATTCACACTTTTGTGTTTAAAAATTATGTGTAAGCCAGGCAAGCTGGATCACCCTGTAATGGGATTACAGTAGCTGAGGCTACTTGAGAGGTGGAAGTTGGAAGGCTCAAAGTTCAAGGCCAGCCCTGGCAAAAAGTTAGCAAGACGTCATCTCAACCATGCCAGCTGGGCACGGCAGTTTGCACCTGTGACCCCAGGAGGGATAGGCAGAAGGACAGTGGTTCAAGGCTGGCCCCTTCCGAAAAGTGACTAAAAGCAAAAATGGGCTAGGGGTGTGGCTGTGATAGAGCTCTCACAAACACCAGGCCCTGAGTTCAAAACCCCGGTATTGCTGATCCCTCTCCCCCAACAGGAAATTCCACATAGATACTATTTCCTAAAATTTTTCTTTTCCTCATTTTCATGATAGTCAGACACTAGTCTCAAAAATGTTAAAGATTTATGGCCACAAAGGACATCCGAAAACCTCCCCCAGAAGCCCCATGAGAATGCCAGCCTTCTCGGGATAAGGTGTGACTTTAATTTCCCCTAGGCTGAGAGTGCCACATGTGCAAACTGATGACCTGGTGTGGGTGGACAAGTGCTGGGGGAGCTGGTCACCTGTCCTAAATCTGACTGCCAAAGACTCCAGGCTTCCTGCTGAAGTCTGAGCATCAGCCAGGGGCTCACCCTCAGAGACAGCAGGTTATGCTAGTATTTCCAACTGTCAGCAAAGCAGCCGAAAGATACTGATGACAAATTTTCTGGCTTAGGAAACTGATACTACTTTTGCTTGTCTGGCTGCCCTTTGCCAAAATAAAACGCAAAGACGACCTGCACGTGTCTGCTCTTAATGGACCCAACTGCCACAAAGGTTTTCTACTCTGATCAGCAACAATGATGAGTGCTCAGCAGTACTACCAATAAAAAGAGAATGAGCCGTACTCTAATCTTCTTTGGGTTCCTGTTACAGAAGAACGTAGCAGGGTCCTTTGAATTCGTTTTATTGTTGGATTCATAAAATTAGATTGTCAAACTTCCAGTGAAACCTGAGGCTTAAAAACAGCCAGATTTCACTTTTATCATGTGCTCAAAGTCCAATCCCCTTGTTGTGTTTGCTTTTGATCTAATGTCCACATATGAGGGAGAACATACGATTTTTGGTCTTTTGGGCCAGGCTAACCTCACTCAGAATGATGTTCTCCAATTCCATCCATTTACCAGCGAATGATAACATAACAACTGACCTTTTTTTTTTTTTAACGTACTGGGGTTTGAACTCAGGGCTTCATGCTTGCAGGGCCGGTGCTCTCCACTTGAGCCACTCCACAGGCCCGTGATAAAAGCAAGATCACACAGGGAGGGGTGAGGATAGGTAGGACACCTAAAAAATTAGCTAGCATTTGTTGCCCTTAATGTGCAGAAACTAAAGCAGATACCTTAAAAGCAACTGAGGCCAATAGGAAAAGGGGAACAGGTATTAGAGAAAAGGTTAGATCAAAAAGAATTAACCTAGAAGGTAACACACACGCACAGGAAATCAATGTGAGTCAACTCCCTGTATAGCTATCCTTATCTCAACCAGCAAAAACCCTTGTTCCTTCCTATTATTGCTTATACTCTCTCTACAACAAAATTAGAAATAAGGGCAAAATAGTTTCTGCCGGGTATTGAGGGGGTGGGGGGGAGAGGGAGGGAGCAGAGTGGGTGGTAAGGGAGGGGGTGGGGGCAGGAGGGGGGAAATGACCCAAGCCTTGTATGCACATATGAATAATAAAACAATTTAAAAAATTAAAAAATTAAAAAAAACAGCCAGATTTTTACTCATTTCTTAAGTAATTTAACCTTGTCCCCAAGAACTCAGGATGTAAACCCACATATTGAGGTGAGATGTGATACGTGCTTTATTATCTGTACCTAGTGTTCAGGTAACTGGAAGGCAGCTTAGCAGAGGAGCAGAACCAGACTGCTTGAGTCCAGGTGAGACCCTAACATGTGCCAGTGCATAACTTCACCCTGGCCCAGCCTCCTGTCTTTATCTGCAACAGTGCCTACTGTCCAGGGCGGTCCTAGGGACTAACTGTAACCATCTGCGTTATACACAAGGCCTGTCCAGCACATCTCATAGTGAACAAAACAGCCACAGTACAGTGATGGCAACCCTATGTTCCAAGCCCTACTCTGACACCACACGTGACACAAATACTTTCACAGATTACTCCTACCAGGAGGCAGCACCTTATGGTGAAAACCCCTGGCCCTAATTTTGGCCTGGAGTCACTCTACTTGTGGGCTTGATTTCTTCCCTGGAAAATGAAAGGCTTGCCCTAGGGCAGTCTTTCATTTTCATTTCAAAAAAAATTTTTTTTTTAATCTTTAGTGATACTGGGGTTTAAATCAGGGCTTCATGCTTGCTAGGAGGCACTCTACCACTTGTGCCAAAAAAACTTTTTTTTTTTTAAACACAAAAATGCTTAGAAAATCTTTAAGAAACACAGGCAAAACAAGGTACAGTAAAAGTTAAATCTCTTCTTCACTCTACTTTCCCCCAATCAGGACTTTTCAAACTGCATGGCGTGGGGCCCTGCGGCTCCCTGAAGTAGAAGGTTCTTCCCCAGAGAGGTCAAATGGGAAGTCCCCAAAGGCCCCACCTCAACCAAAGCAGCTTGGCCCGGTTGTCTTACGCACTGGATTGCACAGGTTTTGAAGCAAGGGTTTTACTACTAAAGTGCAGTTTGAAGCCACAGGATTAAATCAGCTTAACGATACTATCCAGATCTAAAAATGTGTGCTCCTAGATTGGCCCAAAACCTTCATAATTGCTACTACGTTTTACCAAGTCTCCATAAAATTTCCCTTTATTTCATCTTACCTCCAGCTCAAGATCCTGAGGTTCCATTTCAGAAAGTGATAGTACAGCAATTTTGGTAACTTTACAGACTTCATGGTCTCCTGGGAGTTTGCCCACCACTGCTTTCTGCCGAATAAGAATAAGCCACCATGGAAGATCTGAAAGAGGAAGTCACATCATGTCTGATATATACAGAGTGCTACTGTCCTAGGATGAATGACACAACAGTAACAAAAACGTGTGCATCAAGTATCACTTTTAAAGTAAACTACACAACAAAGATACAAAAATGGTATTGTTGTGGGTGCCCCATCTCACCCACAAAGAAATGTAAACTAGGACAGTTATACCATTCTCACTCATCAGATTGGAGACAACTAAAGGCTATGACAGAACTAGAGATTTGGTCAAGTGTAAAGCACTTGCCTAGCAACTGCAAGGCCCTGAGTTTGATTCCCAGTACTACAAAAATAATAACACATTAGGACAATGCACCTGCTGCTGAGGTTGAGAGGAAACAAGTGCTCTCATACAATAGGGCTGGTGGGAATATCAATAAACAACTTTTCTAGAGGAAAACTTAGCAATGTCTAACAATACAGTACATGCACTTACCTTTTAATCCATAGTCCCACTTGGGAGTTTACTCTAAAGAACAAAAGTATGCACTCAAGCCTGCTCATTGCAGCAGTTTGTAATTGGAAAATACACTATTGGAAACAACCTAAAATACCCAGACACAAGACAGTATGTGAATAAACGATGGCACATCCATACAGTGGAGTATTATGCAGCCATGAAAAAGGAATTAGAACTATTCTATGAACAGATAAGGAATGAATCCCAGCTGATTATTAAGTGAATAAACCAGATACATTACTAATACATATAAAACATGGCTAAGCAGTCAAGTACCACACCATTCAGTCAGTAATGGTGGTCCCATAAGATTATAATGAGGCTTTGAAAAAATTTTATTGTCTAATGATGCTACAACATCAGAGCTCAACATGTTATTCACATTTACAGCAATGACTGATGCTGGTATAAACAAACCTACTGTACTTCTGGTCTATAAAAGCATAGCACACACAGTTAAATGTAGTATGAAATACTTGATATGATTAACAACTATGTTACTGGTTTATGTACATACTGCATTTCTTATCATTCTTTTACTGTTGTGTGGTGTTTTTCTTTTTTTTTTTTTTTTTGGCAGTGCTGGGGATTGAACCCAGGACCCATGCATGCTAGAAGTACTCTGGTGCTGATCTACACCCCAGCCCATCATTGGTTAGAGTTTACTCTTACTCATAAAACAGCATGCCATGTTACACATCCTTGATTGAATCAACAGGTTGTGCCAAGTGACTGACCTGTCATCAGTGTGTGTAAATACACACTATGGTGTACCTATGTTGACTAAGTCACCTAACATCATGGTTCTTAGGATGTACCCCCGTCATTAAGCAACACATGACTGGATTAGGATCATATAAAACAGATTACTAGAAGCACAAAACAATACAGTAGACCCTCCAGATTAGTGGTTTCACTTTCCACAGTTTCAGTCACTTGTGGTCAACTGCAGTTCAAAATAGTAAGTGGAAAATTCCAAAAATAAACAATTAGTAAGTTTTAAATTGCATGCCATTTTTAGTGTAATGAGTCTCATGACACCCCCTCTTTCCCTCCCCCAGTACGTGAACCACCCTTGGTCCAGCATTCCCATGTTGTATACACTCCTGCCTGCCTGTCACTTACTAGCCCTCTGGGTTACCAGGTTGACTGCCACAGTATCACAGTGCTTATTTCAAGCAGCCCTTGTGTAGTAGCCTAGTGCTACGTCACAATGTCTAAGTCATTCACCTCACTTCAACCTATCAAGTAGGCATTGTTTCATCTCACATCTTTAAAAGATGAGTAAGGACAATATAGTAAAATAATTTGAGGGAAGGACAGAAAGACAGAGAGAGAGAGAGAAAGGCAGCACATTCACGTAAAACTTATTACAGGGGCTGGTGGAGTAGCTCAAGGGGTAAAGCAGCTGCCTAGTAAGTGTAAGGCCCTGAGTTCTAACTCAAGTACCACCAAAAAACCCTACTGCACTACTGTTTATTACAGTATACTGTTGTAATTGTCCTATTTCATTATTACTATTAATCTCTTACTATGCCTGATCTACAAATTAATCTTTATCATAGTATGTATGTGTAGGAAAAGATAGTTCAGTCATCCGTTGCTTAATCTCAGGAATATATTCTGAGAAATGTGCTGTTGGGTGATTTTGTCATTGTGTGAATATCAGAACGTAGGTCCACAAACCAAGGCAGCTACGACGTCACTAGGTGCTGAAATCTTATGGGATCACTGCGATACATGTGCTCTGCGGGTCACCAAAATGTCATCAGACAGCACACAGGGTCTGGTACCAGACCGTAGTATCAGGCATCTACAGGAGGTCCTGGAACTATCTGCCACAGATAAGAGAGGACTGCTGACTCTACTGTGCTGCCCTTCATGTAAGAAAGATTTGAGGAGATGTATATGTTTGTACAAGAAAAAAAAAGAGGAAAAATAAACCAGAAGTGAAAGAGGGAAGGTGGAAATGGGGTACAAACATGGGGAAGTGGGAAGGGGATAGAAAGAGTGAGGGGAAATGACAGTTCTGATTATAGCTGCAAAATGAGGCCTCTGAGGATCATTCTAACTCCAGGAACGATGGTAATATCCCCCACATCCTGTGGAGTAAAGGCCCAGTTCAAATCAACCAGAATGTGGGGGAGCTCAGCAAAATGCAAACGGCAGGCAGCCCTATGACAAAGTATCACCACACTTGAGGAGGTAGGAAAGAAAAACTCATCTAGCTTTAGAAAAGTGTTTTGTAAGAAGAAAGACAAGAATAACTGCATGTAATATTGACTCTGGTTAGTAATTAATCTTTCAGAATGGTATGCATTGGCAATTCTGAAGCTACTTTATGTATACACTAAGACTAAGCAGATAAGTAGTATGCTGAGAATGGGGGATGGTAAAACAAATGAAAGAAGGCTTTAATAAAGACAAGAACAAAGGAAACACACAAAGTCTCCCAGTTATCTTTTCATCCTATTTCACCTTCTCAATAGTATGTCAGACAGAATGTATAGTTTTCAGTTTATGAGTCTATACCTTTAAAAATACTACTCCCCAAATATACCCTAATATAAGTTATTGAAATAGTGTTTCAGAAATTTCTTAACATAGAAAATATGATAGATATTTCCCACATGAGAAAAATATTTTAAGTTTCTTCAAAGTATAAATGGCCAAAAAGCAGTGTTTGATTTTAGCACAACAAAATATAATCAATATTTTTTCTTTTTTTTTTTTATTTTGGCAGTACAAGAGTTTGAACTCAGGGCCTTGTGCTTGCTAGGTAGACACTCTACCACTTGAGCCACACTCCCATTCCCTTTATGCTTTATTTTTCAGATCGGGTCTTGAGTTTTTGTCTGGATTGGCCTTGAGCCGTGACTCTTCTGATCTTTGCCTACTGAGTAGCTAGGACTACAGGTATATGTCACCATGCCCAGTAATATTTTATTTTACACATTCTTTTCCGAGAAAAAAACCTGTGTTTTGGTGGCACTAGAAATGAACCCAGGACCTGCCACATTCTGGAAACATGTTGAACACCTCACCTGCCCCTTCCAAGGGAAAAATACTTTTTGCTGTTTTGAGATAGGACTTCACTAGGTAGTACAGGTTGGCCTCCAACTTGAGATCCTCCTACCTCAGCCTCCCAAGTGCTAGGATTATAGGCAAGCATCACCAAGCCCAACTTTCCTCCCAAGGAATTTTAAGGGAAAATTGAGTGGGAGAAAAAAACTCCACCCACCTATCATCCTACTATTTTCCAAAGGAGAGATAAATTAAGATAGATTATTTAGAGTATAACTAGTAGGTATCTCCTTATAAATCTTACTCTCAGTTTCTTTTCTTTTCTTTCTTTCTTTCTTGTTTTGAAACAGGCTCTCGCTATATAGCCCAAGCTGGGCTTGAACTTATGATCCTCTTGCCTCAGATTCCCGAGTGCTGGGATTACAGATGAGCACCACCACACCTGGCTAATTTTTTCTTTTGGATCAGTGTATGAGACAGAAACCTAAGGGAGAAATGCATAGTGATACCTCACCATGTGCTATGTACTTTTTATTTGCTAAATCTTGGCTCATGGAGAAAACATGGACTGTAGGTGAATTATGAAAAGTAATGGAATGGGTATACATACTATGCAGGAATGAAAATCTAAAAATATAAAAATCTTGAGAAGCCAAGAATAAGAAGAGTCCACTGATGTGACCTGATATAAATACATAAAAAGCATTAATATAAACCACTTCCACATATAATAAAGTTATAATATCAGCAACAACAATGTTAGTTTCTGGGAATAACACCAATTAGAAATGTCTCAATGACCCAAACACTGTATGCACATATGAATAAAAGAAAAAAAAAATGTCTTATATCTGATTATCTCTGAGGCAAGTCACCCATACTTCTCAACATCACAACACCCATAAAAGCTTCATTTAAGACAGACAGAACTTAAACAAATGAAGGTACCATATGCTCAATGTTCCAAAGAATGGGTACCTCTCAAATTACTTTAGAAATTTAATGCAATTGAAAAAAACTTCATGGATAGAAGCAGAGATAGGAGGATGACAGTCCAATGCTGGCCTGGGAAAAAATGTAAGACCTTATCTAAAAAACGAAATGGTGTGTTTGGGGGGTAAGGGGAGGCAAAAAGGACTAGGGTGTGGTTCAAATGGTAGAACACTTGCTTAGCAAGCTCAAGGCCCTGGGTTCAATCCCCAATACCATAAAAAAATTTTTTTTTCATGGAATTCTTAAGGTAATTTAAATTTATTTTAAATTTTAGTTGAACGACTCAATGTATGAAAATGTCCAGTGAAAATTTTAAAAAGTAACTGAGAAAGTACATGCCTTCCCAGATAGCAAAACGTAATATAAAGCCATGCTAAATAAACAACAGGATTCGAGTCATGGATGGGTAGAAGAATGACTGGAGTAGGATACAGACTCAGGTAAGTATCACAGTCAATAAACGATGGTAAAGAGAGGGAAAGGGTGGGGTTGAAATAATTAG